AACTCAATTGCAGCCGGTGTAAATTAAGGCTGACGCAACATAACCGTCCAGACGTAAGATTTTGCTGTTGCCCGAGCGCACTTCAGTTGCATTGATTGATAACCGCCAATCCTTTCACGTTATTTGTCAACTGGTTACGTCTGCACAAAGAGTGTGACCGAAGCGGGCTGCCTTTAAATCACAGCCCATACATAAGTCATGCAAAATTCGTAGTCGTGGCCACACGAAAGATGGCACCAGACGCCTACAACCTGACGTCGACGCATAGGAGGGCCACCGATGAACACCCGCTGTCAGCATGCAACAGCTGCTCAAGCACCTTGAACTGTATAGTCGGTGTGCGTAGCTTTTCCTCAATTGGCCTCGGGAATGGTGAGGGCATTCTCCGTTCACACCACGGCGTCTTGGCGCCTGGACTGCCGTCTGGTGCTGCGCAGCCAGGATCATCCGGGCTTGCAGAGAGCGAAATCGTGTGCCAGGCAACCGTATTTTTTGCAAATAGGACTTCTGCGGTTGCGGCTTTGGGCTGTCCGTGCAAGTCATGCGTGAGGAACGTCGCACTACCTTCAGCCGGTGAACAGCAATCACACTTTTGGAGATATCACCGCACGGATCAGAGCTCACGCATTATCAGCGAGTGTTTGCAATTAGATTTTGAGGGCAGAAAAGGCGACCCGTGTGGGCAGCCTTGGCATGGCCCTTGCCCAGGCAGCCCCGCGAGTACAATAAGCCCGTCTGAGCAAACGCTGAGGATGCTACTCGATAGGGCCAGGCTGGGCGTGGATGTCACTGCCCGGCCAACAGCCGGCGTGGCTTCGATTGGCCAAGGTTTTGTACCAGCCGCGGCGGCCGCGGCGCCGGTGCCGTTAACGCTTCGTCGCACTGCTCCTGGCGGCACAGTTCGCCCGGTCTACCAACACTTCCAGGCGTCACCACTCTATAGGCGGAGAATGGAAGCAAGAAGCACATCGCCCATCCCGGTTCCGCCGCCGCAGCTGCCATCCCGCTCGTCGTCAGGTGTCCAGCAAGACCCACACCGGCGGCGTGTCGCTACTGAGGCTGCAGCCAGACGCTCTTTTGGCGATGCGCTGTACGGCAATGAGGTCACGGTGCCGTACGACAGCGATGAAGACGTCGACGTCGGACGCGTTGACGACCTGCAACACGACAACATGGTGGATACCGTTAAGCGGTTCTACGATTCCAGACGCCGGGAGCGAGCCAAACGTCCACCAGGCAGGCCATCAGAACCGCAGTGCGTTGTCATCGGCTTCGACACATAGCCGTTTTGAGGGGTGCATGGCTTAAGATTATAACGTTTTGCGCAGAGCAAATATATCAATTTGGTTTTATGCAATTACGACGTCTAGGTGTGTATTATAGCTTTGGTAGAGATAGTCGCTATCTTTTCGCAAGGTATCAGTCATTTTCGACCGCAGCAACCTCTTTGCGCGACGAGACGGAGTGACCTACAAGGCATTGGGCTCTGCATTAAAATTTAAAATAGCGAGAGGGAATGTTTTTATTCGCGTTAAGGGTCTTGCTTTTATTGGTTCAGTTCGCTTTTCAGACGATCTAAGCTCGTTTCTTGGGGTGCTACAATTATCCTCGCAGGGTGTTGTGTCAGCCTTCCTGTATAATCGTATGTGTGTGCGTTTCTCGTTACCAATAGCTCAAGCCTCGGCATGGACGGCTCAGACGAGGCCCCTTCCCAAACATCCACACGGTCTGACGGCCATTTCCTCGTTGACGCTTTACGGGCTAAGTTTGTGACGCGAAAAAACTTGCGTGCCACCATTGAGAGCTTTGACGTTGAGACCGCGGCAAAATTTCCGTGCACATTGCTGGATAACCGCTAAGCCTCTTCGTCATGTATGTGTCTATGCGCGCGCATGCGTGTTTGGGTATGCGTTACGCCTTACGTGTGTGCGTGCGAGCGTGAATGTGTATGTTGTACGTTTTGCAGACGGGGGCTCATTACTTTGCCCGCTTCCTTTCTTGGCAGCCCCGCCGCTCCGTAGGGAGCTATAAAGGGGGAAGGAAGATCCTCACATTGCCAACATCTTTTAACGATCCGCGTGCTATTGATTGCGCATCAGTAGCACCTCATGCAAACGTCCCCATATTAAATTGCTATCCTCCTGAAGGCACTGCTGCCATCATTTATTGGGCTCCGTGCTCTTCGGTAAGCCTGACCGCACTGCGGGTGTGGTTGAGGCCCTATTCGGGACGGGGGACTCTTATCGTAAAATGTTAACGTGCGCACTACGTGCTGGTTTAGCATTCTGATTTTTTCTGCGTCGATTTGTTTTGGGGCTGCCCGGCTGTGAACCGTGGGCATCTTGAGAACTAGGGATGGGAATGGGAGTGAGGCGGGAGGGAAGAAGCAGAGGAGAGGAGGGCCTACATCACGTCGACCGCGCCGCGCTGGTTGCAGATTGCATGCAATTCGCTAATTGACAGCATATTGCCTACAGGGCCTTATCAGGGCCGATGCGCACCACGGGGATTCTGCGGCTTCCTGCATTTTTTTAAAATTACATTTGTATTGTGTGGGGTACTATGTATATCTATGTCTTAGTCCTGAGTTGCATGGTGTATGCGAGTGCGCAGGTGCACTAGGGAAGGTGCGTTTGTGCGTATGTTTGCCTGCGTCAAGTGTTGCCTCCCGCGTGTGTTGGTTCTTGTGTTGGTTGCGTGCGCGTTTGTACTGTTTGTCTATACAGCTCTACACGTCTCTACAGCTCTACACGTAAACTCGTTTTGTGGCGGCTGCACTGTGTTGCGGGTTCCGTTGTTGTGACCTTGAGCCAGGTAGTTCTCCGGCGGGTCCCGGCGGGTCAGAATGTCGGTAGGTATACGGCAACTGAGGCCAAGACATGCACGGCCAGAAGGACGGTAATTGATAGCCCCTTTTTAACGGAAACGAGGGGAAAGTTGTGCATCTGGTGTTTGTTGGCCCTGTCAGTGGCGGGAGGTTATCTGACGGTCAGCAGGTGTGGTCCTGGCTCTTGTGGAGCCAGTATGTTGTTCCGCAAAGCGAGTTGAGCTTTTGACAAAACATTTTGGGAGGCAGAGGCGCCCGGCGGCACACCAGCCTCCTGGAGGATATGCATCGGTGCAAGCAGCTGGCAAGTATTCAAGAGTGTGACCGCAAAGAGTGTGGCGGTAGACAATGTCTATCGGACAATTTCACATTTTGCGATTTCAGATAAATGCACGGGCATGAAGTGCTTCGTAGGCATGAAGTTTGTCGTATGTTGCTTTTGCAGCGGGGATGTCGATGGTAGTGATTTGGCTACGAAGTGCCTGAAAGAGTGACGTGGTCAGTTCGCCTCTCTTTTTCCCCATTTCTTTGCAGAAGGGTTCTTTTTAGGAGGAGTCCTGTATGTCAAATGTATACCAGCCCCCGGCGTCCCATTTACTTTAATATAGGACCAGCTAGGCCAACGGTGCCTCAGTTGTTTTCGTTACTGCGAGGTACGGCAGCAACAAACCACTCAGGAAAGCCTAACGGTGATTCTTGGATGCAGGGCATTGAAAGCTACAAGCGGGGACTTGATAGCCTGACAGGGTGATTGTGACTCTGATTGTAGAGCAACTATGGCTAATGGCCCTTTAGAGCTCTCTCCCCTGCTTCATGGGCAGGAGATGTTGGGCGACAAGCTCCCAGCAGCACATGTCGGGGTTGGCTGACCAGGCTGCCAACAGGAAAGAAAAGAAGTGCCGACCTGCGCCGACTCAGTGGGGGGGCAGTGCAGACATGCTCGGCTGGGCTCACGTATACGCTGTTGGCGACTTTGGCCGGCTATGGATGCATGCAATGTGCAGAAGTGCGCTTCAGGAGCTGTGGACACTTTAGCCTGCATTAGCTCTAGCTCTAGGTTGCCACAGTGGAAGTGCCCGCGTCAGTCGATGTCGCATTTGGCCTAGTTACATGTCCCGTACTCATGAACACGGGTCCGGGATTTGATATCTAGGCCTGTTTAAAGCGCGCTTTGTCCATTCCCTAGGAAATCACGGGAAAAGAAATTAGAGAACCTTGACCGCCGCCAGGGACCTTACCCCAATACTTGATGAGGGCTTCAAGCCAACCCCAGAAAAGTATAGGTTAAACCTCATGTCTATTTGGGTCGCTGGGGTCACCAATTTATCGTCAAATCGTCTGTCCGCCTTGCAATGACAGTGTACGAAGTAGTGACTAAGGTACGAATGGGTTTCACAGACAAGACAGTGGAAAAATCCAGGATAATCATAATAAACTTGTCATAATTACCCATAATATTTACATAGCGCAGCTGCATGCATGGTCATGAACTTCGTCACAATATTTACGTCATGAAATTTAACATAAGATTGCTCCAATGTAATACATTCTTGTCACATTAATCTTCCCTTAACAGTTTATCAACAGTTCTAGGAAACCAAAGCACCAAAGATGCTGAAATCGGTTGTATCGCTCTTAGGACGCAGCCGTATTAACGGACCGCTGTACATTACCATGCAAGAATATTCAGTTGGGTTGTACGCCGTCAAGTGAACGGTTAAGTTCGGGGGTGCATACTATTTCCTGTGGATCTACAATGGTTGTTTGAACGTTAGGTGTTGAAACCTGCGGCCAAGGATTCCCATATCTTGTTGAGTCTAATAATCAAATCAACCATACACGGTATATAATCCATGTTGTGTGGTGCTTTTGGGGGGAGCTTCCGTTTTGCATCCAGAAGTCGACGGATAGGCTGCTTCGCGGTCTGACTACAGGGCACTACCCGCCAGGTCACCTGCATAGGTTTCTCCCTTATCAGAGCTAGCAGCGTCTTCCAGCATTGCGTGATTGCAATGTACGACAGTACATTTCTACCTTGAATCGGCAGGACAGGGACAAGACTGTGACCTTGTCGGGCCGATGCCTGCCCGCCAGCCACTTAAGGCACCATTCCTCTTGCTGGTTATTTTTTCTATTTTTAACCAGCAACACCTTTTGGGCTGGCAGCTTAAATATGGCGGAGTCCTCGCAACGGCTGTGGCCCAGCCATGTCCCGCTCCATGCGGTCAGCTATGGGACGAATGGGAATATGCCCGATTACGGTCTGGACCCACTTTTGAAGCCCTTAACTATGTCTCGGGGTTTAATCATACGGACCTCTTAGTGCTGAGAGGTGACACGACAGCAGACCTCCCAATCGCGAATTTGCAATTCCCCAGCAACACGTTAATTAGCGGACCCTCCGCCCACATCACTCCTCTACCCGGGCTATACCTTGGCTCCCGGCCCGGTGCCGTGATCCTATCCTCAAGTGAGTTGTGATTTTGGTAATGGTGTCGACCGTGGTGGTGGCGGCTGGGCTGAGCCGGGATGCCAAAAGTCAGGGCTGCCCTGCCTTGCCCTGCTTTGATTAGTTTTGGAGCTGTCGCAGAGACTTTTCTTAATCCGACGCTGCCCTTTGTGTCATATGCAGACGTTACACTGACACTCCAGTTCCTGAAGGTCGCAAATGTCGTCGCATCCTTCAAAATCACCAACAGCAGCACCGTTACTAACATTAGCAGCAGCAGCAGCAGCAGCAGCGGCGGCGGCGGCGGCAACAGCAGCAGTGGTGGGGGCGGCAGTAACGACGCAGCCGTTGCCCCTACGGTACCGCAATGGTCGCTCTCCCTGGAGTCGTTCTCTTTGTCTCCGGGATCACAGTTGCGAGTGGTGGGCTGTACACTTGTACTACAGGACTGCCACGTGGCGCAGAAGTTGTACGACGAAGTGGCAGCAGCGGCGGCGGCGGCGACCGGGAGAGCTGGAGGGCAGCAGCAACAGCCTCCAGCGTACAACTTCGCGCAGGTGGGGCAGGCGGAAGGGCGGGGATTAGGTGGTGCTGGATACAGAGGCTCCACGTCCCTACCACCAAAGATAGCCGCACTGCGACAAGGAGGAAGGGTTGGACAGAGGAGAGGGGTTCAGGGTTTTCGCTTCGTTGCCGCCTCCCCAAGGGACTCTTTTGAGGACTGTTGGTTGTTGAAGGGGTCGAGGGAGGGGTCGTTTCTCGCCACGCCTTCGCGAGCCCCCTTTGTTTTCCTTTGCTGTGTTAGAATGCCCTATAGTATGATGTGTGAAACAGGGGGGTGTATCTTCGCCCGTGGCAGCTACCCTGCGAAACCCTGCCTTCCCCGGTATTTCGGGGCACCCTCATCCAGTCACCCTCTCAGTGGATCGCTCAGGTTCCGCACCCACCACCAGCATCCAACGGAATCTGCCGGGACGACAGCGGCCCAACTCCGTTCCTGGTCGGCTCGCAGGTTAACTTTATCCCAGGTCACCACCGTCCATCAACTAGGGGCGCAATACCTTCCACCATCTGAAGGATTTTTGACCCTAACGGGTATCGATCACGGGATCTCCCGGGGGCAATGGTCGCGCCTTACCAGTAGTGCCAAACCCTAGTATAACCCTATAGTATGTATGTACTACTTCCTGTTACATTCTCTATGTCTTGATGTGCAGGGGGCGGCTGCCGGTGAAGTAATTGCCAGCAGTGTACGACTGCCACAGCTGGAGCTTCGGGACGTCGTCATCACGTGCAACGGGGTACGACACATGCATTTGTACGACTGCCACTGTCTGATCAATTTGTGCAACACATAACAGGAGCCCCCGGCCGGTGCAAATGTGACAGGCGTGTGGGATATCAGGCATCCGTAACTTCACCGTCGATTCCCAGTACGACTGGTACGACACCATGGATCTGATCAACCAGGACCGCGACGGCTGTAGCGGTTATGTCGTTGAGCTCGCCGCCAACGTTTCCTTGGGAGGGCCTTTACCTCCGCCGCCGCAGCCGCTGCGCCCGCCGCCGCTGCAAGGCCGTCGGCTGTCGCAGGCGGCCACCACCGCCACCGTGTCGTACAAGCCGGTTTCCGTACACGTCAACCTCACCCTTCGTGGTGCACCCAGCAGCGCTTCGTCTTCCTCCGCTACCCCGCCCGCCGTGGTTCTCGATACCGCATACCTGAGTTCCGTACTTCAGCTGCTACAGCCTGCCGTACAGCTCACCCTGGAGCGACTGACGCTTGTCAACCTTGTCTCACCGCAGCCCGGAGTGGTGGCGCTGCCAATGTACTGGGTGAGCAGGTAGGCTGCATTACCTGATTAGTCCCGTCATCCACAGGACTATTCCGGGAATAACTACAAACATATATAAGGCTAAGACGGTTTCGTCAACACGGAGCCAACAACATGTATTACAAGCGAGACGGAGTGGCCAAGAACAAAGAAAGAACAATAAAAGTGAAACAAACGAATTTGATGGTTTGGGCGATATAGTCGAAAGGAAACATCATAGGGTAATCTATCATCGAAGGGTCATACTCCAGGCGAGGTACCGCAGCCGGGTGGTACTGGTGCCATGCTGCGACACGGTAGGCCTTGTACAGCTTACAGCAGAATGGGGGTGGAGGTTGTTCGGCCCCCCGGGTTCTATCTCCCTTGGTAGTTCCCGCCATACGTCCGAAGCTGATGTACACGTAAGTGGACTTACAAATCCGTTATAACCGGTTTGGTCGTTACGGTTGGTGTTCTGTTCTCTTTCGTAGCACCCACGACACCTCGATATCAAGATCCAGATCCCGACGTCGTACATCTCGTACTGCAAAACATTCCTCCCAGGCCCTCCTCGGACGACATGCACCAGTCACCGGACATCAAGCTGAACAACGTGACGCTCGTCCTAGCAGCAGACGAGCTGTCGTACATGATGACGTGGCTCAAGGGCTTGGCGGGGGTGGGGACCTCGTCCAACCCGCTGGCGGCTAACATGCTGACGTGGCTGCAGACGGATGCTGTACAAGTCGTTAAGGTGCATACAGTGTGCGGCATGCAATGCCGTATTGAAGCTGGGTTTTAGGGTTTTGCCATCCGGCCTGCTAGACTCCTTGTACGGCAGTTTTGGGGGGTTGCAATGGCCGCGGATGACGGTGATGCTCTTCGGGGGCGACATCGGCCGCCTCACGCCCTAGGGCCCCGACCCCGTCCTGCATCGCATTCAAGCTGGCCGCTGGCACCCCGCATGGGCGCGGGGCGCCGCCATATATTGGATTTTCATATTGGCGGTTGAGGTCGTTGTGGGTTTGAAACGGTTAATGAAGCAACCGTCATTATGGTCCTCCCCGGCGCTGACGCTGATCCCGCGCTGTATCCTGCTCCCCGCGACACAGGTGCACTCCACCTCGCCCAGCTCCATAACCCTGTCGCGCTTCATCGGCTTTGGACTGGACGCCACCTACCTGACCCTCACAACCAGCAGCACCACCAGCACCACCACGACGCCCGCTCCACCAGCACCAATTGGCATCTCACAGTTCGCCCCCACACCGTACGACCCGTACCCCCAAATCGTGGTCCTCAGCTCCAGCTCGGCGCTGACGGCGGTACTGAACACCTCTGCCACCTCCCCTTCCTCTTCCGCCGCGGCCGCTCTCACGCCCCTGGTTTCGGAGCCGGGAGTGTATGAGGCCTACCCTGGAGTGCCCACATTGGCGGCGGTCATGCTGCGGTACGGCAAGGACAGCAGCGGTAGCAACAGCAGTAACGGTAGTACGGCAGTTGTCTACCAGCCAGTGAAGTACGGCGATGTGGTGCTGCGGCGCAGCTTCCTTATAATGCTGTACCCGGAAGCTACGGCCCCCGAAACGGTAGTGGTGGACCTCGGCCAGACCCGAGCCCCATGGGTTGTGTGGGCCGGCAGTAGCAGCGATGTGAGCCTGACGCTCCGAAACCTGACCCTGGTTGGATTAGTCAGCCCCTCCCGGTGGCCCTCTGACCGGCTGGTTCGCTGCCTGGATTTGCCGCTGTGGGCGCTGGGGCCCGGTGGTGGGGAGAGCGAGGTGGAGGGTGAGGCGGGAGGGCCGTCAGCAGCAGCGGCGGCGGTGCGTGTGGTGGTGGAGGGAGGCACCGTCAGCGTGTCGAGTCAGGAGCTGGAACTGTGGAGGGAGTGCTACCAGGTACTGGCATCCAACGATTCCTCCATCACCTCATCCTCCTCATCCACCGAGACCGCCACCACGGTGTCGGTCTCCACGGGGCCCAAGGACAGCTCGCCGCTTGAAGTCGCTTGCCGCAGCCTGGGGCTCCAGGTCTTCAACGCCAGCTCCGGCGCCGGACTTTGGCCGCACACCTTCACCGTCCACTTAATGATCGTAGGTGCTGCCGGTAACCGCTTCGAAGGGAGGATGCGAAGGCGAAGTTTTGCGACGGATATGAGCTACAGCTTTACAGTTTTACGGATGCGAGCTACTACAGCTTCGAAGTAACCAACCACTCTCGTCACTCGCGTCAAGTAGCGCGCCTGCTTGTGTGGAGCTGGAAGGGTGCTACTTGTCATGCATATTTGATGTTGTTGTGGCGGTTGTGGTGGTTGTAGTGCGGTTCCGCTGCTTGCGGCCGCAGGGTTGAAGCTGTGCGCCACTCTATACACCGGTCAGTCAAACGGTCAGTCCGGTCCGCCCGGACTGACTTGTCAGTGGATCCCGCTCCGTTCCGTTTCCCACCCGATGATGATTGTGAAGTGGTGAGATGGTGGCCAACGACTTTTTCCTGTGGAACAACGGGCTGTGTGGTGTTCGGCGCTGCAGGGCATGGGCGTGCGCCTCCAGGACGTCGTACTTCGCGATGACGTGGCGCCGTACCACCGGTACGACCTGGACGAACTACTGCCCGGTAGGTGGTTGTGTGTGTGTGTGTGTGTATGATGATTGAGGATTGTTATTATTCGCTTTCTAGGCCTCTGTTTCTATTTCAAACCCCAGGTCGAGTGAAACGCCAACCGTATCCACGAGAAGGGCTGCTGCTGTCTGCCGCTCTCAAACGCTTGCTTAAGGGTCCCTGCCTATCTTCTATCTGTCTGTCTGTCTATCTGTCTGCGCATCCACCGCCTCATTCAAAAAGGCACGCCGGCACCTTAATCCTTTATGGACGTCCATTTAACGGATTCCCCTCCCACCGCATCGTTGCCGTGTGTCGCCATCCATTCTACACCCTCACCCTCACCCTCACCCCAGTTCCGCATCATCCGAATCACCTCCTTCGTTCCTGCCAACTCGCGCCAACACCGAAAAAATGCGGCACGCAAATCCCATACCCCACTCTACCCCAAACGCCGTGTCGTGTCGTACACCGCAGCGCTGAGCTCCTCGCTATCGTCGGCCTCCGCCGCGCCACTCCACCATAAGGCCCCCTCCATCAAGTGGGTCATCCCCGTCGTGGTGGTCGCGGTAGTGGTGGTCCTCACCGCGACAGGGCTCGGCATGCTCGTACTGCAGGAGCGCAGGCACGGCGGCGGCGTTACCCGCAAGTACGCCAATATTCACATGAGGAGATCCCAGAAGCTAAAACAAAGTCCCAGCTATAGTACGGGTCGTGATCCCGAGGCCTCGTCGTCATCCGGCGCCGACGGAAGCAGCAAGGCAGGACGGCGCACTATTGGTAGTTGCGGCGGCGGCGGCGGCGGCGCCGCCGCCGCCGTTGCCGCTGCCGCTGCCGTGCACGACGACGACGGCGGCGATGATGGCGGTTGCGGCGGCGGGTGCGTTGGCTCAGGAGGTATTGGGAGATCTCCTGGGCTCCGTCAACCAGCCCGAACCAGTCGTTTGGGTGGTGCCGGCAGCGGCGGGGCTGTGGAGGCTGCTGCGGCGTCCGCAGGAGGTGGCGGCACTGGCGGCGGCTCCAGCTACCCTCAAGCATTAGGCAGCTTGGATCCCAGCAGGAGAGGAAGCGTCAAGGAAGGATCCAATCGTCCCGGAATCGGCACGTTGTACGGCAACGGCAGCGGCAGAAGCAGCAGCGGCAGCGGCGGCGGTGCTGGTATTGGTGGTGGCGGCTGCGGCAGCGTGTCTCTTCATGGTGGCTCATCCGTACACAGCGCCGTGTCCGTACATGGTGGCTTGATGAGGTGTTCCCCGTTCGAGACGGTGACGGCTGCGGCAGCGGCAGCGGCGGCGGCGACGGCGGCGGCGACGGCGGCGGCGACGGCGGCGGCGACGGCGGCGGCGACGGCGGCGGGGCCCTCCAAGGAGGCTCTGTGCCGTTACAGTACGGCGTCCCTGCAGAAAGACTCATTAACAAAGCAGCCGCTTGGTACGACATCGTCCACACACAATGCCTCCCCCGGGTTCAAGGATCCCGACGCCGTGTACGGCAGCGGCCGTGCCGCCAGCAGTATGCCGTCGTACAGCGCCAGCTGTGCAGCTTCCTCGCGGGTTTTTGAAGCCCATGGCACCGGAGGTTTGCAGGCGGCTCGAGCAAGGGCGGTGTCGAGCAGTGGCGAGGGCGGCGAGGGTGGAGGAGATGACGCCCACGCCGCTGCTGCGGCTGCTGCTGCGGCGGCGGCTACTGCTAATGAGTTTTTCCCCATCAATGCATGCGGCGGCAGCGGAGACCCTGGGGACGCTGCCGCCGTCGCTAGGCCGGTCAACGACGGCAGGTGCGGCCATGGCGGCGGCGAGCAAGGGATGAGGGCGGGTGTGCCGCCAGCGGCGGCGATGGCGGCGGCTTCACGTCGCGTCTCCACAGGGCTACCCGCCCGTAGCAGTACGGAAAACCTACCAGCCTTCCTGGAGCTGCAGCCGCCGCCGCAAAGGCTGTTGCGCCGCGGCTCCGAGGCGCTCCTTTTGGGCGCCAGCGATGCGGCTGTGGAGGGCAGTCAAGGTGACGCCGTCAGGCTTATCGACGGGCCAAGCTCCGGGGGGCCCGCCGCGTCTGGAGCGTCGGCGATGCGAGCGCCGGCAGCTCCTGCAGCGTTGACTGTGGCGGCGGCGGCAACGGCAACGCCTCTCGACAGCCCGACTTCACTGCTCGTCCAACCAGCGTACCCATTGGCTAATCAATCGTACAATCCACTTTATGGCGCCGTAGTAACGCTGGCGAGCATGGCTGCGGTGGTGAGCAATGCACCTGGCTGCGGCAGCGGCAGCTGTAGCCCTGGTGGCGGAGGCGGCGGAGGCGGTATTAGCCCTGGTAGCGGTGGCGGCGGTCGTAGCCCTGGCGGCGGAAGCTGCGGTCGTCGGACTGGCGGCGGAGACGGCGGCGGCGGCGGCTCCGCTGCAGGCTCCTTAAGTGGCGAGTTTACTGGTGGCGGCGGCGGTGGCGGCAGTGGTGGCGCCGCCGCTGACCGCTCCTCTTGCGCTCCTAGGCCCGCCGCCGCCAACGCACCTGAAGCTGCCAGCACTTGCGACATTCCCGCTGGCAGCAGCGGCAGCTGCATTGGTCTGCCCAGCGGCAGCGCCACCGGCTGCAGCAGCATCACCGAGGGCGCCAACGGCGGCAGCGGCGGCTTGTTGCGGCGCAGTCAAGAAATGCCCGGCAGCGCGCTTGGCGTCTTAGCGATGGCCGCTTCCGCTGCCGCCACCGCAGATGGCGGCGGCGTCGGTGGAGCCGCTGCTACCGCCGACTCCAATCCACCAGGCTTGATCGGTCCTGCACCCAGCCTGGCTGCTGCCGTACCCATCCGACCCGCAACCGCCGCCGCCGCTACACCCTTCGCTCGCGCAAGCGTAGTCGTACAAGACACGACGACAGTGATCCAGCATCGTGTCGCCGCCAAGCGCTCGAGTGCCTCCACACTCGCGTCCATGCTCGCGGCCGGCAGCGGTGGCGGCAGCGGCGGCAGCGGGAGCGCCAGCGGCGAGCACCGCCCCGGCAGTCTGCACGGGGGTGCAGCCGCCGCTGCTGCCGCTGGCGCGGCTAGTAGCGGCTCGCCGGTGTACGGCGGATCTCCAGTGTACAGCAACCTGCCGTCCCCAGCCCTCACGCGCAATAACACCGGCAACTCCACCTCGATTGCCGCGGCAGCGGACACGCTGGCGGCGGGGCCGGGCACACCTCCCCCAGGCGCCAAGCCTGGTCTGGGGCGGCTACTGGTTGGCTCGTTGTCCAATCTGTTTCGAGTGGATAGCTTGGTGGCAGGGACGCCTAGGGATCCGCCACTGTCTCCGCTACCGCAGCAGCAGGCGACGCAGCCGTCACAGCCGCCGCTGGCGCCCGCCGCAGGCAGCAGCAGCCTGCAGGGCACCTTCCGACAGCAGCTGGCGGCGCCCAACGGGACAGTTCGCGGAGACGGCTCCAGGGCGGGCACTGGCGGCGGAGGTCCTGGAGTTCCCGGCGGCCGTGCCGTGTCCAGTGCCGCCGCTGCCTCCGGTGACCTGGGCGCTGCTCTGAGCGAGTTGACTGCGGACTTTGAGAGTCGCTTGAATGAGAACCAACTTGTCATTCAACAAGTGCTGGGTTCGGGGGCGTTTGGAACGGTGTACAAAGGTGAGGAGGGGGGCTGCGCTCGGAAAGGGAGCACATCGAAAGGAACGGGTGCTTGGGGAACCGTTGCATACAGCCTGTCCCTGCCAGGATTGCCCACTGCCTGCGTACGTCCCTTCGAGCGTCTCCGTTTGCATTTATGAAAAGCATGGCCACAACCCCTACTGTTGCTCCTTATTATACTCTTTAAATTTCGCAAAGATGTATTATTCAGGTTCCAGCAGTTTGCCAAGCGTTGATTTAAGCGTACACAATGGCAGCAACGACTACCGCACCCAGTTTGCTACCAATACATGCCGTCTTACGTATATAAAGTAACTATTACTGCAGTGCGAGGCAGTTCGCAACTTCACATAGCCGGCAGTTTAACCTGCAATGGACAGCTGGACCTAAATCCACGAACCGTGAAGCACTCCGCAGGCTATCCACTATCCGGATGCTTGCGTGCCTGCTTGTCGAGTTCAGAGCATGGAAACTCGTTTTGCGACAAACGTATCATGAGGGCCCATTTGATGCTCCAACCTGACAACAACCTTCAGGACTTTTTTCTCCAAATATGTGTTGTAACAGTAGTAATAAAACATTCTTGCCGCTGGTCAATTCGCGACTTCACGGAAGAACTCAAACTCATCCCCCAATCTGCTTCTAGAGCTCACAGGCCTGTACTGACTGAAGACCTCCCTAACCCCCAAGCTTTTCTCGTCCACCTTCACTTGTACCCTCTGACTTCCCGTTGACCTTCCCCTTCTTCCTATGCCTCCCTCCCCTGGCCCTGCCCCTTTCCTCCCCAGCCCTGTGGAAGGGTCTTCAAGTGGCCGTCAAGACCCTGACCCTGACCTCCGACGCGGTGGCTGCGGGCCGTCACGCGGCGCTGCTGGAGGCCGCGCTGTCCAAATCGATCTTCCACCCCAACGTGGTCACCACGTACACATGCGACCTGAAGCCCATGCATGTGGACAGCCGCAAAGGGGGGGCCATGACGGGGCTGCAGATACTCAACGAGACGGAGGTCATCCAGGAGTGGAGGCTGTACATCGTGCAGGTGAGGCAGGCGAACCCACCGGCTCATTCGCCTGCATGCTACTGCGCCCACAGACCTCCCTCTCCCTGGCCTGCCTCCGTGCTTCAGGAGTACTGCGACGGCGGCAGCCTCCGTCACGCCATTGAGACCCGGTCCTTCCTGAACCAGTCCACGGGTAGTCCCCAGATGGAGTGGGTGCTGCAGATGGCGAGGGAGGTTGCGGCGGGGCTGCAGTACCTGCACGAACACAACATCATCCACGGAGATCTCAACCCTGCGAATGTAAGAGATCAGATATCAGGGAAGGCTCAAGACTGTTCGCAGGCTGCTTTCTCCCTCATTCACCCACTCCTCGTCCTTCCGCTCCTCCTCCCTGTCTGCGCTGCCCCCCCCTCCACTCCGTCAGGTTCTGCTCCGTCGCGACGACGCGAGTGTGTTGGGCTACCGGGCCAAGATTGCGGACTTTGGGTTGTCGGTGCACATGGCTGCGGAACAGAGCCACGTGTCGAACACCAAGAGGGGGACGCCGTTCTACACAGCACCGGAGGGTGAGAGGGGGCCTGCTGCTTCTGTTGCTGCTGCTGCTGTCCTTTCATGACGTATCTTACATATGTACAGAACGATAAACTTACCTTGCCGTGTATGGTGCCGCTTCACAAGCAGCACGCACACATACATATATACATACATACATACATACACCCCGGCCCCCGGCTCTTCTATCCCCCCATTAATCTTACTGCTGTCCATGCGTTCGTTCATCCCTTCCCCCCTGGGCCATGACATCGCAGTGACTCACGCCGGCAACCTGACGCGCTTCGCCGACGTCTTCTCGTACGGTGTCGTACTCTGGGAGCTGTACTGCAGTCGTTCCTGCTGGATGTACGGTCCTCAGGGTCGTCTGATTCACCAGCGCGGCTTCCCGCACCTTCCGCCCAGCTGCCCCCGTGCCTTCGCCCAGCTGATCAGCAGCTGCATGCAACCGGCTCACAAACAGCGACCCACGTTCAAACAGATCGGGGTGATGCTGGAGGGAATGATTAGGGAGATGGAACGCGCGAAAAGTGAGCAGATGGATTTGTGGATGACGGCTGCGGCTGCTCAGAACGACCCTACGCCGCTGCTGTTGACCCAGATGGGCCCTATAGCCGTTCCGGTAGGGATGGGGGAAGTACCGAAGGGCAGCGGCGATAGCGGCGGCGGTCGATGGCCGCAGCCGACTCCGCCTCAGCATCAAGTCCCTCTGGCCAATGCCCTGCCGCTGGTGCCTACGGCATTACTACCTCAGCCGCAGTCGCCACAGACATCCAGCGGCGGCGGTGGCGGCGGCGCTCGTGCCAACTCATGGCTGCCGCCAGCTCATGCTGTCGTCACAACTGCCGCCGGCGACGGTAGCCCGGCCGGCGATAGCCCCACACTTACGATGCTGTCTGCCACGGCGTCACCCTTCGCCCGCCCGGAAACTATCACATATACGCCGTACTCATCCGTGTACGGATCCTCCCCGTCGGGGGCGCCTGTCAGCGCGTCCAGCAGCGGAAGCGGCCCTGCCGTCACCACCGCCGCTGCCACCGGTAACTTACATATCGGCACACTGCAAGCGCGGACAGCGGCTGGGACCTCTTCGTCTTCGGCCGCTGACGCGCCATCAAGTACGACTCCATCCGTCGTGGGCCCTACGGACCTTAGAAACGCAGCGGGGCGGAGCAGCGGTGTTGCCGAGACAGTCAACGGACCCCCAAGCCATGCTAGCGGCAGCAGTGGCGGCGGCGGGATTGGCGGAGGCAGTGGCAGCGGCGGCAGCCTCCGGCGCATTGGCAGCGACGGTTTCGTCAGGATCAGCGGCGGCCTCGGTGGCAGCGGACTTTCACGGACGTCGTCGTTGCCGCAAGGCGCATCGGCAGCATCTGCAGCGCCGCCGCCGCTGCAGCAGCAATCCCGGTTGTCACGTAGGTCGTACGCCGTATCTGACACGACGAATTCTTCGGAGAGTTTGGCGCAAGCGCCACTACAGGCGCCTCCGGAGGCGAACGTTGCGCTCCAAGACAACTCCCAAATCAGCAGCAGCTTCACCCTTGCTGCCACCAGCCTGCTACAGCCTGCTATAGGGGAAGCGGAAACGGTGGCGGCGGCGGCGGCTGGCGCCCGTCGGGCTTCCAGCGGACAGCTGGAGCGGACCAGTGGCAGCAGTGGCAGCTGCAGAACCACCAGCGGCGGCGGCGGCAGCAGCAGCAGCAGCGGCGGTGGCGGCTGCAGTGGGGGCTCCGATCTTGCTTCACTCTGGAGTACGGCGCCGGCACGAAGGTACGACGAGCGTGCTGCTCTTGGTGTGTTTGAGGACGACAGCCGCCAGGCGCCGTACGGCATGCCTGCCGATTCATCAGCCGCTGGGTCGGCGGCGTTCAACGCAGCTGTGGACAGGCCGGTAGGGACGGACGTTATTGCCGAACGGCAGAACACCCTGGGCGACGGCGGCAGCGGCGGCGGCTGTGTTAGCGGTGGACCCACGCCGTCAGCGCTGCTGGGGGGTGTAATGCGCGCGTTCGACATTCCGGCTGAGGCGCCGCGCTTCGCACCGCCTGACCTGCCCACAGTGCCAGAGGCGGAGGACGAGCCCACAAGCGGCGCATCACTGACCCATGGGTCAATATCTCACGGGTCGCCCTCTCTTTCAATCGTTGTAGACGATGAGACCCTGCCGCGGGCCCGACCGCACTCCGGTGCCACCTCGTGGGCTGCCGGCAGCGCATCGCGGTTGTCTGACGCCGTCGCCGCCGCCGTGGGGTCGCCGGCGCAAATGGCGTTGCCATCGCAGCGTCAGCAGTTGTTATCGCCACGGCCTTTTGCCGTACAAGAGGAGGAATTGCCGCCAGGCGACCTTTGCGGCGACAACGACGATGACGCTGATGTGGCGCCGACAATGCAGGGCGCGCGTAATCTTGAGGCGGAACGCGGCTATGCAACCGTTGCAACTGCTACAACCGCCAGCCCACATTCGCAAGCGCCCCTGGGAACATTGACGGTTGCGGATCCTGGCGTGCATAAACGGAGGACAGTCCTTGAGGATGAGATTGCGACGGGCTGCAGCCCGAGCGCTGTCTCGGAGGGAGTGGAACACGGGGAGGAAGTGGCGGTGACGGAGCCGCCGGCGCCGTTGGCGGCGGCACCAGTAAGTGCCGCGAGTGAGTACGGACATGCCGACGGGGGTGTCCGGGCTTCCCCCGACGCGTGCGACAGCGAGGACTCGCCCGTAGGTGAATCATCAAGTGACGGCATGCATGGCGGCGGCGCCGGGGCCAGGTCCGTTACGACCACAACAGGGACAAAAGCCACAGCGGCGGCGGCGGCCGTAGCTGCGACATCAGGTGCACTGCCGCTGCAATTCTTCTGTCCCGTGCATCCAGACGACGCCCCGTGGCCTTCCGTACAGCACTGTTTTACTGGCGGCCCTGGAGATACGGCAGCAGAACTGACGGGTACAACCCCAATGCACGGATCCAGGTACGTATACGCAAGCGACGACGCAGCTCCAAGCAGGCTGCCCACGTCCGCGGCCATGTGCGGCGGCGGCAGCGCCGGCATACCCGCTGCCGCCTCACCTTCCGTTACCTCTCCCAGGGACCAGGCTAGCCCCTTCGCACGCCACACACTGAATGAGCCCACACGGCCATCGGCTTCGCTCTACGAAGCTAAACCCTCGATGGGACGCATAGTACATGCCAGCCGCCGGGTGCATCCGGTGGGTACTACGGCAGCATCGCCATCGGCGCCATCAGCGGCGGCCATGCCGGAGCTCGCGCCGATGCCTCCGCCGCCGCCATTGCCTCTGCCGCCGCCGCCGCCGGTGATGATGGGGCCATTTTCCCGCCCTAGCATGGGCGTCCATCCCGCAGAGGCCCACGGCTTCGGGCCGCTTCCGCCGCCGCCATCAGCGGCGCCAGCAGCATCACTTTTCGTCCGTCCGAGCCTGGGGGTGAACTCCGGCGAAGCGCTAGCGGCAGCACCACCGCCACCACTGCAGCCACCACTGCCGCCGCCAGACGTCGCGGCGGCGGCGCGGTTTGCAAGGGCACCCATCGGCGGAGACCCATGCTCCGCGATTGGAGAGGCGCTACAGCCCAGCTGGCCTGTCGCGGCCGCCGTGACAGGCGCCACCATCGCCGATGGTTCCGATGCCACCGGGTCGCGTTTCGCGAGGCCATGCCTGGCAAGCATTCCTCCAGGCGCTGTCGTACTGGTGGGCTCCGAGCTGCCGCCGTTGCCGACCATAGGGCCCCGGGAGGCTCATGCTGCGGCGGGAGTTGTACAGTTTGGCGGCGGCGGCGGTAGTGCTTTACCTGCAGCATTCGCAAGACCCAGCTTGGATGTTTTGCAGGCCGCCGCGGGGGCTGCCGCCCCAGCGAGCTCCATGACGTCGGCGGGCTGTGCAGCCACATTGGCACGGCACAGAGCGGCAAACGGTGCGAGCGTGCCGGGCGGCGGCACGGCGTTTGGCAGCTTTGCAGCGGCCACCTCAGCAGCGGCTGGGCGACGGCCAGACGATGTAGTCGCTGGTGGCGGCGGCAACGGCGATGGCTTCGGAGGAGCCGCCGTGGGCTCAACGCTTCTGCCATCACCTCTGCTATGCGGGGTTACTGTCGCGCTGAATCTGGATCCAGATTTGCCCCGCTTTGCCCGCGCCACAGCAGGGCGCCGCCATGACGAAGACGACTACACCCCAGATCTACCTGGGCCGGCCTTTGCCCCGCCCCTGCCGCCGCCGTTGCCCCCACCGCCTCCGCCGCCGTCGCTCCTGGCGCCACCGCCGCCACTTTCCGTCTTGCTGCCGCCGTCATCCGTCTACTGCGACGTGAGTGTCCCCTCACCACCGTCCTCCTTCGTCGCCGCCGCCAGCTTGCTCAACCCTCCTACTAGTAACGCCAGCAGCGTGGGTACGGGGCAGCTGGCGCCGTACCACTCCCCAAGCCCTAGATCACGTGGACGCTACTCGACATCCATGGCTGGCCCGCAGCTGGCGCCAAGCAGCCTTCCCGGTGGCGGCGGCAGCGGCGGCGTATTTGGGTCACCGTTGTCGGGCTCTGCAAGCAGCTCTCCGTACTCGGGCGGGGCCGGCAGCGGCGTCGGTAGCGGCGCCGCAGTCGCCACCGCCGGGCAATTTCCAGGTAGCATTTGGTCCTCGCACCAGCCCTCGCGACTGGGACTGTCACCACCGCCGCCAGCGCCAGCGTTGCCGGTGGCGACGATGGCCATACACCAGCGGGATCGTTGGCCCGTTTCCCAGGGTACGGCCTTCAGCGGCCGCGGCGGGCCCTCCTCTGATGGCATGCGCATCACCCATCCCGGCTTTGTCGGCGGCGGCTGCGACGCGGCGGCAGCAATGGCGGGCTCGGCGCCGTCGGCTTGGCTGTGCATCGACGCGGCGCCACGCTGCAGTACCGGAAGGGCCGGCGGCGGCATGGGGCTGACATCTCCGCTGGCAGCGGCGACTGAACCTCCGAGGTTTCAGAGGGACAGCTTACGGACGTTAGTGGCGAAAGGGCTGACCGCGGCGGCGGCGGCCAGCGGCAGCGCTGAAGGTCCGTCCACTAACAGCGGTGGTGGCGGCAACAGCGGCGGCGGCAGCGGCTTCCTGCGGGCCGTGAGAGATGCGGTCGCTGGCAGCATAAGCAAAAGGCTTGACGGCCATGTCACCGGCTCAGCGGCTGCCGTACAGCATCAGGCCAATGCCGCCGTCGGCAGTGCAGCTGCGGATGGCACGGCAGGTGCAGCAGAAGGCGGACTCGTGACCATGTGCGCCGGCGCTGACGGCATGGGCGTGGCAACACCCTCCGGCGCAATGCCGCACGTATCTGCCGCACTTGCGGCGGCGGCCACAGATGATGACGCCGTCGCTGCTGCCGCCTTGACTCCTCCGCCACGGGGACCCTTCGACCGGCCGAGCATGCCCCGCCAGCCCATAACAGAAGAGGACGTGTTCCCACGCGACCTGGAGGGTCCAGGACGCGGCTTGGGAGGCCTTGCCGGTATGGGTCTCGGCATGAGCTTTGCTGCTGCTGCGGCCAGCGCCGCAGCCGCAGCCGGCAGCGGCACCGCCGCCCTCGTCGGCGGCAGCGGCGATGACTCCTTCGATGAAGCGCTACGGCTCGCCAAATGCAGTCTGTCAACGGTTCCAGAATCGGGACCCAGCGTAGGACCCGTCAGCGTAGGGCCCAGCAGCACCGGCGGCGTGGAAGCAGCGCCACATGGCAGTTCCCCAGGCGGCAGCAGCGGCAGCGGAATGGCGGAGTTTCGGCGCCGGAAGCAGCAGCAACAGCAGCAGCAACAACAAGGTGGAATCCGGGACTAGTAGTAGGGGAAGGGGCCACTGACATAGCAGTGGCGGCATGTGGGTGAGGGGCGCCTGGTGGGGAGATCTGATTTGGGTTTGGGAGAAGGCATAGGGCAGCAGTGAGAAGATGAGGAGTTCTTATCCGACCTGGTTTGATTTGAATTTTATTTGATCTAATCTCTTCTGGTTGAGGGATGACGGCGGCGGCGATTGCATGAGCAACGCCCAAAGCCATGCGGACAGCAGCGAAGATTAGAAGGGCGAAGAAAGGAGACGAAGGGAAAAAATTGAGGAGGAAGAGGCCTTGCTCTGTGCGCGCTCCTGTAGTTTACGAGGTCGAAAGGGGTTTACAAGGGCCAGCGTTGCTGGGGAAGATAATTGAACCTTTATGAACAGGAATTTAGGGGGAATCTCTGCGGTGTGGTGCTGGTTGCTAAACTGCGGTTCTGGTCTGTCGTCTTGCGGCCGTCTCCTAGAAGCGTAACGTTTTGTCGTTTAGGATTGAATATGTGCATGAGATATGCCCTAAATCCCGGACCCGCACTTTCCGTAATGTTTTCGTCCTTACGTCGTTGTTTGGCTTTTTCTTCCATTAGATGTTAGTCCTTTTGCTTGCAGGATGTTGCTGACGCATATTATCATACCGGTAGGGTAGCGCTTGAACTTCTTTTTTTATGGTCTTTTGCAAACCTATTTCGGAAAGATTGATACGTAAAATTGCGTGCTTGAAGAAGGGTAACTAGCCTAGCGTATAGCAGGCGTCTATGCCAGTCCCGCAGTGCAATGCTACCCAGCCTACTTGTCAGTGTGTGTGAAGTGAAGGAGGGGAAGGCCCTAGGTAGGCATAACCTACCGCACAACGATGCCGGATACTGCGTTGTAGCTTGCAAGAGCAAGCCCGGGTTGCAGCGTTTAGGAGCAGTTGTCGCGTCCGTGTTCCGTCTTGTGTCAGGAGGAGGCTGGGTGTGAAAGGGAGCCGGAAAAAAGGGAGCCGTTCGCGGTCAAAACAGCTGCGGATCGCTAGTCTCGTCTTTAATTTATGCAGCTAGGCTATCTTTATAGCTTAGGGGTGGTTCTTAAGGGAGGCCGGACTCCAGGCTTGGAAACCAGAAGCGCCAGCCGGGTAGGCAGGTAGGCTAGCTATCGAGATATCCTAAGAGCGCGCGTGTGCGGCGCTCCGGGCCTACTGGACGGGAGGTTGAGGAAATGTTGCTCGCCGCAAGGTGTCGCACTGTCCGCTGGTTCTAGGTTAGTCGTTGCTCCAAGAGAGTAGGTTACAGGCCGGGTGGATGTGTTTAGGCTAAGCAGGAGTGCGCCTGGGGTGATGGTTGTGGATTGAATGTGGACGCTGTAACCACTGGTTACAGCGTCGGCCAGTTAATTCCGTTCCGCACCGTCTCACGCACGCACATGCGGGGGGGGTTTACGCTTGCTCCGCATTCGAGCGTTGTGTAATTAGGTCCCAGCCGGAACGCGAAGGATAGTGCCTAGGGGTTTCTTGGTAATGACTTGTGCCGGGCAGTAAACCTTACGATGGAATAGTCCATGGTATCTATGAGCGCGCGAACACGATCTGATAAATGCAACGTGTTGATTTGCCTACCTCTCGTACTCTTGGCCTGAATCCGTGAGACAGAATCCGTGCACCAAACTCCTATGTTTATATGCGATGGGATAGCTCTGGCTACCTGCATCTGTAGTTGCATGATGCATACATGCCTTCATGGCACGTTGTGGTAAAGCTTTGTACGTCGGCAGTAAATTGGGAATTGTACGAAAGCTTGCATTGATTTCATTGTTAGAAGCGATGCATCAACAGATCAATACAGGAGATATATGTGTAAATTATACGTGATTACAATAAGCTCGCTTTCATTGCGGCCCAAACTATGCACACCCCGCAGTAGGAAGTTAGCGGTTTCAAATGCATTTGTCAAGTACAATTTCCCCTATTAATGTCACGACATGTTCGTAACTTGGTTGTCATAGCGGCTGTCGTGGCCTGGGTCAGCGTCTGCATTACGCGCAGGACGGGAGCATCAGCTGTGATATGCCTGGAATGCGATTCATTATGGGATCTCAAACCTTTGCAATCCGGCCCCACTTTCGAGAGTCTGAACCAAGCTGCCGGTCGCAACCATACCGAACTCGTACTCATCACCGGCGACACCTCAGCCAGCCTCTCGCTGGCCAAGCCCCAATTTGTTCATGATACGCTTATCAGCGCTTCAGGGGAATCAAGACCGGCTCTATACCTGGGCGCCTACCCACAGCAGCTGCTGCTGGGACCAGGTATGCTTACACGGCGAACACGGCGACATCATGCCACTGTTATGCCTCGCACAAGCACATCGGCCAAAACTCCCACCGCAGATCTGTTGCTTTTACGCAGTCCCGCGTGTGGGAGTGCACAATTCAACATAGGGCCGAAGGGAAATGTTAGCGGGGGGTTCGGTGCAAGTATAAATTGGCGCCTACGGGCTGCATGTTATCAATTGCAGTGCGTTGCTGAGCAAATATTAAGATCATGCAGCCAGGTCCGGGTACTGCCCAAACGCTCGTGACCCAGATGGGTTATTAGTTTCAATAGATGGGTTACCAGATGGTCTTACATGCCGGCCGAAGAATACAACTCCTCAGCCGCTGCGGCGCCAGAAAAGAGAAAGGAAGGCACAGCCAACGAGGTCCCGATTAAGCAATCAAGGAATAAAAACAAGCAAGCATGCGAAGCAACCAAACGAAGCTATATCCCTGATTTGCGTGGGCGAAGACGCGGGAGAGCTGTTACCCTAGCGAGTTCCTTGTGAGGGCTCGCCACGTATGACCAACCAACGAAGGGACGGTAGCTGTGGTTTCGGAGCGGCGGTTTCGCCTCAGCAGGGGCTCCCCATAAATTTCGTATTGGGTCGCACCTGACTTGTTGTACTAGAGGAAATCCGACCTTCCTTTGACCAGAACTGATTTGGGTCGGTGCGAGATGGGGCCCAAGTTGGTCAGGTGCGTGTGGATTTCCTTCCCAAGCTTCACACGGTGTATTTTCGAGCTTCCCCGCCGCCGCCCTTCCGGTGACGGGCCCCCAACTGTCAACGTTAACTGGCCGCCTACCCAACCATTCCTGTTTCCCCTGCCCGCTTCCGTTTCCTCACCCCCTACCGTCAGACGTGGTGGTCACGCTGCAGGGCCTCACTCTGCACAACCTGGTTGCCAACTTCACAATCAGTACCGCCACCAACAACGACACGACCACTACCACCACCACCACCAACAACAACAATGGCAACGCGGCGGCGCAATGGTTGCTCTCCCTGGAGTCGTTCTCGTTGTCTCCGGGATCACAGTTGCGAGTGGTGGGCTGTACACTTGTACTGCAGGATTGCCACGTGGCGCAGAAGTTGTACGACGAGGTGGCATCGGCGGCGGCGGCTTTGCCGCCAGGCATCCAAATCACGCAGGTGTGTGTGTATGTGTGATGTATGTGTGATGTGTGTGCCCTCTTTCATCCCATCTCCGCGCCTGTGGGTGCGTTGGACGTCGGTAGTTGACCGTTATTCCTGCACCTTGCTAACCCATATTATTGCTACTCCCCCCTACCCCCCTCAATCCCCCTGGACCCCGGCGCCCTAGGATCTGGCCCCCGATGTGAGCATCTCCAAGTGGCTCACCACCACCAACACCTTCACCACCTCCACCACCAGCGGACAGTTGGAGCTGCTGGAGGTGAAGATGACATGTAATCAGGTGCGTGACGGAGGGTGACGGGAGAGGGCCTTATTTCTGAGGGAGGGAGCGGGGCTTAAGGGACAAACGCCGATGGAGATTGAATGGGAGGGATAAGAGCGTTGCATGGCAGCAGCATTGATTAATTTGATATTTCCTCCCCTTGGCTGGCTGCCCCTTTCCTAGGTCTGTGGCAGTGGCGGTGGTGGTAGCAGCGGCACCAGCAACGGCAATAGTGGCGTGCGCACCATGCGCGTGGCGTCGTCGGCAGAGCTGGCGGCAGCGCTGGCAGTAGTGGATGACGCGCTGGACGGCTGTCGCAGTCATATCGTGGAGCTTGCCGCTGCCGAGCTGTCGTTGGAGGAGGCGTTGGGAGCGCTCTGGCGGCGACGACGGCAAAGCGAAGTAGCAGCATCAGCGGCGGCGATGGCGGACACCGTGTCGTACAAGCCGGTTTCCGTACACGTCAACCTTACGCTTCGTGGTGCACCCAGCAGCGCTTCGTCTTCCTCCGCTACCCCGCCCGCCGTGGTTCTCGATACCGCATACCTGAGTTCCGTACTTCAGCTGCTACAGCCTGCCGTACAGCTCACCCTGGAGCGACTGACGCTTGTCAACCTTGTCTCACCGCAGCCCGGAGTGGTGGCGCTGCCAATGTACTGGGTGAGCAGGTCCACCGCCGCCGCCGCCTTCGCCGCGGCGGGGACGGCGGCGACGGCTGGCGGCGGCATTGTTGCGGCCAACGCCAGCGGCGCCGCCGCCAACGCCGGTCCCCTAGCCCAGCCATCACGAATCGCGCTGCGCAACATCACGCTGGTCCTGGCGCAGGACGAGCTGTACTACGTGAGCACGTGGCTCCTGTCGTACATGAATGGCTCTTCACCCCTGAAGAAGCTGGATGCGGTCCAGTCGGCATGGCTGGCGGGTATTGTGTCCGAGGCTGTGGTGCGTGGGGTGAAAGGTTGGGGTAACGGGGAAGGTGTGGGGATGCGATAACAATGTTGTGTGGTTACTACTCTCGGGCGAGCGGGCTGTACATGAATCTATATTCATGTACTGCACACCAGCATGCACGTCTTCATGTTCGTCGTTATGTATTCGGAAAACAACTGTATGTAGGGAACCTTGTGACCAGGGCTGCGCGTTATATGCGTTTTCTTCATCGAACCAAACCACCTCCTTCCACCGGTCGCTGTGTACCTTCATCCCCCCGCTGCGCTCCACTGCCCTCCACTGGCATCTCCTCCCCTTTCCCCCCCCCCCCAGACCCAGTACCCCTGGACACCGGGTTCCGTCTCCTTCGCCCGCCTTAGAATGATGGACCTAGACGCCACCTACCTGACCCTCACAACCAGCAGCAGCACCACCACCACCACGACGCCCGCTCCACCAGCACCAATTGGCATCTCACAGTTCGCCCCCACACCGTACGACCCGTACCCCCAAATCGTGGTCCTCAGCTCCAGCTCGGCGCTGACGGCGGTACTGAACACCTCTTCCACCTCCCCTTCCTCTTCCGCCGCGGCCGCCCTCACGCCCCTGGTTTCGGAGCCGGGAGTGTATGAGGCCTACCCTGGAGTGCCCACATTGGCGGCGGTCATGCTGCGGTACGGCAAGGACAGCAGCGCTAGCAACAGCAGTAACGGTAGTACGGCAGTTGTCTACCAGCCAGTGAAGTACGGCGATGTGGTGCTGCGGCGCAGCTTCCTTCTAATGCCGTACCCGGAAGCTACGGCCCCCGAAACGGTGGTGTTGGACCTCGGCCAGACCCGAGCCCCATGGGTTGTGTGGGCCGGCAGTAGCAGCGATGTGAGCCTGACGCTCCGAAACCTGACCCTGGTTGGATTAGTCAGCCCCTCCCGGTGGCCCTCTGACCGGCTGGTGCGCTGCCTGGATTTGCCGCTGTGGGCGCTGTGGGCCGGTGGGGGTGAGGGCGAGGTGGAGGGTGAGGCGGGCGGGCCGTCAGCAGCTGCGGCGGCGGTGCGTGTGGTGGTGGAGGGAGGCACCGTCAGCGTGTCGAGTCAGGAGCTGGAACTGTGGAGGGAGTGCTACCAGGCAAGTCTGAGTAGACCCAGGAGAGGATGCCACCTACAGCTATCACTATACATACATACATACATACATACATACATACATACATACATACATACATACATACATACATACATACATACACGCTAGAGAGGACGACACTACGCTTCTTCATGTTATTGCTGCTGCTGTGCAACTGCCCCAACAACAGGTACTCAACAGCAACAATAGCACCAACGGCGGCGCTAGCAGTGGCAGTAGCAGTAGCAGCAGTGGCGCCCTGGTTGATGCGTGCAGGAGTCTGGGTATAGTGGAGTTCAAGGCCAGTCGCCTCCCCGGCAGCAGCCCCAGCGGTCCGAGGGCGGAGTCCCCCTCCTTCCCCGCTCCCTCCTCACCCAGCCCCAGCGGGCCTCTGTACATTGAGTTGATGCAGGTGAGCAGCAGTAGCAACCGCAACCGCTGCAGGTAGCTGCAGATAGCTGCAGCAGTAGCAGTACTAGGAGGTGTGCGGGCGTTACGCAGTAGCTGGGGAGCTGAGCCCCCACGTGCCCACTCACCACTCTATCATGGTGTACCCCTACACCTGGCACTGCCGTCCAACGCCATACGTATATATTTGTATGTTTGTTGGAATGGAGTGATCAACACTTCATGCAGTGAGGTACATATGCGCGTGCCTGTGTGTAGGGCATGGGCGTGCGCCTTCAAAACGTCGTACTCCGTAATGACGTGGCGCCGTACCATCGTTACGACCTAGAGGAGCTGCTGCCAGGTATATGTACGGCAAACACGGAGGATGTTTATCAAGAATGGGGGATGTGAGACATGGAGGTCAATGCCGTTGGTGCTGGTGCTCCTACTCGTCCGCCCCTCTACACCCGTGTCGACACGACATGCGCGGATCTAGACCATTGTCTAAACCACAAGCATATACACACAAACATACATACACATACAAATACACATTCACGCACCATGCTACCCCTGGTTATGCGGACACCAACATTCTCCACATGCTCCCCCTTGTCCTGTTCTCCACATCACCCGCGTCCCCGCCGTGCTGTCAGGGTTATGTACGGCATATGGCTTCCTGCATGTTTTCTTATTATTCCTCGTTCAGACGGTCCAGAGCTGGCTCCATTACTCGCTTCCTACCTCCCCCTAACCCGCATTCCCTGCCCCACTGCATGCATGACCTCTCTTCACTATACGGCTCCCTGGGAACTGGACGTCGTACGGCGAGTAGCGCCTTCATGGGATACGGACCCCACCTCCGTCAGCGGCAGCAGCAGCAGCCCCGGCAGCAGCAGTAGCAACAGCCGCGGCCGGATGTGGGTCATTCCCGTAGTTGTAGTGGGTGTGGTGGCGCTTCTGAGTACCGTACTGCTGTCTTCCGTGTACTTGCGTCACCGCCGCCAATGGCGGAAAAGCGCCGGCAGCGGGGGTGGCGCGCCGGCGCCGTACATTAACGTGCACATGCTCAAAATGATGGCAGAAAACACGCTGCGACCATATTACAGCATGGCGTCGCGGCACGCCAAGGCGGACAGTTCAGCGAGGCGAGACGATAGCGGAGGTGGCGCCGGCGTACTGGGGACGGCTGCAGCGTCGGTTGCGTCGGTGGCGGACCTGCGCAACGGCAGTGCCGGTAGGGCCATCTCGCGCTTTGGCAAGACGTCGCAGGTAGGCGGGGGCCGGGGGCTGGGGACGGGGTGCTTACGTAGATTAGTCTTTTCCCCCCTTTCCCTTTCTCTTGTCCCTCCATTCCGCTCCGTCGTGCGTTCCTTTAACGGTGGACGCTTTCTTTCCTGGCTGGGTTTGTTGCAAGGTGCTGAGGCGTTGTTGTTATTGTCGCTGGTGCACATGGCCCTGCATATTAGTAGTGTAAAACGCATCCTTGCCTTTCCGTGCCTTGAGCCTGGCCAGCAGGCGCGCGGCGGCCGCTTCCGGGAGGCCAGCTCAGGCCACGCCACGACCCGCGCCAGTAGTGCAGATGACGGAGGCGGCGGTGGTGGCGGTGGTGGCGGAGGCGGGAGCTTCAATGCATGCATTTCAACGCGCCTTGCGGGCCCCGCGGGCCCTATGGAACTCGGCCTAACTACTGAACTGGCTCGTACTGCACCGGCCTTTCCTGGCGGCGGCGGCGGCGACGGTGGTGTTGTGCCCTCATTTGCGACGCCGTCGGCAGCCGAGTACAGTGCAGGAATGACGAGGCCCCTCGCCACGGTAGACAGGAACGACAGTTATACGGCGGGTCTGGCGCCGCAGTGGGCGTCCGCAGGGTATGCATGGCCCGCAGCCTTTAACTTTCCGTACGGCATTTACGGGAATACGATAGTTGCGCCGTACTATGGAAACCTGAACGGCTTCTGGTCTGGCTGGGGAGGTGCTGAGCCCTGGTACATGTCGTGGCCGTCGGGAGCTGTCGCGGCGGCAGCGCCGTACACAGCACTGCAGCCGCCTTCGCCGCTGCCGGCGGCGGTGGCGACGACAGCGACCGAGGCGGCAACGACAGTTGAAGCAGGACCACATGTACTTCCGCATGCTGTCGCTGCCGCCATCCGGCAGACGGCAGCGACGCCATTTCTTCATGCTGCAGCGGTGGCCGCCGCCGCTGTTGCCGCGGCCGACGGCACGGGGCCCGGCGTGCCCGGCGAATCTGACGTGGGGACGCCGGCAGCAGCGCCAGGTCCTCCGGATCCGGACCCGGATTGGCGACTCCAGCCCACAACCCACGTCTCCGAGCACGTCCAGACCAACCGCAGTCCAAACCTGCTCTGGCTTAACACCACAGTCGCGGCTGCACGCTTTGTAGAGGACGATGACGCGTCAAGCCCCGCAGCCGCGACAGCAGCAGTGGCAGGGGCGGGTGACAGCGCCTTCGAAGCCGTTCGACATCAGCTGCTTCATATCAGCAATTATACTCCGTTTGGGCGCAGCAGGGCCGTTGCCGCCGCTCCCGATGTCGCCTCCGCTGCTGCGGTTGCTGCCGCCACCAGCGGTCATAGCAGCGCCAGCGGCGGCGGTGGCGGCGGCGGCGGCGGCTCTGTCACACCGGTGCCCACATCGTCACGGCGGTCAAGCGCCGCCGCGCGTGCAGAGTCCATGTCGCCGCGAAGCGCTGCCGCCGTCGCAGCGGCAAGCGACGGCAGCGATGGCGGCGGCGGTGGTGGCGGCAGCACGGTCAGCCGCTCGGCAACGGCATCACTACTGACTCGCTCGACGTCAGTGGAGGGGGGCTCCGGTGTGCCACATTCGCCTGTGATGGCAACGGCCCTGTGTACGACAGCTGTAGCGACAGTGGCCGCGGCGGCGGCACGTGTTCCACATGCGCAGCTCACACCCGTGGACGCTGGCGGCAGCGGCGGTGGAAACGCTCGCGGGCCGGTGGCGCTGGTAGCTCCCGCAGCCGGTTCCGAGCACCTCAACCAGCAGCAACAGCCGCAGCAATTTAAACCCCAGCGCTTGATGCGCTCCACCTCGGCCGCCAGCAGCATAGTGAGGGGGGCCTTTCCGCGCCTTGAAGACCATTCCTGGTCAGGTCCTGGAGACGCCCTAGAGCGAGCAACAAGTCCAGCACCACTCAACCGGCGCCCGCCGCAGCCGCAGCCGCCGTCACCACGAAAATCCTCGCCCTTCGCCGCCACCGCCGCTGCGGCCATCATAGCCGCCTCCGCCACCGCCGGCGCCTCCGCTGCTTCCGGGCCGGCCCTTAGCCCCAGCCTGAGCTTAGGAAATCTTGGGCCCCGGCGGCGGTCCAGGGGAGCTGTCACGGCCGCAGTAGGCGACGCTAGCGGCGGCGGCGGCGGCGGACCCGCTGGCGGCAGTACCGCATTTTCGGCATTGGCGCCGCTGATGGCGGCGGCAGCGGCGGTGCTGCCGGCGGGGGCGGGTCGTCGGAACAGCCGGGGCCAGTCGGGTGTCCTGGAGCTGACGGCGGCGGCAGCGGCGGCAGGGGCTAGCAGTACGGAATCACCGCCGTCGCCGCTGGAGGGCACATCGCCAACCGGCCAGCCGTCTCTGTCAGCTGCAGCTGCGGCGGTAACGGCGGCGGCGGCGGCGGCGGGGGGGGGAGCACGCGGAGGTGGTCCCTCCTGGCTGCCCCCGACGACGCCGGCGACTAGTCCGCGAATGGTTCGCAAGTCCCCTTTCTTGGTGGGTCCGCTTTCCTGAACGCTCTCCAGGGGGGGCTTCCTCGAACGTCTGCAGTTGTTTCCCTTGACTATCCGATCATGTCTCCACCGTTCCTGGAACGGCTCGGGGTGGACTAAAAGTCGAACTGCCTGTGTGTCTGTGTGTGGGGCGAAGTCGGAGCACACGGAAAGCATTACAGGATTCAGAGGCTGACGCGGTCGAGCTCAAACCCTTCGGATCATGGCTTCCGGCGTTCTTCAGCCCTCCTGTCCTACGTTTCCTGTTTTGACTTCGCCCACCTCCCTCCCCCCCCGAAGCTTCCCAAGCATGCGTACGGAAAGCCGATAACACACACCCAAGCACCTTAGCACCCCAACACCTTTCATCTCGCTCTGAAACCACTGAACACTGAACGCTATTTTTTTCACTTGTTTCCAAACCTCAAGCTCAAGCACATAAACACATAATAAACGTGTTGCCGTCCAGCCACAGGTCAAGGCCTCAACCGCGTCTCGCATGGCGGACACCTCCGCGGGCAACTCCTCCGATAACGCAAACAATGCTACAGCCGCCAAAACGGACGTCGGTAGTGGTGGCAGCGGCGGCGGCGGCGGCTCCATCCTTCATCAGACCTTTTCGGAGCCCGTCCGGGGGGCGCGTACGGCGGCAGTGGCGGCGGCGGCAACGGACTGGCAAGCCGGCAGTGGCGGCGGCAGCGCCGCTGCATCACCGGGCGCACCTCCCCCAGGCGCCAAGCCTGGTCTGGGGCGGCTACTGGTTGGCTCGTTGTCCAATCTGTTTCGAGTGGATAGCTTGGCGGTCGGCTTACAGCGGCCTGCGTCGCCGCCGCCGCCGCCCGCGGCCCTGGCACCCAGCGGCGGCAGCCTGACAGCGCCGTTAAATCGTGCAGCGGCCGTACAAGTGATGGACGTACGGCAGGGCGGTTCGCCGACGCCGAGTGGTGTTGGCGCGCAGATGCGGATGAGCAATGCGGGAGGTGGCGGGGCGGCGGTGGGGCCGGGAGCGGCGGCGATGGCAGCGGGGCTTCCGACGGGGGGTCCCAGCCGCGGCCTTGTCGGCGGCGGCCGCTCCGTGTCCAGTGCCGCCGCTGCCTCCGGTGACCTGGGCGCTGCTCTGAGCGAGCTGACTGCGGACTTTGAGAGTCGCTTGAATGAGAACCAACTTGTCATTCAACAAGTGCTGGGGTCGGGGGCGTTTGGAACGGTGTACAAAGGTGAGGAGGGGGGGGGGCTGCGATCGGAAAGGGATGGCAATCGAAAGGAACGGGTGCTTGGGGAACCGTTGCATACAGCCTGCGCGCCTCTCCGGCCCCCAGGTTTGGCCGCATTGCCCAGTGCCCGCGTGCGTCCCTCCGACCGCCCCGGTTTGGATTGGTGACAAGCATGGTGTTTTGTTTTGCGTCCTTAACCTTCACTTCCACCCTCTGACTTCCCGTTGACCTTCCCCTTCTTCCTATGCCTCCCTCCCCTGGCCCTGCCCCTTTCCTCCCCAGCCCTGTGGAAGGGTCTTCAAGTGGCCGTCAAGACCCTGACCCTGACCTCCGACGCGGTGGCTGCGGGCCGTCACGCGGCGCTGCTGGAGGCCGCGCTGTCCAAATCGATCTTCCATCCCAATGTGGTCACCACGTACACATGCGACCTGAAGCCCATGCATGTGGACAGCCGCAAAGGGGGGGCCATGACGGGGCTGCAGATACTCAACGAGACGGAGGTCATCCAGGAGTGGAGGCTGTACATCGTGCAGGTGAGGCAGGCGAACCCACCGACTCACTCGCCCGCATGCTACTGCCCCCACAGACATCCCTCTCCCTGGCCTGCCTCCGTGCTTCAGGAGTACTGCGACGGCGGCAGCCTCCGTCACGCCATTGAGACCCGGTCCTTCCTGAACCAGTCCACGGGTAGTCCCCAGATGGAGTGGGTGCTGCAGATGGCGAGGGAGGTTGCGGCGGGGCTGCAGTACCTGCACGAACACAACATCATCCACGGAGATCTCAACCCTGCGAATGTAAGAGATCAGATATCAGGGAAGGCTCGAGACTGTTCGCAGGCTGCTTTCCATGCCTCCCTCCCTCATTCACCCACTCCTCCTCCTTCCGCTTCTCCTCGCTGTCTGCGCTGCCCCCCCCCTCCACTCCGTCAGGTTCTGCTCCGTCGCGACGACGCGAGTGTGTTGGGCTACCGGGCCAAGATTGCGGACTTTGGGTTGTCGGTGCACATGGCTGCGGAACAGAGCCACGTGTCGAACACCAAGAGGGGGACGCCGTTCTACACAGCACCGGAGGGTGAGAGGGGGCCTGCTGCTGCAGCGCCTGTCCTTTCATGACATATTATACATATGTACATAACGATAAACTTACCTTGCCGTGTATGTTGCCGCTCACAAGCGGTACACACACATACATATATACATACATACATACACCCCGGCCCCCGGCTCTTCTATCCCCCCATTAATCTTACTACTGTTCATGCGTTTGTTCATCCCTTCCCCCCTGGGCCATGACATCGCAGTGACTCACGCCGGCAACCTGACGCGCTTCGCCGACGTCTTCTCGTACGGTGTCGTACTCTGGGAGCTGTACTGCAGTCGTTCCTGCTGGATGTACGGTCCGCAGGGTCGTCTGATTCACCAGCGCGGCTTCCCGCACCTTCCGCCCAGCTGCCCCCGTGCCTTCGCCCAGCTGATCAGCAGCTGCATGCAACCGGCTCACAAACAGAGACCCACGTTCAAACAGATCGGGGTGATGCTGGAGGGAATGATCAGGGAAATGGAACGCGCCGCCGCGGCCGCGGCCGTCGGTACTTTGGGCGGGTGGGCCAGCGGCGGGACCTCCGCTGCACCATTGTGGGCCACCGCCACCGCCACTACCCCAGCGTGGTACCAGACCACGCCACCACCACCACCACCATTACAGCAACAGCCGCTTCAGTATCCAAACCTTCCACCGCACCTTCCACTTCAAGGGCAATACAAGGAGCAGCAGCAGCAGCAGCAGCCCCCCGCCTGGTACTCGCCGCCGCCGTCGCCCCCTCTACTGCTACAGCATCAGCTACCGCCGCAGATACAGCTGCCGCAACCGCAGCTGAAGCAACGGCAGCTGGCGCAACGGCAGCTGGCGCCGTCGCTTCCTTCGCAGCCCACCACCACCTTACAAGCGGGGCAGGTCAGCCAGCGCAGCTCTGCAGGCAGCTCCTCCAGCATCCCTTCAGGGGGAACACGTTCTCCCGCATCGCCCACCCCATCGTCTTACTCCCTAGCACTGCAGCCGCTACAGGAGCCGCTACAGCCACAGCCACAACCGCCGCTACAGCCGCAGCCTCTACAGACGGTTCAACTGCAGCAGAGCAGCGTAAGGAGGAGTCCTTTCCGCCCTCCGGGGGCCGCAACCACGACCAGAACCGAGGGACCGAGGACAGGTGGCGACGGCGGGGGCGACGGGGACGGAGGTGGAGGCGGAGGCGGCAGCATAAGCCGCGGCGGCGGGGCCGATGCCCAGAAGGCGGAAAGTCTGGAGGTTGCAGTTGACGCGTCAAGCAACGGCGCACTGCCGTGCAGCAGCAGCAGCGTAGGTTGTTTTGAACAATTACGCGATGATAATCCCGTGCGCCAACCGGCAGCAGCAGCAGCAGCAGCGGCGGCGGCGGCAGTAGCGGCGGCAGCAATTCCGGCGTCCATGGGGCGTGCCGGAAGCATTGGAATCTCACAGCCACTGCAGGCTGACCCATCGCCCATCCAACCGGCTGCGGCGGTGACTCCCTCCACAGCGCTGCCTCCATCGGCCCCAGCAGCGGCGCCTATGAGCTTGCAGTCCCCCTATCCCAACCCGCCGGCGGTGGCGAACGGCATCGCTGATACCGTACAGACCTGGACACCACAGACCGGCCGCGCCGCTCCGGAACCAGGAATAGCGGTCGCTGCCGTGCAGGGCACCTCACCGGGTTTCCCCCTGATGACGCTTGGCGAGGAGGCATTGCAACCGTCGGCCATATCTGCTGCAATTGCCGCTGCTACTGCCGCTACTGCGAGTGACTTTGAGTCCTCGTCGGAGGCGGGCGCCGCCGCTTCAGCTGCGGCCGCCGCTGCTGGTACAGTTGCCATACCTGCAGTTGCTGTATCGGCGGCGGAAGCAAGTGATGGCGGCGGCGGCGGCTGTGGGAGCGGTGGACCTACGCCGTCAGCGCTGCTGGCGGGTGTAATGCGCGCGTTCGACATTCCGGCTGAGGCGCCGCGCTTCGCACCGCCTGACCTGCCCACGGTGCCAGAGGCGGAGGACGAGCCCACTAGCGGCGCATCACTGACCCATGGGTCACCAACCAACTTAGCTGCCCTGGAGCCGCCCACCATCTCGCCGTCAGCTGACGATGAGGGCAGCAAAGCAGGTGTGGAGCTCACAGAGGTGCTCCTGGAGGAGGGACCCTCCATCGGCGATAAGATCAGCGCCGGCGGCGGTGACATAGCCGGCGGCGGCGGTGCTGCCAGTGAATCCAATGCCGTACGTACCAGCCGTATCCACTCCGCTCCGCTGCACCGCCCGTTGGAGGGGCGCTACTTTCCCGGCGCGGTGACGGTGGTGATGGCGGAGCATGCGGCGGAACCAGTCGATCTGGCTGCTGCCGTACGACGGAGGCGCAGTAGGACCACATCAGGGGTAGTCGGTATGGCGGACGACGACGGCAGCGGCTGCGAAGTCTGCAGAGCTGGCGGTCGCATGGTGGCGGCGTCACCGCCATGGGAGCTGTCTGAATCCGAATCCGAATTTTCCTTGCAGGGCCTGCCGGCGGCGAATGATGACCTCGAGTCCCCTCAAAGACTGTGTGTGTTCGAAGGCGCTGCGGCCGCTGCTGCGGCGTCGACATCGGCGGTGGTGGTGGCGCCGGCAACGTCGGAGGAGGTGGAGCTGTTGGCGGTTTCGGAGGCAGGTGCGGATACGACAGTGGCGGCGGCAGCAGTGGCCGCTGAAGGTGACGCCAGCGCCGCAGCCGCCGAAGCTGCCAGTACGAGGCCGTCGGAGCCGGCGACTAGGCCACCGCCCTGGTCCGGTTCCCCTGGAGTCACTATGGCTGTCGAGGACACAACAGCACGAGCTGCGACGGGCCTCCACGGCGGGCTAGAGGCGGTAACTGCTATTTTCGCAGGCGTTCCTGCTACCACCGCCACAGCCGTTACGGCAGCGAACGCTGCACCTGCCGCGGCGGCAGAAGCTGCTGCGGTGGCATATATAGGGCCTGCTACCGGGGCACCCCGGTTCACGAGGACAAGCTTTGACCCACCGGGACGCGCCGTTCTTCCGCCTTTCAGCGGAAGTACGCCGCACGATACTGCCGAACAACTTGGGAAAAATCTTCCTCAGCCGAGGTTAAGCCGCGGCTCCACGGGTTCCTTGGGACGGCAGCAGCAGCAGCAGCCGCAGTCCCGCCTGGGGATGATGCCGCATTACTTTCAGCGGCAGTCGCCGCTGCCGCTGCCGCCGCAGCGGCGGCGGCGGCAACGGCTTCTTCAGCAGCGGTCGCCGTTCAGCAGGTTGTCGCAAACCAGCACAGCGGAAAGCAGCTTTGACGAGGGTGACGCCGCCGACGACACGGATGGCTCACAAGAAACGAACCTGAAGTTAGGTGATGCAGGCGGCTCCGCCGCTGGCGGCGGCCTTCCATTGCAACAGGAAGCCGTCACATCTGCTGCGACGGCCCCGCCCCCGCCCCCGCCCCCGCACCATGTTGTGGTGAGCGTCCAGGGCGTTCCGCCATCCACGCGATCTAGCCTTGGTCACGCAGCTTCCCCTATGACGGCGCTGCCGCGGACAGGCACCGGCGCGGCAGCAACAGGTTTGCCTCGAGCGGCCGCAGCCGCGGCTGTAGCCGACAGCGCGCCGTGCTTCAGTCGCGCTAGCTTCGCAGCGCCCGTACCTGACATGCCACTGGGGGCGACGGCCACGACATTGCCTTGTGGCACCAGCCCCTTCGCAAGACTCTCCTTAGCGGCACCGCCGGCAGCTCTCGAAACAGCTGGGCGGCTGGACGGCCTGGTGGCGCAACCGCCACTGGCCTCCCCGCCGCTGCCTTCTGTTGGTCCTTTTGTCCGCCCCAGCCTAGGCATGCCGCCACCTGCAGGCCCCGGGCTCCCCAGCCGCTTCGCCCGGCCATCTATGACCTCCCATCGACAAGTGATTGAGCCGTCAGGTACGGCACAGTCGGTGCCGATGGCGGCGGCGGCGGCGCTCGTCCCACCGTCAACGGCCATCCCCTTCGCCCGACCGTCGCTGGGCGTTGAGCCACGTTTGGGCTCAGCGGCGCTGCTGGTGGCGGCGGCAGTGCCGGCTCCGGCGCTGCCCCCGCGGCCGCCGCCCTTGTCCGGGCTGCCTTATGCGACCCCGCTTGTTAGTCCTTTCGCTCGTCCTACCCTGGGCACTTCAGCGGAGCCGGACATAACAGGACTGATGCCATCACCACCGGAGATGCCGCCGCCGCTGCCGCCGCCACTGCTCAGTGTGAGCGCCCTGCCATCAACGGCGACTGCTCCGGCCCTCGAACCAATATCGTCTGTGGGTGCTTGCGTCTTCGCCCGCCCTTCGCTGGGTGCCCAGACACATTACGAAGCACCGACGGCAGCGGCGGCGGCAGCGGTGGCGGCGCCGCCCGCTATAGCCCCAGGAGGAAGCCCATTTGCGAGACCGACACTGAACTCCTTGGTACAGTGCGGTGCGGCAGCGGCGGCGCCGGCGGCATTTCCGGTGGCGATGGCGTCAACGCCCACGTGGGCGTTGACGCCCACGCCATCCGCTATTGCAACTGGCCGCTTCGTACGGCCCAGTTTAGGAGCGCCATCTCAAGATACGGCGCCGCAGCTAGGACAGGATGTTTGCCGTACTGGCGGCCCCGCCAGCTCCATTCCTTCCTGCCCTCCCGCAAACGTCGCCGTCGCAGCTGCTTCCACCTCCGTCAGCCAATTCTCAGCCTCCAGGCCAACGCAGCCTTCGCCCTTCATGAGGCCCAGCCTCGGGACCCCTCCAGGTGGAGCATCCGTACAGCAGTCGTATATCTACGGCGCCATTGAACCCTCACCGATGGCTTCTTCCTTCCTACAGCCGACCCACGGGTCCGTTCCGGGCCGTCCTTGCGCCAACCCGGATTCCAGCTTAGGACTCGCACCGCCGCCGCCGCCACCGCCGCCGCCGCCAATGGTGTTACTGGGCCCCTCATTGCCGGCGCTGCCCGCCCCGTCGGCGGCCTTTCCGCTGCCCGCCGCTATCTTGCCGTACCATCAGACGCCGTACCAGTTGCTGCAGGTAGTACCAGCCAACGCCTCCTCACAGAGGGAGTCGCGGTCACAGAACGTCGTAGCTGAGGAAGCACTTTCCCGGGCAGGCCCCGGGAGCCGTTCAGAGATTACCCCCTACGATGACGGTGAGGAGAAAGGAAGTGCGGCGGCAGCTGAGGGGACGTCGCAGGCAGGCAAGCCGACGGCATGGCACCTGTTTGATGAGGCATGCGGCACGATGGGTCCGTATGGAGGGAGTCGTACAGAGGCGCCAAGGGGCGAGGTAGCAGGAGGAGGAGCGCCGGGTTCGCTAGGACAACTGTCCCAACGACCTTCCCAGCAACAGCAGCAGCAACAGCAGGCGGGCGGAGGCGCCACCGGGCAGCCGCCGCTTCCACATTCGCGGCTGCACCAGCAGCAGCAGCAGCAGCAGTGGCTGCAGGGAACGCTACAGCCGTCCTCACCGCTAGGTGGTGCAGCTGCGGCTGGTGGTGGTAGCGGTGGTTTCGGAGGTGTGTTAGGTTCCCCGGTTCTTGCTTCTCTTGCGTCGGAAGCCTCCGCCGCGTCCGGCCGGCTGCTCAGCTGTGGCGGCAGCGCCGCTGCTCTGCCGGCGGCGGCTGCAGCAACGATGCCGGCATCGCTGCCGGTGGCTGCGCCCATCAGCTGGCAGCGGCACGACGACGCAGTTGCTGGTAGCTTTGGTGACGGCGGCAGCGGTGGGGCCGGCGGCGCCGCTGCCGCCGTCCCGCTGGGATGGTCTTTGTCGGAGGGTCCCGTTCACCGGCCGCCGGCGCCGGTGTCAGCGTCGGCGTACACAAGGCATCCGTACACATCGAGTGATGGCCTCAGCCGGTCGCTGGACTCAGCCGCACTAGCTGCGCTCGCAGACGGGGTGCCGGGCGGTACTGACTATTGCCACGGTTACGGACACGGACTTGGCCCACAGGGGGCCCCCGGGGCGTGGCGCGACGCGCCGCCATCGACCACCGCCGCCGCCTTCACCGCCGACGGGAGCTTTTGGGTCCAAGGCAACGGCAACGGCGTGCGACGTCCGGCCAACGGCCCCGGCCCGTACTCTTCCGGCCACCTGGGCTCGTCGCTGCCACGGTCGTACAACACGCCATACACGGCCTCTAGACCGCGGTCGACGGCACGGCTTGCAGCGCGGGGTTCGCACCAGCAGACCCCGCTACCGTCGCCACTGTCCCTTGCCGCCGGCAGCCCCTCATCCTCCTCCTCCCGGCTGCCGCCCAGGTTCCAACGGGACAGCCTGGCCACGCCGGAGGCTGGCGGCAGCAGCGATGCCGGTGGCGGTGGCAGCAGTACGGCACGCTCCGATGGAGACGCTGTCCAGCCAATTGCGGATGCGCGAAGGAATGGCCTGCCGCCGCCGCTGCCGCCGGAGCAGCAGGATCCGCGTAAGGTTGAGCCGCGGGGCGTTGGCGGCGGCGGCGGACTACTAAGAGCCTTCCGAAACAAGGTAGCGGCAGGGGGTTCGCGAAGTCGGCTTGCAGCAACAGCGGCGGCGGAGGCGCCGCGGGCACCGCCTTCGGGTCCAGCGGTTTACGATTCGGACCGGGGCCAGGATAGTGCAGGTGGGGAGAGCGGCGACGACGGCGACGGCCGCAGGCAGCGGCTGCAGGCACCGTCGTTTAGCCGCCGCGGCGTCTCTTTTGGGACAGGGCTCGATGCCGATGAGGACGATACCTTCAATGGATTCGGCGAGTTCGATCGCGACCTTGAAGATGTCAGCCACAGGAGCCGGGAGGGGGCCCGTGGCGGCGGCGGCGGCGTGAGACGCCTAATCGCCGCCGGCAGCCTTACGGCGGCGCTGGACATGCCTCACCGGCACCTCCACTACCAGCACTATGGGGCCGGCGCGATGGCGCCTTCCGTGCCGCAGCTGCCGCCAGAACTATTATACATGTCGAGCTCGGCGCCGTCATACCTGACGCCCGCCATGCTTGCTGGCAGTCCCTACTCCGGTGGCACCAACATCACCTCCGCTGCCGCCGCAGCCGCTACGGCAGTAGCAGCGGTACCCGCTGGTCCTTCCAGTTTCGGATCTCGTTTTTCCCGTGCCGCTATGGTCGTATCCCCCGCTGCCGCCGCAGCCGCCGCTGGCGGCGGCGGCAGCTACGTAATCGAGCATGCGTTCGGCGCTCCTGCCAGTGCCACTGTCGGCGTCGCTTCCGGCAGCGGCGGTGGCAGCCTTGGCGGCAGCGGTGGTGATTCTTTCGATGAAGCGCTGCGGCTCGGCAAATGCAGCCTGTCTACAGTGCTGGAGTCGGGACCCAGCTTCAGCCAAGCCAGTGCGACCCGCAGCAGCCAGGGCTCAGAGCGCCTCCCGCCAGCATCAAGCGGCGGCGGCGAGCAGAGCGCCGCACCGCCTTTTGGCCGCCATTCGCACCGCAGCCTGGGCCGCGGCTCAGCCGGCGCCAGCGGGTTTCGTGAGCAAGCGAATGTGGTCACTGGCAGCGGCGGAGGTGCGGCCACGGCCGCCGCCGCTGTACGGCTTCGCAGCATGGCCCGGCGGACCCATGGGTCATCTGGTTCCCAGTCGCTGGGCCCCAGCGAGGAGCTACGGCAGCTACCGGCGGCGGGAGGAGCCCCGCCTGGGGCCCTATGGCCGCTGCCGGAGGTGTCCACGGCGCCGCTGTCGAGCTCAGCGCCGATGACAGTAGTGGCATCGGTAATGCAGCGAATCGGTGTGCGCGCGGGGTTAGGGGGAAGTGCAGGTGTGTGTGCAGGTGGCGAGAGGCAGGGTTCGGCTGTGCCGGAGCAGGGTCACGGCCCAGGCCGAGCTTGAGGGTCGGAGGCTGTGGGGCACGAAAAGCGCGGCGGCTGGCCTGGATGGAGAATGCGGGCGGCAGCTTGTCGGGGTGTCCGGCGATGTCGGAGATGTGTGCGTTTGGGGGATGCTAAGGGGAGCTGAAAGGGGTCAGGGGGAAATTAGGGCCAAGAGTAGCTGGTGCTGTCCCGGGAATGTATCGGCGAGAGTTCAGGCTTTCTTCTTTTTCTTTGTCGGGTGCTGCCACGGGGAGTTGTACGCGAGTGGGTTCTGGAGCGGCGTTATGTGCGCGTCACGTCTTGTTGGGAAGCCCTCGGGAACGTCGGGCCACACGGGTGCCCTCATGCATGTTAATGTCTTTGGGTTCCGCTAGGATATACTGCCAGGGTAGTTTATTTATATAGGCATCGTGGAGTAAAGGTATTGTCGCCTGAGCGTCGACCGTATTGCGACATAGTGTGCTAAACTCCGCGATTGGACCCGAATTGAGGCGTTGTTTTCATATTTTTTCTTCTTATCCCTTTGGTTGTCAGGTATTACTCCTTCGGGTCAAACACCCCACATTTTTAGTTGTAAATGTTCAGTACTATTGTGGTACGGCGCACGGCACCAGCTGCCTCCCAAGCCGTCTGCTGGGTCTATGTATGTAGGCCTGCGTTCATTTAGGCGTACGCGTCATCTTAAATATGCATGATGGGATGGATAAAACATCGTAAATAGATGGTTGAATATGAATGATGGTTGATATGAATGCATACTTGTTCGATGCAGTTGGTTAAAAATCCGATACACACGAAACCTTCACGCCCAGCCAGGGCTGTTGACTCTTAAGCGCTTCTGTTCGCCACCGTCTGCGGTATAATAAATTCTCCACGAGTTGTCTAAGGAAACAGCGGCGGAAGGTCACGAGTTGATCACTACTCGACCCCGCACACCAATACTCAGTTCGGAGGTCATCACGAAGCTCCCGAGGCCACCTACGTGCACTGAGACCGACCGAACATCCGTACCACCTGCTGGAAAACGAATTAACCGACAAACCAACGGAAAGTACTCCCGCCATGGAGCCTCCCGGGGTTGGAACACAAAGGACAAAATTCCCGTGTAAAGTACTGCCTTTTTCACTCCGTTGAAAAATGTAGAACTTTAGGGTATCAGAACCTGTGTACCAAAAAACCCACAAACCGGTGTCCTACTACAGCTCCTCCAGCTCCCTGAGATCCCCCGGCTGTAGTTCCACTCCGAAAACCTCCGCAAACGCATCGAGAAGGGCACAGCCGTACTCCTGCAAAAGCAATCGCTCCTCCGCCGTCCAGCGACTGTGAACCTGAAGAGCCTGCGAACCTTCGCGGCTGCGGGCGCTGTCGCCGCTGCGGCTACTAACGCTGCCGCCAGGCTCCGCAGGATCTCCTGACGTGGCGCCGGGATGAACTGCGCTGATATCGTTGGCCGCCGCTGGCGGCGCGAAAGGGTCATCCGGATTATCAGCAGAGCTGCCATGGGCTGTCGTCGTGGCTGTGTCGTACCCCTCGATGACGGGCGGCCTCATGCCCGTGGCGGCCAGCAGACGTCGGAGATCCTCCTGAGTGGCCTGAAAGCGCATTGGGATGGGGTGGGGTGGGCCGTGGGTGAATTTTAGGCTGTTTTGGCGGCGGGTACTTGGTAGTTGTTGATTGGAAGTCAACCAGCCTTTTCCTCTGTGCCTTCCGGGAACTAAATTTTACCACCCACGCCTGCATGGACCTGTTCCACTGCTTCTAATATCGCTTTGGCTTGTTGTACCCCATCACAATTTCATCGTTTTCATCAGGACAGCGCAGTTACCTGGGCCAGCGGAATCATGCCGTCTAACCCTGCCACCTGTGCCCCCTCGAGGCCTTCTGAGGGTATTGATAGTTGTGGTTGTAGCAGCGGCGGTGCAAAAGGATCCTCCGCCGCGCTCCGCTGCAGCAGCAGCTGCCGTACACTGGTGACGGGTCGGTCGGAGATGCCGCAAGGCACGATGCGGGAGAAGGGCGCCAGGTCGGTGACCACGTTGAGGGCCAGACCGTGGTACGACACCCATCTGGCGACATACGTACATGCACAATAAAAAAAGGAATGAGAAAGAGCGGAGGCAGGGGCGTAGTAACAGTAGCAGTAAAAGCGGCAGCAGTTTATCTAGCAGAGGCTCACTCACTTTTTCGCTCGAACCCCGATGGCCGCAACCTTGGCTCCCTCTACCCACACGCCTGTAAGGCCCTCCAACCGCTCCCCCTTGAGCCCCGAAACCAGATCCAGCGCCCGAATAACCACCTGCAGAGAAGGATATGTGTATATATATGAAAAATGTGTATATATATGTATGTATGTATGTATGTATGTATGTATGTATGTATGTATGTATGTATGTATGTATGTATGTATGTATGTATGTATGTAAGTAATGTTACAGAGTGGGAGGCTTCTGGGCCACTTTATCACATTGTCAGTTCTACGATTTATCACCTTATAGCACCATCCACCACTACCACACTGTACTTCGCCATACGAACTGTAAGTCCAAGGCGGCGGATCCAGCCTTCAGGGACCCCTCCTCATCCATTCACCCGAACATCCGAAGAGACGGAGGGTTCGGCAATCGCCACCAATCCAGCGTGCGAATCTGTTCCTCAACTGTGACCTCAACTACACATCTCAGCAGCTAGCCATAATTTCGCGCTCCCGACTAATTCGGGGGTCTGTATGTATTGAATGTATGCCCATGCCCATGCCCATCCCCGTTACCTCACCTCCTCAAGCTGCCGCAGGTACCAGTGCAGGTCGGGTTTTAGGGCTTGCAGGTCCAAAATAGGATACATCACTAGCTATGAGAGGAAGGGAAGGGGAGAACAAGGGGAGCAGCAGTAGCAGTAGCGGTAGCAGGAACACCCAGGCCTCTTTTAGCCTGTGATGTCCTTACCTGGCCAGGTCCATGGTACGTTACTTCACCACCACGTTCCGTACGGAACAGCGGTATGGGTGGAGAGCCTGCGGGTCCAGCAGTGAGTGTTTGTGTGTGTAGATGTGTGCGTATCTGTCTGTGTATAATGCGAGGAAGATACAAAAACCCGGAAATGGGGCATATAGGGACACCCATTGGTCGAGGTCATTCTGTATCCACATAGATCAACCCATATCAACCATATCAAGATCAACCCAGGTCGACCCAGATCACAAGGCCAAACTCGAACATAGAGGTTTAGTTCAGAGATAATGAGGATCAGCTTTGTGCTGGAGGAAATTGGGCAGAAACATAGCAATAAATCCTCCGATGAATTTGGTTCGAGCAAGCGGGCACTTGCGGGGAACTATGAAGTCAAGTTGACAACAAACCTCACACAGCTTCATGTAAGGACGCGACCACTCTCCACGAGAGTGGATTTCGTCTCAAGCGCCCGCCGGCTTCACCCAACTTCATCGGAGGATTTATTGCTATGCCCCTGTCCCATTGCCTCCAGCACAAAGTGGATCCTCATTATCCCTGAAGTAAACCTCTATGCTCGAGCTTGCCTTTGTTGACAAACAGGGTTGGCCTTTTCAGATCAAAACGTGCCGACCCAGATTGAAACCCCCCACGATAATCAAACCTTAAATCCACCAAACCAGAGGAAATAGATTAACCTACCAGGCGGAAAGCGCAAGTTGTCGGTAGTAGACCCCGCTCCCATTGTGTATACCGGGGGGTGCTGCAGCAGCAATAATGCGTGGCGGCTGCTGCGACGGCTGCGGCATGTTGGCCCTGACCCCTGCTCCTTGTTCTGCTGCTCTGCTGGAAGAGCTGCAGTCGCTCGTTCCAACAGGGCCCTCTGCCAGGACCACGCCTGAGCGGAGAATCATTTACCGCCGGAAGTTTTGCATGAGAGTTGCTCGAAGGGGAGAGATATGAAGAGGTTTTGAACCGCATGGGAAGGGGTGGACTGCAGCGCACCTACCTGCTCGTAATCCACGACCTGCTGTGACATGTCGTACACCACCACAACATTTGGGTCGCCGTTTTCTCCTCTATGACTCCCATCATCATGAGCTGAACCCGTACACAAATCAACACCCATGCCCGCGTCCGCGATCGCTCGAGGGGTGGTTGCGGTAGAGGTAGAGGTTTCACCCGGCTGCGGCGCGACGAAAAATTGGACGCGTCGCCGTCGCCGCTGCTGTCGCTGCAATAACTGCAGGCTGACGGTGGTGCCATCGTATTGCCAACTGATCCCGACGGTGCCGCGGGTGCTACAGCAGGTGTTGCAAGCGCTGATTGCTGATGTCGTATTGCTGCTGACGTAGCAGGCGAAGCTGCTGGTGGGCTTGGAGGCGGCTGAGGCGCTCATGTTGCAGCTGTGGTTAGGTGACGTCGCTGCCTGACATATGGATTGACTGGCGGAAGGGGTTAGGAATGTGGGACGGGAAGCTGGCCGTGCCGATAAAATCCATCCCGGCCTCTGTCCCGTGGGCTGTCGGTTGCCCGTGCTGGGGGAGCCGTGGCTCAGGATGTGAAGGCGGTTGGCCATTGGTTGGATGTGGTTGTGCGAAGCGGCGCTGCGCCGTTCCTTATGGGAATAAAGGGAGGCGTTTCTTCGATGGAGTCAAGCTTGGGGCTGGCTCGCTGCTGGGGGTTCGTGTAATGCCGGTGAACCCAGGCGTTTGGCGTGCAGTTGAGTTTCAACCGACCACCGTTGCGCTAATGACAGGAGGAAAGTAAGCTAATAATATGAAAGTTATCTAGGAAAATACCAGCTGCGACGCATAGAAGTTAAAAAATGGCATAGCGGCAGGACAAACTCTCCAGCAGGATGGTGCAAAAGCAGGGACTCCACGGTCCTGATCAACACCAACGCTAGCAGTTACCATCATCTCTGGTCGCCTACGCAAAGAGCCAACCCCCCGTAGCCTCCGAAGCCAAAAGACTGGTTTCGGCGCAGCTGGCGAAGGCTTGCGACAGCATCAGGAGAATCTGTAAGCTCCACATGATTCGGCAGGTATTGGATTATGTTATCAGAGTTTCTTGATGGGAGTTTGTTGCTGAATGCTCACTGCACAGTCAGGCTTGGAGTACAACAGTATGTTCCTTATTTTTCCTGGAAGTACCTAAATGATTTTTATCAGGGCACCCTAGGCGTGAGCTTACCCTCCTCTGTGATACCATTTATCAGATATTTTTCTTGACGGGCGCCCTTCACGACGTTCATAACTTGCTTCAATCGACCTGCAAATTGTCATTAGCGCTTCTTTCTCCCACGCCTCCTCATTATCAACAAGCTGTGAAGCTGGCGCCAATCCTTTAGCACGATATGGCCGCGCACTGCTGGTGCGTCGAGACGACTTGGGCTTGATCCTCGGCTTTAGAAGCATTTCCTATTTGTCACAAGTAGACCAAACGTATTATTTGGATTGAACGCGTCCCTCCCATTACAGGCGAATGGTTAGCCAGCCCCGCAGCGTCCCTCGGCACAACGGCGTCTCGCTTGCTTGCCCGGCGGCGCTCCTAAGACGTTTTCGGTCTGGCAGCTTTCTGTCTGGATTACAGTTGGCATGTTATCACCGCACGCCCTGCCTTAGCAGCGCCCTTTCCAGTCCAAATCGAGGTGCGATGTATGCCCTGTATGCCCGTATAGGAAGCGTGCATGGGCAAAGCGATTGCCCACGACATCTTGTAACAGCAAATTAAACTACAGTCGCTCTGCAGGACGACTGCAACCCCTGCTATGCTCATCTTACGCTCCGAATTCCCAATCACAAAACAAATGCAGGAGACGGTGGTCTTCCTGACGACGGCCTCTCCCGTGTTGGCAAAGCTCCAAGCGGAGGCGATAAGTCTGGCTCGCAAGCTTCCCGGCGGCGACCCAGCAATAGCAATTCCCGCAGCTTGAGCCCTACAGAAGCGCTTGCAGGTCAACGCAGCGCATCCAACATGGAGAACACCCCTCTCTTAGCACCAAAGTAAGGACAAGGAATGGGCACCTTTCTCCCCATAATGCTAACGTAGCCCCCGGACACACGCAACTAGGACCTGTCCCACACGTACCAAGTTTACAGGTTTCGCACGGATGCGGGGGTGCCCGTCAAAGCCGGGAGGCCATGGACTATATATATTGAAAGCACCTGTTTCACCTTCGCGCGTCAGCGTTCCAGAACACACGTGCGCACGTATAGACACTTTCCCCTTTCCTGCCCTTCCCCCCCAGGAGTAGCCACTTCACCTCCAGGGAGGGTCTTCGCTCTGGTCCCGGCTCTGCTCCGGAGCCGCCTCAGGTCCCGCAGCACCCACCTGATTTCAAATGGGAGTACCTGGTGAGTGCATGGCGCGGTCGGAGCCCTGTGCTAAATCGTGCTCCTCCTCCTCTTCCTCTGCGTCTGCCGTCTCATCCGAGCCCTCATCCCCGCCAACCGGGGTTTTTAAAGGTTCTGATTTGGATAGGTTGGACATCTAAATCGGCAGTCAATTGTTTGTTTCTTGCATTTGATCTCTCCCTTCTCCCAATGTGGAATGGACTGGGATCACATATTCAGATGTGTGTGGGGTTGTATGTGTTTACCTGGGGCCCTTGTTTCCCCACCATTCCCCCTCTGACCCGGTTCCCTCCTACCCTATCCCCCCGGCCCTCCACACCCCCGCCCCGCCAAAAAACCGCTGCCCAGGTGGCCCTTTGTACCCTTGGAGTGGTGATCTGCTATGCGGACAGATCCAACATCTCGACTGCCGTACTGCCCATGGCGCAGCAGTTTGGTTGGGATAAGGTCAGTCGGACGGATGGGTCCAACTGGGGATGTTGCGTGTGGCAGTGGGCGTTGCGGGGTGGGGTGGGGTGGGAGTTATGTGCGGAATCCTGAAGTGGGTGGCGGAGTTGGGAGAGGCTGCCGGGAAAGAGGGTGTGGGGGCCGGAGGGCGTTTCGCGGTACACGTGTTTTCACTAAATGTTCGAGCCGTTGGGTTCTGGCCACATTTGTTTACACGTTTCTGTATTCACATCACGTCGATGATGATCCCCTCGGGCCACCATCACCATCTCCACCACAATCACCATCACCACCGCTACCATCACCACCGCTACCATCACCATCACTCCCCCGCCTGGCAAGTCCCTTATCCGGCCATCCGGATGCCGATGAGCGCCTCCGCCTCTTGCAACCTCCTCCCCGCTCCCCGCTCCCCTCTCCCCGCACACAGGCCTACCAGGGGGTTGTGCTCTCGGTGTTTTTTGGGGGATACGCCACCACGCAAATCCTTGGGGGAAAGCTGGCGGACCAGTACGGCGGGAAGATGGTGCTGGCGGCCGGAGTCGCACGTGGGTAGAGCGGTTGACAGTTTCTTTGTCGTGCGAGCTTCCATGTTGACTTTTCAGGCAACATGGGTCGCCGACTTGTCTGTCCGTCTACCCGTCTATTTGTCTGTCTGTCTGCTTGTCTGTCCATTTTTAGACATCTGCAAATGTGTTTTTGAGTTCCCGTTGGGGTTGGCCTAGAACCCCGCTCCCGCGGACGCTCTCTCCTCACCCTCTCTCTCTCTCTCCGTCCCCCGTCCCCATCACCTTCACTCGCTCGTGGTTCGTTTTCCCCCCTAGCTCCCCTTGCTATGTCGTCCCATTCCACCCCACCTTACCCACTTCACTTCCGCCTCGCTCCTAACTACCTCCACCGTCACCACCACCATCACCTGCATTGAAGTGCGGCCGCTGCTGCATCCCCATCCCCATCCACGTCCCGCCCCAAGGTCCATTTCTGATACACACTCTGTTCCCCGCCCCCCCCGCTTACTCGTTCGTGGTTCGTCTTCTTCCCCCCTCCCCGCTCCACTCCAAACCCGGTACATTTGCATCCCCCCTTCATACCCCTTCACACCCCTTCATACCCTTTCCGTAAGGACCTTTTCCCCTCCTTTGCTCGTTTGTTTTGTTTGTGTTTTTGTCTCTCTGTTTGTTATTGTGACTTCCTGACGTGCTGAGGCCATCCTCCATCGCGCTGATGTGATGTCGCAGTGTGGTCCCTGTTCACGTACGCCACTCCGGCTGCTGCGGCTGCGGGCACCCTGCCGCTGCTGGTCGCCCGGGTGATGCTGGGGGTGGGGGAGGGAGTGGCGTTCCCGTCCATACACTCACTCATAGGTGAGGGGATGGAAGTGGCGGGCCGCCCGGGGGGGGAAGAGGGGGAGCGGATATGTGTATCATAGGCTTGTGTGTGTGTGCGGTGTTGGTACGCGCGTGTGTGTATGTGTTTGGATGGGATGTTCGGGAGTGGTGGGCGGGGATGAGGAATGGGTGAAGTTTCGGGAGGGGGGTTGAGGTGGGACTTTGATTGACAGTAGCGTTAAGCGACGTTGCTTGGGTTTAGCGCGGTGCATGATTGTAGTTGGTTGGTTGGTTGGTTGGTTGGATTTGGGGCGATGTATTTCCTTGCTGGGACTGGGCATTAATTGGACTACATGTATGATTATACGATACCGCTTTTGCGTTGGTTGCGTTTTTGGGTGTGGGGGATTCACCTGCGACATCTCTCCCTCTCTTTGGCTCTGTCTTGCGTATATCGATGTCTGTCTGTATGTCCGTCTGTCGCACACATACACAGCTCGTAACGTGCCAGTCCGAAGCCAGACGACAGCGGTGGGCATTGTTACGGCAGCGTCGTACGCCGGTACGGCACTCGCCTTTGGCATCAGCCCGCTCATCATCAGCAAATTTGGTTGGGAGGTGCGTTGGTTGGATTTCCTAGGGTTCTGTGTGGGAGGGGGGATCAGGGGGTTGGTGTGTTGGGGATGGTGCACCGTACGGCGATGCAAGGAGCAGCAAAGGGGTTTAACGACTGCATAAACGCGTCGTCCTTAAACTACTACCACCAAGTACGACTGTCCTACGATCCATCCACAGGGATGATGCCAGAGGGCACAACCACGTGACTGCGGCACCCCAACCGTTTGCCATGATGGTGGTGGTGGTGTGTGGGAGTGGCAGGGGGGAGCAGTTGAGAACATGTGGGATATTCTTTAGGGCCCGGGGTGTGTATGTATGTGTGTTGTGGGGACTCCTGAAATCTGGGTGGTCCACCGCCCGCACAAAATTCGCCCTCCTACATGTTCATCACCACCACCGCCACCGCCACCACTGGTACCGCAATTACCGATACCGCCATTACCGCCACTACCGCCGCCGCCGCCGCCACCTCCCGCAGTGGGTCTTTTACGCCTTCGCCGGGCTGGCGCTGCTCTGGCTGCCCCTTTGGCTGCCGGTCAAAACACTGGACAAGTTCAAGAAGCCGGAGACGGCGCTGCAGGCCGCCGACACGTCAGCGGCGGTGGGGGCGGCCGCTGGCGGCAGTGCGAGCACGAGCCACGGCACGAGCAGTAGCAGTAGCAGTAGCAACCCTTGGGCGTTGCTGCGACGGCGGGAGGTTTGGGCCATCTGTGCGGCGCAGTACACTCAGAGCTGGGGCATGTACGGCCTTCTCAACTGGCTTCCCACGTTCTTTTCAGAGTTTTATCACGTACAGCTTGCGGATCTGGGGTCGTACACGCTATTGCCGTACGTATTCCAGGGAGGGCTTGGCGCCGCTACGGGGTTCCTGGCGGACTATTTGATCCGCTCTGGGTGGCAAGTGGGCACTGTACGGAAGATTTTGCAGGTGTGTGTACGACTGTGTACGGGGGTGGGTTTGGTCCTGTGGGCGAAGATATTTATGCCGATGGGGCGAAGAGAGTCTAAGGGGACGGCTGCGGGCCCCGGGTGGCTTTCGGAGCGAAATGGGGTGGTTAGGTTTTGGGGGGGGGGAGGGGAGAGGGGGTTGGGGGGGGGCAACGAGCAACTCAGCTGCTCCGGAACCCGCAACCACTCCCCTCCCTTTCCTTCCACCGGGGCGTGTGTCTCAGCACAAAACCACAGGCACCTTCCCCCAAGGTTAAACTTCAAGAACGCCTTTTTCTACCCTAAGTTCTACGTCTGGTACACTCTTGCCCTGGCAGCACCTTCACTCGTTCGTGGTTCGCCTTTCCCCCAAGGTTAAACTTCAAGAACGCCTTTTTCTACCCTAAGTTCTACGTCTGGTACACTCTTGCCCTGGCAGCACCTTCACTCGTTCGTGGTTCGCCTTTCCCCCAAGGTTAAAGCCCAGTCCTTGAAAGCCCAGCCGTGCAAATCTTCTATATGTTCACAGCCCGAGTCCCCCCCCTTTCTTCCTCCTCCTCCTCCCCAACCCTCCTCCTCCTCCTCGTTTGTGGTTCGTCTTCCCCTCCTCCACCTGGCCCTCCAACCCAACCCACCCCCACCCCCTCCCCTCCTCCCGCCCGCCCGCAGGTCGCCGGTATGCTGGGCCCCGCCGCGTGTCTGTGTCTGGCCGTGTCCCCCGTTGTGGGCGCCTCCGCCTCCCTGGCCTCGGCGCTCATCACTGTGGGACTGGGCTTCTCAGCTCTGACGCTGGGGGGCGTGTCGGCCTCGCATCTGGATGTGGCGCCGCGGAATGCGGGGCTGGTGTTTGGGGCGGGGAATACGGCAGCCACGTTGGCAGGACTGGTTTCGGTGCCGGTTACTGGATATGTGCTACAGGTGAGAAGTGAGAATGAGAGGGGGAGGTGCTGCTGCTGCTGCTGCTGTTCTTGTTGTTCTTGTTGTTGAGGAAGGCTAGAGGGAAGGAGGGGACGTTGGGGGGATGTGTGTGTATGCATGGGAGGTGGCTATAGGAGCGAGCGGGGTTGTGGGGGAAATCTGTGTCACAGTCGAATACACACACACACACATTCACGCACGCAAACGTGTGTAAACTTGGATAACAAGGGCAGCAACAGTTTTGTACATGTGTATAATCTCCTCCTCAGGATAGTGCCTCAGGAGTTCTGATCTAAATCTATCACTAAGCTACATCGCCCGCGCCACCACGCATACATCAACCCCACACCTGATAGCTCCTCCTCCCCTATTACCCCCTTCCCTCACATATATATACCCTCACACCCTCTATCCGCCATTTCATGTCCTGTCCTGGTTCAGACGACGGGCTCCTGGCCGCTGGTGTTCGGCATCACCGCCTTACACTACGTGGCGGGTGCAGTCGCTTGGACGATATGGTCGGGAGATAAGCCCCTGCCCGAAGATGGGGGAGGGGCCACGGCAGTAGCAGTAGCACCAGCAGGAGGGGGTGGGGGCAACGCTTGAGGGGAGAAGGGGTAAAGCAGCGGGAAGCGGCAGTAGCAGCCCCGAGCGTCGTGGAATTGCGGGTTGTTGTGTTTTAGGGCCAGTGAAGGTCGTGCAGCAGTACGGGGGAATGCGCCCTCCAGATGGAACGGTGGTGGCTGGTGATAGGATTGGATTGTGTGTCATGCCTAAAGAACGGTATATACGTGTGTGTGTGCATGTATGTATGTATGCACGTATGTAGGTATGTCCATACGTGTTATTCTCTTGCCTTTTTTTGCCCCAAGGAGAGGTTTTTCTGGGCGTTTTTTTGTTCTCCTTCGCTTTCGGCGCTCGCAACATAACATAAGCAGTGTTGTCGTTATTGTTATTGTGGTCGTGGTGGTGGTGGTGGTGTGCCGTGCTGCGTGGTCATCTCGTTCATGCCTCAATTCTCATATCCAACTTAATTGCTTTGGTTGGCGGCCTCCCCTCACATCCCCCACACCCCCACCCACCCACCCACCGGGGTGACGACGGGCTCGGAGTTAAGGATGCGGCGACGGCCGGGGGAGGGAGGTTCTACGGCGAGTAGCAACGGATTCTTGCTTGGTTCGCTATATTGGGTTGCTGTCGAATTGATTATGCATTGGGCCCTCCAGACAGGGGGGCCTTGTTCGTATTATTAGGAGGAGGGGCCAAAAGCGCTCCGCGCTCTTCCAAAATTCGACGTCAATGTCGTTCATGTCGCTAGGCAAGTCGCGCTTCGCGAGAGCGGGTGCTTTCGAAAGGTGTTTTCTGGGGGAAGGGGGGAGAGGAGTTGCGAGGGAAGGGAAGGCTGGGGAAAAAACCCCTTCCACTTCCCCCTCCGGTGTTCTCTGTTGTTAGGGCGTCCTCTGGTCGAGTGGCGAAGTCCGCGGTCAAGTCGGTAGTTAGGGGGATAGGCCGCGGTAAGAGATTGGGTCGTTACGGCCCGGTGGGGTCTGTTGGAGGGGGGGAAGCGGGGGACTGAGGAGTGTCGGTGGAGGGCAGTGGAGGGCAGTGGAGGGAGGGGGGGAGGAAGGGGCCAGCGGTCAATGGGCAGTCTCGTGACATTGGGCGGAAGAACGTGATTGACGATGTCGGTGACTGCTGCAGGTTTGGGCACAGCGCGTTGGCCTTGCGCGGCTACTGGTGTGGGCCCTAGGGTGGGTCGGTGGGTGGGTGCTTTAGCAAGTCAAGAGCTAGGGGTTAGAAGGTATTGGAATCTATATGTGTGTGGGGGGGGGAGAGAGGATGTAGGCGTTGGAGAAGCTTTCGACGCTGCCTTGGTTCGTATGTCTGTCTGTCTGTCTGTGTTTGTCTGTCTCTCTGTGTTAGAAGGGAACACCGCCAATCCTGTGCCTAAGGGCAATAAGGGGCACCCCCTACTGCAAACTGCAGTGCGATTCACCCGGCGGTTGCGGGGCCCCGCCAGCTCTAAAATACACATAGCTGCTATAGACAACATATCGCCCCGATGGTCCGTGTCCAGTCCATTTTCGCGGAGTTGAATTACCGAGTACCGCGGTGTATCGGATGCCGTACATGTAGTGCGGTAATGGATCTTATGCTGTACGCCAAAAGTGTCTGTGTGTCTGTATGTATGTATGTATGTATGTATGCGAGGACGTGCTTCAGGATCAGTGTGTGAAATCAGCCATTTTGTCCGCGGCCGGGTTCACACCTGGGCACGGCTGATTCGCACCAGTGTCGCACGTTCCTCTCTCTGTGTGTGTGTGTGTGTTAATCTTTGTGCGTGTATGTCCATATGTGTCATGTCGTATATGTGTGTTCGTAAATCCGTTAGATTTCTCGTTTGCAGAGCTGCGTGTGTATATACGGAGCATGTTGCGAAGGGACGCTTTAAGGTGCGCTGTGTGGTGGTTGGTGTGGTGTCGTGACAACGGTGTGGCGCGGTGTCGTGTCGTGTGCTCATGCTGCAAATTTTAGTCGGGTTGGGCACTCCGTTCTGGGGTCCTTCGCACCGTAGTCGCTCGGGCTTTTGCAAAAAATGCTCATCGTCTTGATTTAGCCCAAACAGAAAGGATGTGGTGGTTGCTGCTGTTATATGATTTATATTTAACCATAACAAAAATTATTCAATAAATTATAAAGGGGAGGGGAAATGAACCTGTGGAATGCTGCAGCAGCTGATGAATGGTGTTGCAGGAAGTATGGCGCTTCGAATGCAAATGGGATGATTTATTTTGTGTATGTGTGGATGGCTCATTGTGTGTGAGGCTCCACTGCTGCCTGCCTTCCTGCTGTTCATGCGCTAGCTTACTTCCATTGCAGCGGAACATGAAGGTCACCTCTCGAGAAGTTAACAAGTTGCGTTATGGTCCGGATTCGGAATCGGATTCCGAAAACGGTTTTCGCAACCTGTGGTATCGGAGCAGGACGCGGCTCTATCATATGGGTCCTGAACCATTTTCCTTTTACGGCTTTTATTCGAGCAGACGTTTGCACGAGGTGCCCGGCGGTGACACGTGTCCTATAGCAAATATCATACATGCGGAAAGGGCTTGCGACGTAAGCCGCCTGTCCGGTGTCGGAGAGGTATGTGTAGAAAAAGCTTGAGGTTGTGGCGCTGCAGCCGGTAGCAGCCTGTTCGGATCGGAAGGCTGGTTGGCCTTACGGTATTATGTCGTACTGCTCGTATACAGTTTGTAAGGCCTGCACATTTAATGGAGTCTTCAGAGTCACATGTGGGTGGTGTGGCGGGCTGCTGTGATTGCTGTTGGCGCCGCCGCCACCGCAGATATCTTGTTAATGTCGCCTTCGTGTGCTTCGCAGTAACCGCGATAAACTGGAGCATTGTGGCTATAGGGCTCTCGTCTTTAAGCTCCACGATCCTGGACAATAAAGGTGAAGGTTTTAAATTGACTGATACACATTCTATAACTAAAAATAAGTACATCGTGTCAAAGGTTGACACGACCCCCGCTGCCTTGGAGGCGAACCATATAACCTCCGGAATCATCTGTCTTGATAGGAAGGGGAAATCAACGGGTGTTTGTACGACACGCAGCCATCAAAAGCGCTCCCGGCCGCTTTGTATAATAATTACAAAAGAATGAGGGCACAAGTACTGTACTCTTGGGGTTTAAATATTTGGGCGCCGCAAAAGTTCCGGTTGTATTTCACAAACCGCGCATTCCATTTCAATTTCATCGGTTGCTTGCATACACTTGTAGCTCTTAGGCTCTTGGGCCTCTGCTGGCTCGTGTATGGGCACTCGTTACAACTCTCGGGGTATAACGCAACCGAGGTGTAACACACCCATCCATACACACACACATGTAGATGTGCAGAGTACGTGACACATGCGTATACACAGCTTCCCCTCCTTTACCCCCTCTACCCCAACATTCGCTCCCCTCCCCCCCCACCACACACCCAGAAATGCGTACCTATCTTGTCTGTATGTATCTCTGTGCGCGCTTATGCGTGTGCGTATGTGTAAAATAATGGCACAAGCTGTTTTCCTAGTTGTAGTTATCAAAAAAACATCCGCCATCATACGAATCCAGCCAGCAAAATATTTTTTGGCATTGTGCTGCTGCTGCATCCACACACACACACCGCTGCTCCAGGCCGCAGGCTCTATGAGGTCATGTAGCTCTGCTACATATGTGACCAGATGAGCAGCCTCACCCCTCACCGAGGCCACACTCAGCACAGGGGCATGACACCACCAGCGCACGGCTGTGAATAAAGCACCGACCGACCAACAAAGGAGTCGTATACAGTCCAATACCACCCTCCAGCACATGCGCGCAATCGCATGCACACACAGATACATATATACAGACATACTCACTTTCCCAACTGGCAGCTGGACATGACAGTCTGAATTTAGAATGGCAGGACACACAACAGATAGGCAGTGTGTGTGTATATATATTAGGTTTAGCGCAATAGAAATAGGAGAAAGGAAGCGTACGGTGGTCACGCTCTTGCTTTTAGGGGAATACGCAGCGGCGGCATAATGCAGCAAAGGCAGCAAAGGCGGAAGCTGCGGCCGTTAAGATGTAACATGTCTAAGATGCAGTTTAAACAAAAGTCCAAAAATACGAAATAACTCACGGTTCGTAGGAGGACTAAGAAGATACCGCAAGACGCCAACAACAACTGCATGTTTTACGTTACGAAACACCGCAGCACAGCACAGCACAGCACGGTACAGCGCACACCGCATGCATAAGGCATCAATCATCAGCAAACCCCCCAGCCACGCGCACACGCGTGCGCATTCGCCTTGTGGGCTTTTATGCCCACACAGAAAAGTAGTGTCGTAAATCCGATGCATTTAAGAGAACGCGCACCCATACAGTACGTGTGTCCTGCACACGTGTGTGTGTGTGTGTGTGTGTCTTGTAAGAATAGCCCCACATTAGGTAAGGTGTAGACAGAAAAAGGGAGAGAGAGAGAGAGAGCGCACACATCAATCGAATTGGTCACGTGACCTCCGGCCCCCACGGGCACCATCTTGTGCGCGATAAGAAAAGAAACTGAGTTTTCCTTTGTGCAGGAGTTGGAGGAGGAGTTGGAGCATCCAGAAGTCGCATAGCATAGTGGGCCCCTGGCAGTCAGCGTTGTGGTGCACGGTGGGACCTCATACACAAAAAGACTCCGTCAGAAAGAAGAAACGCAGACGGCCTCAAAACACGAGGAGGCTCTTAACCATGTGAAAGAGAGAATTTCAAACAGTCCAAACAGGTAACTACACAACCGAATTTGCGAATTTTCGTGTTCGCAGGGCTCAAAGATACCATGTTTCCGTTTTCATGTGGCACACATACACATCTACACGCACGCACCCACACGCAGGCGCGCGGGCGCAAAACGTACACGTACTCGTACGGACAGACAAACATACAGGGATACATGAGAGCACATAATTGCACGCAGAGAGCACGCAGATTGAGAAGATCTGAGAAGACAGCCAGGATAAGAGAAGAGAGAGAGAGAGAAAAAGAAACCAACGGATGACGCGAAAAAAACGGAGCCGGAGGAAATCCTCCAAGAGGAAAAAAGACAGGACGGCTGCCTTCGTCGGCAGTGCACACACAACAGCGCAAAAAAGGGCTCAAGCGACTCAAGCCCAGACCCTGATCAGTGGAAAGGTTAAAAAGCGTGCACAATTTCCAAAATTGAAAATTAATTTTCAATAATTTCCATGCCGGAAAAATGCGCGGGATAAAAGTGTCCGCGGCATACGTGTTTACCAGGCTATGGCCGATGTGTGCGAGGGCACAGCCGCATGCCCCACTTGCCACTGCTGCTATCGTTTTGTCTTGTCGACTCGGCGTACGGAATCGTCGCAAATCCGCAGAATCCCAAATCTACGCACATTCACAGATACGAGCGCCGAGGGGCACACATCAATTTGGAACCTAGACCCGCGATCCACGGAATTTCGCAGATCCGTTGTTCGGAAGGCGATGGTGGGTCCAAGGAAAGATTAGTGCTCTCGCCGAAGCCGCCGCCACCACCGCCGCCGCGGCTGCTGCTGCCGCTGCGGCTACTGCTGCTGCGGCTACTGCTGCCGCTGTCGCTGCGGCTACTGCTGCTGCGGCTACTGCTGCCGCTGCGGCTACTGCTGCTGCTTCCACCGCTACCGTTGCTGATTCCCGTTAGGTTCACCCTCCTTCCTGATTTTTGCATTGACTCGGCATCCGCGGCCGCAAATCGTCCCCATATCAACGAAACCAGCGCCGTAAACACCACCATCTGTGAACGACCGATAGCCACCACCGCCGCGGACGAAGCTGTTAAGCTCTTAAGCCGCAGCTAGAAACTCGCAGCTAACAACATCCCACCAACATCGTCATCGTTATTAACCGAAACAGTTAAACACAACGGTATCTACGGCAATAGCAAACCGCCAAGGGACTACGGGATTCGCGGCCCGGAACACACCACTCTGCGACAGACTCTTTGCGTGCACGCAACTTTGTTTGCACCGCCCCGAGAAGCTTCTTCTTGAAAGCAAAAAGAGCCAAAAGAAAACCACGAAGGAGCACAGGAAGGAAGAGACGAATCCTATTTAGGAAAAGAGATATTCCTATTCGGCGGGAAAAAAACGAGAAATGCGCCCATACGCTTTGTAAATATCGCGAAAAGAAAAAACTTTTTTCATGGAGAATTGTGCAGAAAAAGAGGCACACACACACACACACACACAAACACACACAAACACACGCGCGCACACACACACAGAGTCACTCACGACTAGATGCATAGACATAAAGTACGAGAGACTCACCGTTGTGGTAAGGAGATCAAGCGGGGAGGAAAAGAGAGCAGGTCTGATGCAGCAGAACTCGCGGCGCGCGCATGTGAAAAAAAGAACACGAACAAGGTCACATCGCGACAAGTAGGCAAAATAAAACGATAACGCAAGGGGGAGGGGAAGGGGGGGGATGTTCCCACCCATAAAGCAGAGCACAAAAAAGACAGACAGACAGCCTAAAAAACACAAAACGGCGGCTGACCACAAAAAAAAGGTCCAGTCCAACCCATGACCATTAGACTGACAACAGCGGGATAACGAGAATACAGAAACAGAAGAAGATGAAAATCAGACAGGGACATGAGAAGTTGAAAACAGGGGGAAATGCTGCCTCGGGGGGTCCTTTCATACCTCCGACCTCCTACTGATCACCGACCACTGACCACCACCACCACCGTTAGCAGTCCAGAGCTATACCCCCGACCACATAACCCCGTGATCCCGTGATCCAGCCTCTGTGTATACTCCCCTGGAGCTCGTACTCCAATCCGCCACCTTCAACCTCCCCGCCCCCTTTTTCTTTCCTCCTCCCTTTTCCACTCCCGCCGGCGCCGCCGCCGCCGCCATTGCCGCCACCACCGCCCTAGGGGCCCGCCCATGACCACCACCCCCGTTCAGTCCATCACCCATGCAGTCGGCGGCGGGTTCAGCGCCCCGGCGGCCCCGTCCCGTCCCCTTCCCGTCGTCTCAGGGATGCGAGGTAAGGTCTCTTGTCTCTTGTCCGAGTAACACCCCACGCCACGCGCACCCTGGACCTGAGCGACCGCCCACCACCACCACCACCACCACCACCACCACCACCATCACCACCACCCGGCTACGGGGCCCCCCAAGTTCGGTTGTTTGTTCTCTCCACCCGCCACCCGCCACCCGCCGACTCAGAAAGCCGCTCACCGCACATTTCCCCTTCCCCTCCTCCCCCCCCTCCCCGCCTTCCCCCCCTCCCCGCCTCCCCTCCCTCCCCGCCTTTCCCCCCCCCAGGAGAGGATAAGCTGCGCACTATAAGCGACGCATCTACATGCGTCGTCTTGACGTCAGGTACGATATCGTCAAGTACTATAGAGGTGCCGTACCGGCCGTAATTCCGTACAAAGGAAACATCGTATGCGCATGCCTCAGGCAATAGGGAACGCTAAGGGGAGAGAGAGACACACACGCACAGAGAGAAATACGCCACATACATACAGACACACGCACACAGACGCACACACACACACATTTCGTTGTAGTGTCCCAACATAACACAGAAGCACTAAGGATACTTACGAAATACGGCCAGGTACGACGACATACATACGCACACACACACACGTACACCTACGTACATACGCTAGTATAGACGTCATATTAACACGCATGTACGATATACCACAGGGTCGTCATAGACACAAGCGGGCACGTGATCATCGCATCCTTGTCATTCTCCGTACGGAAAGGCTGTTCCCCCCGACTTCCTCGTCCTGCAGAGTCCGTACACTGTCGTACCGAGGGGTTGCGGGACCCGGGGGTCAAGATGGACTCGTCCCCAGCCCTCAACAGCGCTAGTACGACAACGATAACGATAACAACGACAACCATACAAATGACGGCGACAACAACGGTTTCGGAAATTTCGGAATTCGGAAATTTAACCGAAATGGCGGTTGGGGTGGTTAAGTGTCCGGAGAAATGCCCAGGACGCCAACTCGCGTCGGGTGTACGGAGGGCACTTCTTTGCACAATGGGGACAACTTCCCCTTCTTCAAGATGATGAGGATATGATCTCATTCCTGCATTCCACATCGCGTATGCATACACACGCACACATATCACACACACACACACACACACACACACAAACACGCGCGCGCATGTACTGCACGCACACACCTTATTGTTCACGTCCGCACGTACAAACGCGCATAAAGTCGACAGACATACATCCGCATACCTGAGGGTGGCGCCCCCACCCCCACCCTCACCCTCACCGGGGACAATATCCTCTACCAGACTAAAAAGGGAAGGAAGCTCACAACCGTCACCAGGCGCAGACAGCGACCCCAAAAACGTGAAAATACGCTGCTGGAGGCGGTGCTGCCGCATGCGCAACAGCCACACGCCGTTGCTGTACGACGGCGAACCATCCCCGAAAAAAAACCGTTCGCAACGCTGGAGCAGCAGTAGCAGCAGCAGTAGGACCAGCAGTAGTTGCAACAAAAAGTGGGACCTGTAGCGCAAAAACACAGATCCATGCAAACGAATGCACAAGACGTATATAATTTATCTATGCACATATAGACATACATATGCACGTCATCACATATCATATCGCATCACATCACATACATACGTACATACACATTCCGGTTCAGGACGCATCGCTGGCCTTCATCCTGCACCGCGTTTCCCATACATACATACATACATACACACATACATACACACACGCAGCAGCAGCAGCTTATCCCGCCCTCTTCTTGATTGCCCCGCCGTCCTGCCAGCTCGTTACCCCCCTCCCTCTCATTAATTAGCCATGCAACCAACCCGCCCGCCGCCAGCTGACCCCCCCCAGCAACCCTGCCAACCAATCAACCTGCCCGTCTCCATGCGCGCCCACGCCCACGCCCTCACGAGGGGCCATGGGGATATATTCTCCTGCGGCTGCTATAGCTACTCTTGATGCAGCTCGCAACAACAAAATCTCTGCTGCTGCTGCTGCTGCAGGCTCTATTACAGCCCTGACCTGCGCTTCGTATACAGCGCGCAATATATACATACATACATACATACATACATGCATACATACATACATACATACATACATACATACATACATACATACATACATACATACATACATACATACATACATACATACATACATACATATATATACATACATACATATATATTACCCATCCCTGCCAGCGGTTCCTTCTCGGACAGGAAACACTCTCAGCGCACCGTACTGCTCCACCCAACCACCCAACCACCCAGCAACTTAGGACAACCCAAATGAACTTAGGAAAAGTAGAGGGATGGAGCGGGAAGAAGGGCCAGAGGGGAGAGGGGAAAAAGGAGAGGGGGCCCAATCCGCCTAAATGTCACGCCTTTACCCTGTGCCATGCCATGCCATGCCATGCCGTGCAGTGCAATGCTGAGCAGCAAGAGCCAGGAGCTCCCTCCCCCCTTCCCTCCCTCCTTCCCTCCCTCCTTCCATCCCTTATTTCAAGTCCTCAGTTACACGGCGCTACGGCGCCCTCCTCTTCCTCCTCCTCTTCCTCCTCCTCGAGCCAGAGCTTCCCTGCTTCGCGCCAAACCCCACCCCTCTCGCTGATATCCACAGAAGATGCATGCATGTCGTGCTGCTTCTCCTCCGCTACCTCCTGCTCCTACTCGTCGCCAGCACTGCTGGGGGCTCCCCTCCCTCCTTCTCACCCTCCTTTTCCCCCTGCCTGACCGCCTGACCGCCTGCCTGCGCCCTCACGCTCGCTGCGCCGCCGGCTGTTCCTTGGCTGCTGCCGGTGGCGCTGCCGGGGGCTGTGGCGGTGCCCGGGGGGGGTTCAGGTCCTGTCGGGCCCACGAGGGGGAACGGACCCCGCCTGCGGTGTGTGTGGGGGTTTGTGTGAGGGTGCCGTGTGTGTTTTGAGAGGAAAGGGAAAGTGAGCCCCGCGGTGGCGGTCGGGGTGCGGTGCCGTGCTCGCATGTGCACACTGCTGTCAACTAGGACCGCCAACCAGCCTAACCGTTTACTCCGTTTACAAACAGGTAACAAATATATTCATGAACCCCTCGGCTCTCGTCCTCTGGCTGCTTCTTAGCCAGCCATTTCACCACCGGTCCGCCCACCGTCGTCTCTTCTCTGCCAACACAGATAGACAGACAGACAGATAGACAGACAGACAGACAAGTAAGACACACATATTCGCAACGCACCTTCAGCTTGACCGCCAGACCCCTGTTCCTCGCCTCCAGCTCCTTGCACGACCTCTTCAGCTCGGCCAGCTCGCGACTGTACTCGTTCTTGCTGGAGAGGAGCTGCTGGTATCGCGCCTGGGTTGCCGTACATGGCGTATACGCCGTACGTACGGGGAAGAAACGTTTGTCGCGTGAAGTATAGACCCCCTTTTGTCAAGAGAAGCGAGAACGCGATGGCTACCAAGGCCCTCAAACAAACAAACAGCCTCAGTGCACGTAAGTATGTATGTATTTGCGGGTAATCAGCGGGTCAAGCCCCCTCTCCCTTCCTTCCCCCCTCCCGTTCTCCCCTCCACACACCTTAAGCCCCTCCAAAATCAGTTTCTGTTTCAGTTTGGATCTCGCGGCGCTGATTCTGTTGGCCAGTATTCTCCGGGCCTTACGCGGGTCTATGGAGGGGTCCAGGCGCGGGTCCTCCGCCGGGGCCCTCCCCCCCTTGCCCTTGCGCTGCACCTTCTCAAGCAGCGCAGTCACCGTCTGGGGCTCCAAGTCGCCTGAGGGGATGAGGGGTTGGGGGGATGGGGAGATGAGGGGTTGGGGGGATGGGGGGATGAGGGGTTGGGGGGATGGGGGGATGAGGGGTCGGGGGTTGGGGGGATGAGGGGTTGGGGGGAATGGGGCGATGAGGGGGGGTAAGGCGAATCACGGACGAGGGAAGCAGATACCAGATTCAGACGGATACTCTACACAAGGTTAGACACGGTAACACTGCAGGAGGGGTTTTGCTGAACCCTCTGTCTCTGCGGATGTTCGGGTGACTGGATGAGGAGGGATCCTAGAAGGCAGGATCAACCGCCTTGGACTTCCAGTTCGTATGGCGTAGTACAGTGTGGAAATGGTGGATGGTGCTGTATGGTATGAATAAATCGTAGAAATGACAATGTGCTCAATGGCCCAGAAGCCTCCCACTCTGTAACAATTCAATTCAAAGATGAATGAGCTGCTGCCGGAGACTCAGACGAATGAGCTGCTGCCGGAAGGCGTCCAAAGTCCGAAACTGCCCCCAGGGAGTGAGTCCTAAGCGATGAGGTCACATCGACCCGGGGGGGGTTGGGGGGAAACTCAGCGAAAGCTAACCTGACTGACATGCGGAGCTGTAACCAACCCAACCAACCAACCAACCAACCACCAACGAATCCGCCAGGTCCCCACTCGGTCTCCCAACCTCTCCCCCCCTCTCACACAAAGGTGTAGACACACACATAATGCCGTACTGTTGACAACCACTTACCCAGCACATCCAGGTCTGCAACGGTATCAACCGACTGCGACAACAGCTGCTCCAGGGTGGGTCTTTGTCCTGGTGGGAAATGGTTCAAAAGGGGAGGGAGGGCGGCAGTTGAGGAGGAAATGAAAATGGAAAAAGGCGGGAGGTCACGGTTCTGGTTCAGAAAGCAGAACCGACGACGTGGGGAAGGGATTTCGAGGATGCGGTGGACCAAGGCGCTGAGTTTAAGGTAGGTGGGTAGGTTGTGTTAGGGCTCACATCACACCTTCGTTCTTCATCAAATTTATATCATAGTTGTCCCATAATATCCGTCCTAGGTGCAGCCAAGAGTATAACTCCCAACTGTCTGTCACACTCTTGGCTGTATGAGAGTTAGCTTTGGAGCTCTTTGAGCTCTTTGAGCTCGTACTCTCTGGGGTATCAGGAGCTCCAAACCCCAACCCAACGAGACAGTCGCTCACCAATCTGCAGCTCGTCGCCGGATGCCGCCGAAGCGGCACCACCACCACCACCACCACCACCACCACCACCACCGGTCGACTCCCGCCGCGCGGCGGCGCTGCCAGCACTCCCCCTTAATCGCCGGACAGCAATCTTGCGGCGGGGTCGCCGGTGACTTGCTTCGCCGTCGTCAGTCGTACGGCGGCGGGCGCCGCCAGAGCCGCCGGCGGAACCGCCGCCGCCGGGCAGCCAGGAGTCCTCCCCGGCGCCCTCGCCGTCGGCGTCGCCGCCGTCAGCGTCGCCGTCACGCATCTCATCGGCACTGCCGCCGCCGGTCGGCCGGCCCCCGTCGACCACCTCGCCCTCCCCAAAGTGCTCCTCCCCGCCGTTGGCAGCGCTCACGACGCCGCTATAGCCGCCCGCCATGCCGCCGCCGCCGCCGCTGCCGTCGGCCGCCGGTCCCGCTCCCGCCCCGATAAACCCATGGGCCAAGTGCAACGTCGGCTGCTGAGACTGAGGCTGCTGCTGCCGTACCAATGGGCGCCGGCAACACCACGCCTCTCACCCCAGTTGGATCGCTCAGACCCGACAAGGTCGGATCCCAGGATGGCAGCGGATGCATGAGTCCTGCACTTGGGTGAACCATGGGTCCGTCCGACGGGTAACCCAGCGCCATGCACGTATCGGTTTCATGGCCAACGCCGCCGCCGGCGCCCGGAACAACGACCCCAGTATCGGAGCTGTCGGCAGGACCGCTGCCGCCGCCGCCGTTGGCAGAGGCGCCGGCGGCTGCTGCGGCCGCACCTGTCCCTGCCGCTCGGCCGCCGCGGCCGCCTGGCCCGCGCCAGCTTGCTCCCAACTGCGCCTGCTGTTGCTGTTGCTGCTGCTGCTGTTATTCAACAATAAAAGGAGAGCAGCGCAAGAAACCAGGTAATAATCGACGCGCACGAGGGAAAGAGAACGGAGCGGGAGGTGGGTGAGACAAATGTTTTTCTTTTCCTTTTATGAAGCATTCGAAGGTGAGGAAAGAAAGAAAAGAACATCGAGGAAAAGAGCAGCACCGAATAGAAACTGCACGCGGATACCTTCAAGCCGCCAAGCGGCAGCCAAGGAACACCGGTACACTGCGGCAGCATAAGACCTCAACAAGAGGCATGAAGCGACAACGAACTTCCTAGTTGCTCCAACTGTCAACTGCCAGCTGTGGTTAAGGGCTAAAACGGCCCGATAACGCAATAGACGTTCGTACGGAATCTAGCAACCCATCATCACCGGATAGACCACATTTACCGGCTCCACCCAGCACCTGACGAAACCTCTACCTATATATTACGTATCAATACTTCCTTCCCAGGGGGCTTAACTCCGTTTTATATATCGATTGCCCCCACATTTGTGCGGAAATGGTAGAAACTTGTGACTTGTGTGGCTTGTATTATAAGAGAGAGAGATAAACATTTCGCCGCAGTAGTTCGCGTTTACCTGCATGGCCTGGGCCTGGGCCTGGGCTTGCTGCAGTTGTTGTTGTTGGTGCTGTTGTTGGTGCTGCGGGCCCTGGTGCGGATTTAGGTGGGCATGCTGGCCTTGATGGTGCTGGAGCTGGTGCTGCTGTGTCGGTCCTGCGGTGCTGTTAAGCTGGTGCTGCTGGTGCTGCTGTTTGTACTGCTGCTGGTGCTGCTGGTGCTGGTGCTGCGGGCCCTGGATACTGCTGACGTTGTGAAGCTGCTGCTGCGGGTGGTGGTGCTGGTGGTGGTGATGGTGAGGATGCGGATGATGATAGTGAGGGTTGTGATGAGGGTGCAGCGCCGCCGACGACGGCACCCCGCTGCCGTCGTACGGTTCCGCCGCCAGGTCTCCAATGAAGCCGTGCAACTCCGCGCGCAGTTGCTCGTCCTCATCACCGTACTCGGAGTTTGGACTGCCGCCGAAATGTGCCAAGAGCTCCGGTAGCGGCAGCGGCAGGGGGAGCTCGGCGTCAACCTGAGCCATGACGTCCGCAGCTGCAGCCGCGGCGGCTGCGGCTGAGGCCACGGTGCCGCCGGCAAGCTCCGCGGCGGCGGCGGCGGCGGCAGCGCTGCCGCCAGCCACCAGTCGCATCTGTGACATATCGGCAGTCCCGAAGTCACAGCGCAAGGACTCCGACGCGACAGGATGCAGGTGTCCCGAAGGCGGTTGTGGCGGCTGCTGCTGACGGTGCTGGTTGTCCTCCGGGTGGAGCTGAGCTTGACTGGAACCTGGGGGCCCACCGGGGGCGGTGAAGTGATTGAACGTCGCGGGGACAGCCGCTGGGTGGTGGGAGTGATGATACGGTGCCGGCGGCGGCTGTGGCGACGTCTCCGCGACACGGCCGCCACCAGTGGCGGCGGCGGCGGCACCGTCGCCAGAGCCACCAAGTTGGCGCTGCTGCTGCTGCTGCTGCAGCTGAGGCGTTAGTGACTGTTGTTGGTGCTGCTGTCCTGCGCGCGACGTCGGGAAAGGGTGTGCACCGTACGCCGAGTTGTCGTACACAGTGTACGGATGGCCGCCAGTCTGAGCTATTATCTCTCCTTGTAAGGGGGTCTGTGGATCACCCAGGGATGGGGCCCCAGAGGCGGCGGCGGCACCGTCGGGGAAGGCGCCGGGCTGAAGCGGAGCCGCAGCCGCCGCTACTGGCCCCGCTATTGCCGTACCGGCAAGGGACACGGGTGCGGCGGCGTACCCGGGAGCCCCATATGCCGGCAGCGGTACGGAGTGTGCACCCCCCAGCCGGCGGCCGTACGGTAAAGCCATTTCTGTTGCCAAGGGGGACAGCAAGCCGACTTAGGCCGATTGAAAATGGGTATGTCATTTTTGGACGGCGTTACTCGGAAAGGACGAGCACGGGCCATCTGTCCATACCAACCGCGAGAAGCGCCACGGTAACCGCCCTTAATGCAACATCGTAGTGAAGCATGCTTCATGTCCGCAATAGAGAAATACATTCGTTTACCATCGCAAGTTAGCCTTCGCAAGAAAGTTCCCAAACAGTGCTTACATCTAAACAAATCAGCGCATATTTGTCTGTATGCCATATGTGCAATGGCAAAAGGCATGTTTAATTTATGGAGTAAATTATTCGCACAGAGTTATTCGCAAAGATGCAGGGTGAACTCGATGTTCGTGAGAAGTTGGCTGGAGTACCGGAGTCAAATTTATCAGCCGGAAAGTTGAATTTTGCAAATCGAACCGCAAAGATGCAAAAGATTATGCTGTGCAATTAACCACAATACAAAGGAACGGCGCTTGCAGCCAAAGCGCTAGTGTCGCTTGTAAGCGGTTGCCACGGCGGCAAGCAGCTACTCATCATCAGTCATAATTTTGATCAACAAGAATTTCCAGGAATCCTAAAATTTGCTTTAATTGTTGTCACGCTCTTTCGCCGCATGCAAAGCGGTTACCCCGTCCACCGGAACTTCCCTGGCGGTTACCGGGGCCGCTCTTAATGGCGGATAGGCAAAATTCACACCGGCTTGCGCAATTTTCACCAAGCAAACCGTAGCGCGCAATACCGGACAGGACGTCCCCCAATAGAGAGGATCAACGAAACTTTCAACCCAGGCGGTTCTTAAGCTTAACAAGACTTGAATCATTAAAAGAAATACATGTCCACATCGAGGCGCTCTTGCGAAAGCCGACGGAAAGAAACGGACACAAAGTGGCACGGCCAGGAGCCGATCATTACCGGAAGCAGAAAAGTAAAAGCATAGCATCAAGCTGCATCGCGGCGGCACAACTTTTCACGTAACATCTGCACAAAGCACGAATGACGAAAACACCCACCCACCCACTCACCAACACGCATGTGCGCATGATATCAAGTAATGAACCCTCCGTGCCGACAGTCCACCCACCACAGCGACCCACACTGTCGCTCACCTTCTTGACCATAATAATGCGGCGGTAGCGCCGGCGCGTACGAATACATCATCTGGCGGGACCTGTACGGCGGAGCATACGGCACAGTATACATGTGCCCTGGCGGCAGCAGCTGCGGAGCTAGCGGGTAGCTGCTGGCCGACGGCGGTGGCAAAGCCGCCGGCGGCGGCCCCACCGCGGCGGCTCCACCGCTACCGCCGCCACGGACGGCGGGGGAGCTGGCAGACGTGGTCGCACAAGGTTCGCTGCTCGCGGGCGGCAGCAGCGGCGGCGGTGGTCTGAGGATACCGCCCTCTGAGTGCTGCATCCGCAAGGGAAGGGGGAGCCCCTCCAGAGCCGGGTCGGGCTCGCCACTGCCACTGCCACCGCCGCCGACGCCAGGCCCTACAGGGCCTACGACGGCGGCCTGAGCATCAGCCGCCAGGAAGGGCGACTGCGGGATAGACGGACAGACACACAAACAGGCAGACACACAAACAGGCAGGCAGGCAGGAAACGCTTTCAAGCAAGTGCGGGGAGGAGGTGGTCAAGCTTAGGTAACTGTGGTGGTCAGGTTCTGTCTGGCCGGTGCAGCGCACAACTCGCGAGCAGGAGCAGGAGCGGGGACAAGAAGAACGAATGGAGGCGGCCTTCGCGAGGAGGATGGAGAGAAAGATGATTTGGGTCACGACGACGACGACGACGACGAGGAGGAGGAGGATGCGGAGGAGGAGCGAGGAGGCCTTAGGGAGGGTTAAAAAATGTTTTTGGAGATTGGGAAATATTAAAACAGGAAAATGGAAAGACTTCTAAAAATACGCATGAGCTGGGTCATGAGCCACTGGGGACTCCGCAAAGCTCCGGTGTTCAAGGGTCAGTCTCTCTCTCTCTCTCTCTCTCTCTCTCACACACACACACACACACACACACACATAAACGCACACGCACACGCACACACACACACACACATAAACGCACACGCACACACACACACACACATAAACGCACACGCACACACACACACACAAACGCACACACACACAGCACCCGGCACCGAAACAGAACCGCAATCAGACTCGGACCAAGGGCGGGCACAGGGCTTAGTCCGGGAGCGCGGGCCCCGTCAGGAAGGGCATCGAAATAACAAACACCGCCAAAAATCACCCTCAGGTCGAAAGCATACGGCAGCGGAACCGCATATGGCTGAGTGGGGTGGGGTGGGGTGGGGTGGGCTTGGGTGCCGGGAGCCCATTGGGGGAGGAGGGGTTACCGCCTCTCAGCAGGTGGGAGCCGCGGGGGGCCTGGGGGGAAGGGCTCTGAGCTCGGGAAGTTTTGGGGAGGACGGAGATCGATACGGCATATAGTCGCGCACGCTACAGGCTCAATAACACGTGCGCACGCACACAAACGTACACGCGGACCGCCAATCTGGGCCCCACAGCTTCCTTTGAAACAACCACCAGCGCGGTTGCAAGTCAAAACCATATCACAGCAATAACAGGCAGTCTAGGGTAGGGGCGGGTCAATATACGGACCGCACCCCGCCGGAGGACCGGAGGGCCGGCACCAGCACGACCCCAGGGAAAGGAAAAGGAGCCACGGCCTCGGTACGGCTCGTGATTCACAAACGGGGGGTGGTACTGCGGGTATCGCTTGTTCTTGTTGCGAATGGAGGCTAGTGCGAAGGAGGTAAGAGGAGGTGGAGGAGGTGGATGAGAGACGTGGGCGCGCGCGTGTGTGTGTGTGTGGGGGGGGGGGGGTGCAAGGCGGGGTTCCCATGCCGGCTCTTCCAGCCGAGCGCGGCGCATGCGCCATGAAGCTGGAAAATAGCCTCTGGCGGTCCGGTCCGGTGTCCAGTCCGGTGTCCGGCCTAGCCGACGGGCTTAGGGGCTCATCCTTACACCGGGCTTCCCCCCACCCACCCCCTCGCTTCCTGGCTAGCAGCGTGATTGGCGCGCTCTCCAAACCAGCCGTCTGTCTGCTGCATCTGTCGACCCCTCCCCTCCCACCACTCGTCGCACCCAATTTGGCCTGGCTGCCGCGTGCTTTCATAAGGGGGGAGCCAAAGCCGTGTAGCAGCCAGGTGCGAGCCCTGTCGGCTGGATCAATCGGCGGCATCAATCCAATACACGGAAGACACCACGGCTACCCGCCCGCGATCTAATGGATCTATCCCTTTCCCTTGGCTAGCGGCATGGGCTCAGTATGGAAGGCCAGCTGGCCTTCCATACCGTTCTCCAGCTGTCTGAAGGAAGAAAAGGGATTGGATGGAAGGATAGATAAAAATGCACTCTCCCGTATCCAGCCGTTCAGGCGCCTAGCGCCCACATGATGGTGCCGTCTACCTCGCCTCCTCCTTCTTTCCCCCACATTCCCCAGGCACGGGAAGGGAAGGGAAGAGAGAGAGAGAGAGAGAGAGAGAGAGAGCGCTATCTATATACCTATGTATATACGCACCGCACGAGAGTGTGCACGCGCTGGTGTTCGGGGTCTTACCGCAAACGGGCGAGTTGGCATGTCCTCGTCCTGCGCAATGCCATAGCCCGGCTGCTGCAACGGCGGCGGTGGCACACCGTACGGCATGTGCAGCGGCGGGAAGGCAGGGTGCTGCCGCCGACCCACCAGCGGAGGGGTTGCTCCAGGGTAGGGGTGCATGACGGAGCTGTACTGCGGGTGACGAGGGTACTGTGAGAAATATGGGTGGCGCGGGGTCATGCCGCGGTAGGGGTGGTGGGGTGGCGGGCGGCAAGCCCATGGACGAGCTGGATGGAATGGCGCGACCGGCGGGCCGCCTGGCGGCCGGGACATGTGCATAGAATTTGACGGATCGCCATCAGGGCGAATTTGGCCAGCGTTGGCTGCTGCCGGCAGGCTGCTTCCCGGCTCAGAAGATTGCGCTTGGCGTTCCAGCTCTGGCAGGCCGTCAAGACCCGCCGGGCCCGGAACTACGCCTGATTCTGCGTGGCGTTCACTCCAAGCAATTTGTTCTGAGCTGTAATGGCAGTGGCCTTGTGCGGCCTCGCCTGGAGCAGCTTGATGTTGTCCGGCGGTCCTGCCCGGCTGTTGCACAGCGCGGAGCCTGCCCTGCTGCAGGACATCCTGACCACCAAACGTTAACATCTGCTCTTGTTCTGGCGGGCGCGAGGCTGCGAAATTTGCTTCCGAAGTGGTGCGGTTTCTCCACGGCGCCTTGCAAGGGCTAAGCTAAATGTGCTTGCTGCCTTGCAAACTGAACCTAGCAAATAAGACGCAAACACGTCAATCCACTGTCGCCATTGCGTAGGCCAGGCGCGTTGGTGGAGCACAACGCCGCGCGACCGACGTTGATGGTCTATCGTCGATAACGCATGGCCGCCATAGTTCCAACAACCAGACTCTACACAAACCTATGAAGTGCAAAGCAACTTACGCGGACAGCAAGCGCTCTGCTCGTATGGACGAGTGCAACCGATGATTGTCGTGCACAACATAGCATGAACATCCGGTGCTCCGCACGAGTAGGAACTAACCGCACCAATGCGTCTGCTGTGGGTGTATCAATTTCGATTCCCAATTATTGTGTGAGACTGCCACATCATGTCTCCGTGCGTTCTTTTGCGGGCAAGACATCTAGTTCCCGGGCTTGGCAGGGGTCTCCGGCTTTACGCGTCCGCAGCTGCACCTAATCCTTTGGCTTCAGGAGCTTCGGTATGTTGTCGAGTTGACCTGCGTAACTGGCACCTCGAGCTGCCTAGAGTTAGCAGATGTCTTGCTTTGTATTGCGCAAGCGATCCAGTCATCAAGTATGTCAACAACGTATTCATGGTATTTCCATCTTGTGTGCAAAGCCTGACAGCGCTTCTAAGCTCACCTTGTTTTACTCCTATCAACGTTGTGTGAAACCCTGCTTTCGTCAGCAACCTTAATTACACACGGTGTGAACTTACACTATGTCTCACCGCAGCTACCAAAGGTCAAACTTCTGATTGATGGTAACTTTGTGGACTCGACCACTGCCAACTGGCTGGATGTTGTAAACCCGGTACGCATGCGCGCAACCTTGTTGGCTGGAAACAGTTATCCTTGGCCATAGTCCTTTTCTCTTGGCAAGGTACACATGGCTCCACCGTTGTTGGCGCTTTCTTAAAGCGTCAGGCTAGGGAAAGTTTAAATTCCTGATGGTGCTGCACCGACGATTTCCCAACACTCCAGGCGACGCAAGATGTTCTGTCGCGCCTGCCGTTAACCACAAAAGCCGAGTTTGACTCCGCGGTGGAGGCAGCCACGAATGCCTTCCCTAAGTGGCGCGCCACACCGGTGCCCACCCGCGTTCGGGTCATGTTCAAATTCCAGGAGCTCATACGGGCCAACATGGTGGGCTGAGAAGGAAACATTGGTGGGAAAGGGTTCCGATTCTTTGGATCAACCAAGCGTCTTCTGCCTCACGCGCTCACATGGGCTGGGGGGAACGCGGGAGAAACGCGCGAAAATGGGAAGGACACAAGGGAAGCGACATGCGTGCCAAACTCCCAACCCAACCTAGGGCCCAGCTGCGAACACCGGCTGCCGTCGCACACAAAACTCCGTCGAGAAGTCTTTCGAATCGACTCGCAGTCCACTCATTACGCAAGTCCGTATTCAAGATCCATACATGTCGTTGTCGTCCTTGCTCACGTGCATCGGTTTCACGGTGATGTGATCTGTCGACCCATATCGTATATCGTCATCCAGGTTGTCGTCGATGATGTTATGTATATTTCGTGTGTCTCCAGGATGAGCTGGCGAGGTCGGTTACGATGGAGCAGGGCAAGACGCTCGCGGATGCGAGAGGCGACGTCTTCCGGGGCCTAGGTGAGTGGGTTTCCTAGAACAAGAGGCAGCAGACGAACCGGCCGGCCCGACCCGGCCCTGCGTGCTTTTAATTGATATGAGCCGCGGTGATTATGGGATACCCGCGAATAGGCGCGACGATTATGGACCATAGAAATGGCGATGGTGGTACACAAGGATATGTCTGCATGTATGTACATGCGCGTAGGTGGGTGGGCTTGGTTTCGGATCTTTTCGGATTACATATAATCTTGGCGCCCTTCTGTCGCGATTCTTTGTCCAAAGAAGACGGATGCCAGATGTACAGGCAGGCAGACAGGTAATGTGAAACCCCTCTCGCCGTGCCTGCCCTGTGTGTGGCCCCGCCCGTGTGTGTGTTTCTTGCCGCCTCGAGACACACACACATACACACACATTGCAGCCCACACTACATCCACCACATGCACCCCGTGGCCGCGTCTTCACCTCTCAAAACCAACCGTCGCTTCCCGCACCCCATCTCGTCAATCCGCGTTCTGTCGTGGTGGTGGTGGTGGCGATGACGGGCGGTGATGGCGGAGGGTATAGAGGTGGTGGAGGCGGCCTGTGGAATCGCGCCGTACTTGTCCGGTGAGCTCGTGGAGAACGTGGCGGGCGGCATCGACTGCTACTCCATCCGCCAGCCGCTGGGGGTGAGAACATCCGCCTTTTTTTCCTTACCCCCCCTTCGCTCCCTTCCGGAGAGAACCTGACGGGCAATGTAATAGCGTCCTCCCTCCCTTCCTTACCTCCATTCGCTCCATGCGCCCTCAGTGGTTCGTCTTACACTCCCTTCCTTACCCTCCCCCACCTCTATCGGCAGTTTAAACTGGTGGCAATTGGATCTGCAGCGTGGTTAGGGCAGGCTAGGAGGGGAGGGGAGGGGAGGGGAGGGGAGGGCGGTTGCATCGCGGGGCGGAAAGCCGCAACGGATGGAGGTCTGTGGCCAGCGCTGGTATATAAGCGCAGCAGTACCGATCTCAACACGATTCTCCAGCCATCATAGCCAAGAGCCACACATTGCCCAACAAAGTGGTTTGAGAGAGGATAGGGATGTAGTATGTGTGGGTTAGGGGGGGGGGGTTAGCGGCATAGGTCAACAGGCCAACAGGAAAAAAATACCCGAGGAACGGCGGCCGTTGTCGTCATCTTCCTATACATAGCGGTGGCGGTGGTGTCGTTGCACCCATGTCTTCCATAGCCCCATAAAACAAACCCCATAGCTGTATGTCACCCCAACGACCCGCTTCATTCACCTCACCCAACCCGCTTCCGACCTCACCCCCTCTCCCACCTCTCGTCCTTTCTCTCTCCTTCCCTGGAGCCATTCCCCCCTTTTGTAACTTTGGACGCCGGCACTTGTTTTTTTCCCTTCGTGACTTATCAGGCAGCGTGTAATAATTAGCCAGCCTCTCCGCTCTCTCTCTCTCTTCCTCCTCCTCCTTCTCCTCAGGTGGTGGCGGGCATCTGTCCCTTCAACTTCCCCGCCATGGTGCCCCTCTGGATGTTCCCGCTGGCGGTCACCGCCGGCAACACCTTCCTGCTCAAGCCCAGTGAGAGGGACCCCGGGGCGGCGGTGATGCTGGCGGACCTGGCGCAGCAGGCGGGGCTGCCCAAGTGAGCTGTGGTGTTGGGAGGTGGCGGCGGCGGCGGCGGTGGTGGTGGTGGTAGTGGTGGTAGTGGGGATTTGGGATGGGGGTGCCGCAGGAGGTGGTGGTAGCTCGGGGTTCCGGTGCATCCGGGGATTTGTGTGGCTCGCTGCAAAGCTTTATGTTCCTTCCTAACTTCCTTCCGTAACCTCTTAAAAAACATTTAATGCAAAACTTACATTCGATAAGGATAACTTCTTTGCATTCGCTGCTGTCTTCTGTGTGTCCTCTGTTTCCTTTTCTTCCTTCTTCACTCGCCTCCCTCGGCTTTGTTTGCTAGTAGCCGGTGCTATGGCGATTTGGAAGCTTAGCGGGCGTAGCTGAACCCTTTCTCACTGCCGCACCGCCACCGCTGCCCACGTCTTCCTCCCCCCCACCCCCCCACCCCCATTCAACTCCAACTCCCAACTCCAGGGGCGTCCTCAACATCGTTCACGGCAGTCGTGACGTGGTCAACTGGCTGTGTGACGATCCCTCCATCAAGGCGCTGTCCTTCGTGGGCTCGGATGCAGCGGGGCGCTACATCTACGCGCGGGGCTGTTCCGCCGGAAAGCGGGTCCAGGCCAACCTGGGCGCTAAGAACCACGCGGTAGTGATGCCTGATGCAGATGTGGATACAACTGTCAAGGCACTGGCGGGTGGGTGAGGGATGAGGAGGGTGGGAGCGCATGTAGGTGGGTGGGTGGTGGGAATGGATGGATGGATGGATGGTGGCGAAAGATTGTTGCTGTTGAATGAGGGCGGATGGGAGTGGGTGGCCGAGAGGTTGGGCCCCTCACCGTCCATCCATCCATCCATCTATCCATCCATCCACCCATGTCCGCTCCCTTACATCCGGCCCTATCGGTTACCGACCGGGCACCTCATCCCATCCCATCCCAGCCCCCACGCCATTCACTGCCCTCGCCGCCGCCGCCGCCGCCGCTCTCCCACTTAGCCTCCGCGACCTCCTCCGGCGCCCAGGTGCGGCCTTCGGTGCTGCGGGTCAGCGCTGCATGGCCATCTCCGCGGCGGTGTTCGTGGGGGGCTTCAGCGAGCAATGGCGTGGCTCCCTGCTGGAGGCGGCTCGCAGTCTGAAGCTGAACGCGGGCTGGGAGAAGGACGCGGATGTGGGCCCTATGATCAGTCCGGAGGTGAGTGGCTGGTGGGTGGGTGGGTGGGTGGGTCGATGGGTGATGTAGTGGGTAAGGTGGAGGGGGGTTGGGTGGATGAGGGAAACAAACAGCAGCAAACCGAGAACCAATCCCTAGTTACACACACCCATCTACGTGGTGGGTTTATTACCGCTTCTCTGTAAAAACACACATCTGCCAAACGGATTCCGTTTCGCCGCGTAGGCATGCCGCGTAGGCAAATGCTCGTGCTGAGCCCGAAGCGCCGGTATTTACATTCCTCCCCCCTGAACACCTCTACCCATCTCATCTGTCTGCCATCTACACCGCCATCTACACCGCCATCTACACCACCATCTACACCGCCATCTACACCGCCATCTACACCACCATCTACACCGCCATCTACACCGCCATCTACACCACCATCTACACCGCCATCTACACCGCCATCTACACCGCCATCTACACCGCCATCTACACCACCATCTACACCACCATCTACACCACCATCTACACCGCCATCTACACCACCATCTACACCGCCATCTACACCGCCATCTACACCACCATCTACACCGCCATCTACACCGCCATCTACACCACCATCTACACCGCCATCTACACCGCCATCTACACCACCATCTACACCACCATCTACACCGCCATCTACACCGCCATCTACACCACCATCTACACCGCCATCTACACCACCATCTACACCGCCATCTACACCACCATCTACACCACCATCTACACCACCATCTACACCACCATCTACTTCTGACTGTCTCTCTCCGCACCCGCCTACAATACCGCCTACCTGCCTCCCACCTGCTTACCTTGGAAATCGAACCTTGTAATTCTACTTCTACCTAAAACCCTAAAACCCTCCCCGTACACCCCGTGTGTGCAGGCCAAGGCTCGTGCTGAGCGGCTGATCGCCAGCGGGGCTGCTGCGGGTGCCCAAGTACTGCTGGATGGCCGGGGTGTTGTCGTACCGGGGTACGAGCGAGGCAACTTCCTGGGCCCCACTGTTCTGGCGGGGGTGACGCCGGACATGGAGTGCTACAGGGAGGAGATCTTCGGACCCGTGCTGAGCTGCATGGATGTGAGTGTGAGGGCTGCGTGCGTTTCCACTACAGCCACTGCTGTAGTATCCTCGTTTTTTAGGGGTTTAGGGTTTTGGGTGTCTCAACACTGTGGCTGCAAACAGGTGGCCAGGTGGTGCTATCCCGGTGACACTGACACGACCCTCTTGCCGCCCAGGCCCTTCGGCAGCCACCAGCCAGCGCTCCCCCGCCCCTTGCCCCTTCGCTCTCCACCCCTGCTGCCGCCGCGACTGGGCTCCTCTGCTGCCGCCACCGCTGCTCTCCACCTCACCCTACCCACCCAAGGGCATATCGGCGGTTGCTGCTTTGAGATGCACATCATGTTACTCCCCATCCCCATCCCACCCGAGCTCCCGGTCTCCCCTTTTCCTAAACCTCTTCCAGGCTTCTTCGCTTGACGAGGCGCTGAGCATCGTGAACGGCAACGAACACGGCAATGGTACGGCAATCTTCACTCGCAGCGGGGCGGCGGCGAGGAAGTTCCAGGTGGGGTGTACTCTTGTGGTATGGGGTGGCGGGGGAGGGGAAGGGGGCAGGTGGGTGCGCCTGTGCTGGTGGCAGGAGGCCTTATGGAAATGGGGAAAAGGGGCTGTTAGTGCACCGGCCAGGTCCGTACCTAATCTACGGTGGAGACGTGGACGATGGCGTCTTAAGTGTTGCCGTATTCTGAGTGTCATCATCACCTCTATGCAGGGTGCCGTCTGTAGGGGTACCCTACCTACCTGGCTTTGGCCCCCCCTGCCTCCCTTTTCCCTTTCCTTTTCGCCAGTCCGAGGTGGATGTGGGCATGGTGGGCATCAATGTGCCCATTCCGGTGCCGCTGCCCTTCTTCTCCTTCACCGGCTGGAGGGGCTCCTTCGCAGGTGCGTGTAGGCTGTATGTTCTGGGAGTAATGAGGCGGCGTGCGTTTGCGATGCTTTGTTCCGATTCCTCCTACCTCCCTTTCCTGTCCTTGTATTTGTAGGTGACCTGCACATGTACGGCCGAGCGGGAGTGCAGTTCTACACGCAGACCAAGACCGTCACCGCCAAGTGGCCCGCAGACGACGTCAAGACCATCGCGGCTGCTTCCACCAATGTCGGGGGGCCCGCCAGTTGCCGTACTCCGACGGCGGCGATGGCAGGGCAGCGGGAGCGGCTGCCGGGCTTGGATCGAGTGGGGGCAGCGTGATGTCCTGTATGTATGTTGTTACAGGGTGGTTAACTTCGCCAGCGGCCCCCTTTCCCGGGGCAGTCCCTGCTCTCCCCTGCTAGAGGGGCACCCTAATCCGTCACCCCATCCGACTTCAGAGTGTATTTGTTGGGTTCGGCAACTCACCACCAGCATCCAACCAAATCTAGCGGATCAACGGCGCATCAACTTAGTTCCTGGTCAGCTCGCAAGTTGATATTATCACGTCCTACACCGTCCATATGATGGGGGGCCACCTCCCATTTCATCACTCCTCAAACACCCGAGGAGCTGGCAGGCGGATTTGAACCCGGGTCGACTGGGTCGACTGGGAGCAGAAGTCAGGCCTTAACTTCTGCCAGCCGCCTGCCTGTATGTATGTATGTATATCTTTGCCTCGGGTGATGACTGGCGTGAGGGAAAAAATGAAGTGAGGTAGGAAAGAGTAATAAAGGATTGGATGGTTGGGGACCATGGCCAGCACAGTTAACAGCACACAGCCCTGTCCTGGAAGCCCTCATTGAGGGTGTGGCTGCTGATAATGATTGTTGACCATGTTCTAACTCATCTGCTTACAGGCAGCTGGGTGGGGTTGACGTGGATAGTGTCAGCTTATGGGCACCTGGCAGGAGCAAGGGGGGGGGAGGTTTTTTCACGGCGGCTATGCATGAGTATATAGCGTAAGAGTTCTTTGCGGCTGCAGACAAACAATCTTTTTGTTTGCTGCTTACTCTTCGGAGGGGATTTGATGATGACAAGCCATGGCGGCTGCGGTGACTGGCATTTGTTGGGAAGCTGGAACGAGAGCTGATGTGGGTTGTGCGGTGATACTACGCTCCGCAGGGCCCTCCATTTCCCCGAACCGAAAGTTTTTTTTTGCGAATCCTGTGTGGTATGAAGAATGATTTGTGGCCCAAAATGATGGTCCTACCGGCTGGAAGGGGGTGTAGTTGGCGCAGGCACGTGTCGGACTCGTTACATGCCCTTACATGCATGGTTCTGTAGGCCATGAACTAAAACGCGTTTTCCCGCTGCAGCAAGAGAATGGGAAAAGGGCTACCAGGAGAGCTCCCTTCCGCGCCTACATGGCATATAAACCCGCGTAACACCATGCTTAACGTGGACCGTGTGGTATTGGATCGCAGCACCAGCCAGGGTTTAATATAGCCTGGTTGGGATGCGCCCGTAAGCCCATTATCTCAAACATGCAATAGCAGGTAGCAAACTAACTGACAGTTACGTGGAAGCCGTCCTGCGACTAAGTTAGGTACCTGTATGGAGCGGCGCTCCGCCTGCCCCAACTCCTACGTGTCCAAATCCGCACACAACCCCACCATGGGGCATATGTGGTGAAGATGGCAGTCATACACCCAAAAGCCACACGCCACCATCTGGTCGACCATGTATTCCGCATCCGCTCTTTCCCACCCTCACATCCATCAAGCAAATACACCCGTACTTTCAGTTTGCACTCCGCGCACTCGTCCAACAAAATGCCATGATCGAATAACTGTGCGACCGAAAAACAACCGTCAATCATGAGCGTCCAACAACCAATCGTTGTCTGGGGCATTCGGTGTAATTAAGCTGACGAATTCCCATCCTGTCCCATCCTTGCGACGACTGCAGTGTGATAACACTACAGTGCTCCATTCACATGCTAAGCGCTGTCTTCTACCCTCCTTGCATTATCACGCCCCTGGACCCGACCCGCACCTGCCCACACAGCAGCTATACTACCTCCCCACTACTGCGACATATGCGGTTCTCATCAAAGTCTGGATTCTTGGTACACTTACGAATAAGCCAGAACAACAAAACTACAAAACCCTCGATGAATGTTGCGAACTACGGATGGCCGCGCTGCTGCCGCAAGCGCGGATACCCACATCCCAACACCGCCCTTGAAAAAATATGAATGTCAACGTGAGTGATATCAACGCCCCATCCGAGCTTCTTCGATGCCACGGCAAACCATGCTTGGAGATACTGGAAGAGAACAACGCAGCGGCTTAGGGTAAAAAACTGAAAATACCAATTTGGCAGTTAGCAGTTGAGAAAGCAAAATCGCGCCGCGCCATGCCAGGCTGTAATTACTACAAGAGCATTAAACATCTTTTCAGGAATCCATATGAAAAGATCCAGTGCCTGATGTTTCCTCTCAAAACATCCAAATTTCCTGATCGCTTGAAAACACAACATGACAGCACAGTTTCCAACGGAGACCACTTTTCCTCAACTGCAATTGCCGACGATATACCTCCCAGCTCCACAACTTGAGCTCCAGGTCTTCTTGCTAACGGTTAAAAAGCAAAACATTCACGGAGTTCACGTCCATATTAGAAATCAAAATCCAACTTGACAGCCCGCTGCGATTAGCTTTTAGCCATCCTGCCGTTCTACGCTCACCTCTGCATCCCCGCCGTAGAAGCGTCCTTCCAACAAACTGTTAGTGGAGCGAACGCATCCTCAATTAGCACCTTGAAGGTCATCCAACTGGCACTCACGCGGCGCTTCACCGCCACGGCCCAACCTCTGCGACCGCCTCCGCCTCCGGCCGCGCCTCCGCCGCCACCGGCAGCAGCTTTCGCACTGCCACCGAAGTCGCCGGAGGAGGCACGGTGTTGTTGCCGGCGCGTTGCTTGTGCCCCAGATCCATAAGCCTTACGCCTGTTTGGCGCGCTGCCCAATGCATCATTGCTGTTCGGTCCTGAACCTGGATGCGACGTCCCCGTGAAGCTGCATGACGTTGGATTTGAATTTAACGAGCGGCGGCGGCTGGAGGTGGGCATGCGCCCAATGGACACAGGCGTACCGGTGGCCACAGCAGAGACAGCAGCAATACTACTACTAGTAGTGGTAGCGGCAGCAGCAGCTGCGGCGGTAGCAATAGCGGCATGAGCCATGGTTCGCTCCTGGGCACCGAAACTGAACTTCGATGTCAAATGTCTGCCCAGCGGCATTGGTGATGTAGGGCAGGAGCGGGCATAGGTACTTGCAGCGATAGCAGCAACGGCAGCAGTGGTAATGGTGGTAGTGGTGGTGGTGGCGGTGCCATCCCTGCAGCCTTGAGCAGACGCTTTTAGGCAGGTCTGCGAAGCAATGCCGGCGGAACCCACCATAGTCCCGCAGCCGCTGTGGAACTGTGCCTGTGCCGCCGTCCCAGCCGCCACGGCGCATGCAGCCGCTGCCGCTGCCGTCGAGGTTGCGGCGGCGCCAAAGCTGCCGTTCAACATCTTTACGTTGGTGCCCAAGCTACGTGTGCCGGACCCCCAGCTGCCTCTGCGAGCATGACCGCCGCCACCACCGCCACCGCTTGCCATGACACTGCCGACGCGTCCACTGCCGCTACTGATGCTGCGCCAGCTGCCTTGGTTGACGCTGTTCAGATAGTCTGATATAACAAGCAGCGGAGCAGGGAGCGCGGCCTGGCCGCTGCGGCGCCGTCGGGAGCTGCTTCCGCTGATCGTGTGCGGCACAGGCCGTGCCATCGTCAGTGTCACCGCCGCTGCCCCGTATAACTTATTGGGTGTCTCAATCACAGACCTAGGCAGGTGTACTTGCAAGCCGCTAACGGCACCTGAATCACCAGCCGTGCCTGACATCGTTGTCGGGCCTGGTGTCGTTGGCGTTGTCGCGGTTGGGGAAATGCCGCACATTGCCTGCTCCGGCTCCGGAATCTTGACAAAAAGTGTCCTGCGCTTTGCCACTAACGACGGTGCCTCATGACGGGGTCGCTCGCTCCCGGGTGCTGATGCCTTGCCATGGTCTTGCACGACAGGAGGAGCGGCAGCTGGGGCGGCGGCAGAATCGATGGCAGCTGCAGCAGCAGCGGCTGGGTCCCACGCCAGCTGGGGATCGATGGCGGCGCTGCGGTCGTGGCGCGGCTGATGACGGTCCCTCTCCGCCGTGACATGCTGGGCAGGCAGGCTGGCGATTGTGCCCAGGCGGAAACTGATGGAGCGACACATGCTAGCTGCGGTAGCGCCGTCAGTGGCAGCGATTTGGTACATGGAACAGGTGGTGCCGCCTCCACCTCCGCCAAGTGGTGACAAGTGTTGGAACAAGCTGCCGTCTTGGGGTTGCGCAACCCGGGTGGTGCTGCAGCTACAGCCGCGTTCAATGCAGGGAACGTGGTGGTCCACGTGGGCAGTAGTGGAGCAGCCACGCGGCGGCATGGCGTGGTTTGGTGCTGCGCTGGAAGAAAGGGACCACCGTCGTTATGATGCAATACTAATTTCTGAGGAAGACGTGGAGACGGTGGTTCCTATCACTCGTTGACCTTGGGACTGTAGGTCTTGGGGATGGAACTTCTAGGTGCTGGAAGGGGACAAGGATGGAACGGGGGAAAAGGGACACTGGTGCAATTTGAATGCCGACATGGAGCAGAGTTGAACTCCGAAAGCCCGTCTTGAACAGCGGCACACCGGAATATGTTCCGAAATCCTAGAACGCGTAAGCAATTGCATCTCTTTGTGATTATGTGCAGAGAAGACCTTCGGTATGCTTGTTCCTCGTCAACTCTCGGGTTGGGTTGGGATTCCCCAATAGACAAACGTCATTTTTTAATTAGAGACATACCTTTGTTGCTCCAGGCAATTATAATTTACCCGTACAGCACTTGCAGTTGAATTGCGCAAGCCATTGAATTGCTGTGGCATCTAAGTTACCCAAGCTTGAGCTGAGCACGATGGCTGCGTGCGTCAGGAGACTAAGGGCAGTAGCATGGGACGATTCTGAAACAGAATTGCACATTTAAGGCGAATTGAAATGTATAACAGTCCTGCCGGCATTTCCGCGCGTTTCCGCGCACTTCTTATCCAGTACAGCCCCAAGAACCTGCTTATGCCAAAAGCACACGCATTTAATCCTTTCACCGTCTAGGGATAAGCGATCGACAAGGCCGTTTCGGCGTTTTGGCTGTACATTCCAAAACCGATTCGGTGGTACTGCCGTTTATGATAGTGATGAACACTGTACTGCCCATAAGGATATACTACTAAACCCCCGATACTTGAAAAATTCACCCAGGTGTGCATGAGCGCTTATTTTGATATTCAACCCTGATGATCTTTAGGCGCGCCTCCTTCCGGAAAAACTTGGAATCCTGTACGTGCAGACCGACTTGGCCAGCTTTCGGGCAGCTTCCTGCGCCATACGAATTGAAGGCAATTGTAGATCGTATGCATGCGTGCTGAGCCGTACACACAACGCCTGCGCCGACACGCGCGATGACGAAACCATAACCGTTACAGGGTGCGGACAAATCCCAATCCCCGAATACAGTAGCACGCTAGATCGCACCCGGTCGCCCTCCCACACCACTTGCAATCCTAAACCGGTCCTCCTGTCACCACACCCAAATCCCCAAGCAATCCCAAGACACTCCTCCAGAGCCACACCATACCCCTACGGCTGCTTTTGCTCCAAGTCCCTCGCCTCCTCACCTAATAACAACAACATCACGCTACACGCCGCAACCGCCAACATCAGGTAGGAGCACGTCAGCGCAATACCGAGCCTCATCCCACACCCCTCGTCCCTCCCCCCCTTCGTCCCCTGTCCTCCTCCTCCTCCTCCTCCTCCTCAGTGGACGTCTCCTGGGCCTTCTGGCCCCGCCAAACCACCAATCAGACAAAAAAGACGCCAAGGAGTGAGCTCAAGACCCGCGGGTCGGCCACGGTCCTGCGTCCCTCAGAAGAAACACTGCCCATGAGTGTGCGCGTGTGTGTCTGCCAAAGTGCGACAGTCAAGTGATGAGGAGATCAGGATGCGTTTCCCGAATAAAGGTATAGAGTGATTGAGCTTTTGGGAGGTGTGTAAGTGTGTGTATGTGTGTGTCTGCAAACAAGTGTGGTGAGGTTCGGTGAGCCGTGATGCCGTTCATCCCATAAAGCCAGGGTTGGTGTGTCCAGTCGCATGCTAGGAAAGGCTACAAAAGTACACGTACAAGCGTATAGCAGGAAATCCCTACAAGCGCATAAAATACACAGCTCAGATAAGATACACATCTAAGGCCCATGGGAAGCAAACACAACACCAACCAAAACCAAAACCGATGGCGTCCGACTGATATGATAAGTTTAGTTTTAGTGCTCACGAACTACATCGCCCCAAGTCATTAAAGCTTCGCCATGTACGTGCTATGCACTGCACACCGCACATTGTTTTCTGTACAAGACGGCGAAACGCAATCAAGTCGTAGTCCTACACAAAACGAGTCTCGTTGAAACAAGAAGCTTCGCCGGCCATTCGACAACATGGACACGACGGGGAATATGCAAACGTACCAAGTGCGAGGCGCACGCGTGCACATGGTTTAAACTCGACACTGCGCGTTGGCGACACCGCCCAGCGCAAAACTTCAAGAATGGTTTGACGAGGATAAAAACGACCAGGATGATTATAAACAGTGAAAAATCTCAGGGCCCATGCCAAAACACCCCAAACTCTTCAGCCGCACGGAATCTTCTCTGCATTTTTTGACGGTCTATTGGTTCTATCAATGCCTCAGAGGCCTAACCTCAGCATATGGGTCGTTTGTTGGTCCAAAACAACAACAACAGGGATCTTAAGAAGGGGTTTGCTAAAGGGGTATGCGAGCTAGGGCCACTCCTCGCCACTCCTCGAACAGCTTGCCACTGCCGTCCGTTCGAGACACGACACTCATTTGCCGCACTGCAGCGGCCGGCAATCCCCAACTCACGCACGCGACCTAACAACAACCAAAACTACCAACGAACCAATTAATCAACCAACGATCAACGATAACTAACCAATCAAACAACCAGGCTGCAGGCTCCCTGAAGGGTCTTTAGACAGTTCCCGCCGTCCCGCAATCCTTGACGATGATGATGATGATGATAGCAGACTCCCGATAACCTAGCGCCTCCTGTGGCTGTGTGCATTTCCCCCACCAGGAACAGCACCACCGGCGGCAAGGTAACGGCAAACGGCCGCTACGTCCTACTCATGTGGCTCAACCTTCATCTCCAGCGACCCCAGACTCGAGTATTGCGAACGGGGAAGCTAGTAAGGAACGATGCCCATCCGCCAAGGACGACGCCCTCCCCCCAGGGGCCCGGAGTCGGTCCGGAGATCAAACGACACTCAGCTCTCAGCCCCTCCCCACATGCCTCATCTTGAACCGCTTTATACACTCCTCGGCTGTCCTGGGCGCCTTTCTAACCCCCTTCCCTACCTTTCCACCTGGCCGCCGTCGCCAGCTCAGCTAAGTCTCCGACCAGCTCAGCTCAGCCTCGGACTCGAGATGGACTCCGCTCGCGCTTCATTCCTGACAGACCCACAGGGCCCGAACCCAGCGGACGGCGGAACGGCGTCCGGTGCATGGGCGGCGGTCCCGCCAGTGTCAGTGCCGCTACCGCTGTTGCTGCTGCTGCTGGTGCTGGCGCCGCTTGTGCGCTAGGGGAGCCACGGATCACCGAAGCTTTCACTGCCGCCAGTGGTGTTGCCCGTGACTCACGGGTCATCATCACTGGCCCAGCGCTACTCCTGCAGATGCGTGAGTTTTCCGTGGCTTTGGGGCTGCCCGCCCGGACGCATTTGCGGCCATGTTGTTGAACGACGTTGGACGACGTTCCGGCGGCGCCAACGAGCTGGACAGTGGCGCCTTGGGGCGCAAATGTGTTCTTCGTCTGGGCGGGGATGTTTGGGTTTGTGCTGGGCGCCGGGCCGGTGCCAGAGCCTGGGCTGGTGTGTTCCTGCGCACCGGTAACCCCGCGAAGAAGTTCGGGGCCCCCAGTGGGCACTGCCACAGCCGCAACTGCCTCTTTTAACTCCGTAATGGCTGCTGCTGCTGCGGATGATGATGAGGAGGAGGAGGATGCGATTTTCGGTGCTGTCGGCGCTGTAGGTGCAGCTACTGTAGCCGTGCTCTTCGCCGCGGGTGGAGCGTTTCCTGCCGCCGGCGCCGCCACCGGCGGCGGCGGCGTGGCGCCCACCTCAGCGGCACTGACTAGCAGCTGGTGCAGCGGCAGCGACGGGCCAGCTTCCGCTTCGGTTTCCATGGGCGCAGATGGCTGTGATGGCGGATCCACGTGCTCGCCAATGCCCTGCGTCTGAATGTGCCGCTGCCGCTGCAGATGCTGCTGCTGCTGTTGTGGCGGCATCTCCTGCTGAGGCGAAGGCGGGTGTGTGGGTAAGAGCAGCAACTGCTCGGGTGTTACGCCGTCAAAGTCCAGCACCTCCCAAGTGCGGCCCAGCTCCCGCCACCAAGCGGCGCCGTAGTCGCGGAGTAGCGGCTCCCCTGGAGCGATGTCACGAAGCGCTACGAGCACAGGCAACGTGAGGCCGCGAACGCAAACGGGCAGCACCTGCAACACACACAGTGGGGCGATACAGAGAGCGTCGATACACGGCCCACCGGTACCACGCCGTTCAGTCCGTCCGTCCGTCCGTCTGTCTGTCAGTCAGTCAGTGGCAGGGGTGACAGGCGGCCTGAAGTGATCGGCCTTCTCGCCAGGAGTTGTGCGATTTCCGCACAAGTGCAAACTCGTCATAGTCATACTCTCAGCGGACTACGTGGCATTTGAAGAACACTCGCGCTACTCATTGGCGCTAAGACGTAAATGACATGACGTCTTTTCCGGTAAGGTGGGTTGTTGGGGAGGAAGGCGGGTTGTGTGGCGCCTGCATACATACATACATGCATGCATGCTTACATATACCACAGTACCCCTATCAACGCGATCTGAATCCTTCCTGGAAAGGAAGGTGACGGATGAAGACGACGTCAGCTGCTACGCACCACGCAGTTCGCAGGCGGTGGGCAGTCGACGTCGTTGTCCTGCAGCCACGCCTGCGGTCGGACCCGTGGGTCGTTGATGAGCGCCGCCATGTTGCCGTACCCCAGCATGCTGATCTCCAACGGCACAGGCCCTACGTACACAGGCGGGGGGAACCGAGTATGGGTAAGACGAACCACAGGCAGACGAAGCAGGTACCAGAAATAGACGGGCCCCAAGGGGACACAAAACCAAGCGCGCGCGAGGTGCTTAGTGCGACCGAGGTACACAGTTTACTGCAGACCCCCTACGGCAAGGCGAACACATCACCAGAAGCAAACCCCGTGGTCCACCACCTGACCGCGACCGTGATTCCTTGCATATCGCCCTGCCGCAAGGGCCGGCCTAGGGTTTACCTTCGCCTAGGGTATTATTGGGATATTACCCGGCCGGCTACAACACACAACCTCCTATGTTTCCTCCAGAGATTGAAACCTGCCCATTTGACAGCTCATTTCGATTCCTGTGAAAAGCACCTGAGGGGGGGGGTGTACCCGTGTCACCAAGGAAACACAGTACACCGCATAGCAGGTAGACGTTCCCCCCACCCCCCGCACCCACTCTCTCTCTCACACACACACACAGACATACAAACTTGCAAAACAGAATACACATGCAACACCCACCGGCCGCGCCCTCCGGCGTGAGATCCAGTCCAGGGTACGGCATCCGGAATGCATCCGCCACAAACCGCCACGCCACCGCCAGGTCCGCCGGCGCCGCTCGCTGCCGCAGCTCCGAAACCAACTCGCCGGAGCAATCACGGAAGCCCCGCGATGCGAAGCGCGCCGCCGCGCCAGCTGGCATGACGTAGCCGCCAACCACCCCTAGCACCGCGTTGCGCCGCAGCGGCGCCGTCGCTACCAGCCCCGCCGCGCCCCCACCGCCTCCGCAGCGTCCCGGCTTCGACCCATCAGGCACCTCCGACGCCGAATACACCAACGGCGCAACGCCGGCCGCCAGCTCCAGTCCCTCCGCCGGCAGCGGCGCGTCCCACTCGCTATCCTCCGCCATCAGTCCCAGGAGACGCGCCACCAGCGAGCAGATTACGTTGGCGCTGAGCCTGTGCTCCTTGAATGCGGCGGCCGTGGCAGAAGCGGCAGTCGTCGTATAGTCGGTGAAGGCGAACGGCAGCTGGATCTGTACGGCCACTGGGTCAGCGTTGACCAGGCTGTCACTGAGAGCCGCTTGCCACTCGCTCATGAGGCGGAGTACGGAGGGCACCAGATCAGGGTGGAAGGTGAGACCGCACAGTCTCAGCTCCCCCGGCCGCAGCGGCGGTAGCCCAAGGCCGTTCTTGCGGCCGTTCAAAGGGAGCGGAACGTAGCCGTGCAGCTGCCGCAAAGATGCCGCCGGACCTGTGGAGGACGCCGCCGCCGCCGCCACCAGCGGCCCCGCCACCGTCACCGCGGCCGCTGGCGCCGCCGGTGCCGTTGTTGTTGCTGTCGTTGCTGTCGTTGTCATTGTCGCTGTCGTCGTTTGAAGTGCAACGGTGGATCCTGCGTCATTGCGAGCACGCGAACACGCTAGGGCAGGTGGTGGTGGCCCGGCCGCCACCTGCACGACATCATCGTCACTGTAGTGTTTGTGCAAGGCGGCCTCCTCAGCTACCGGCGGAGTCCTCCCGCCACTACCGGCTGACGTAGCATCGCCCGTCGCTACAGCCGGGTCGCTGCTGCCGCCGCCGTCTTCATCGACGCTGCGCCCGCCGTTCAAGTCTCCTGCGGTGCCGGCGGCGGCAATATCCATGCTCTCGACAGCGCCGCCGCCAGCCACAGCGTCCATTGGTCTTATAGCGTCGACACCAGGATCAGACCTGTCACACCCGGCGTTGTTGTTGGCCCCAACAGCCTCGGCCGCCGCCGCTGCCGGCAGCGGAGGGCATGATGCTGCATGGAACGCACCCCCTGCGGTCGCCGTCTCAGTGCACGGACGCTTTGACGGCGGACGGACATCCGGTGCTGGCGCCATCGCAGCCTCCTCCGTATCGCCGTAGTCCACACGTGCGCCAGCCTCTGGCGGCGCAGCGTTCGCGCCGCCAGGAGTTGGCGCGCCGATGTCTATTGCAGCGGTGGCGTCAACCTCCGCATCAGCGTCCATGGCGGCTTCCTCCGCAGTAGCCGCAGCCTCGAGGACGGCTCCTCCTTCGCCCTGCTGCCGCCCCTCACCGCCCTCAGAACGGCAGTCGCAGTCATCCTGGTGGTCAACTTCGCCGTCGGCGCCTTCGTTGTCCCCTGGGGCCGGGGACATCACGCGCCGGCGCTTCCTCATCGCCGAAACGGCGGCCTGCGGTACTTCACCGGCAGCCGCGACAGGGACGGTAGCGGACACGGCGCGTCGCGCCCGCGTCGCCATGGCTTCCCGGGGCTGGCCCTCCTCCGCGGTCGTCCTGCGGCTCAGTCGGAGGTCGAAGCCCAGGCCCGTGGCCCCTAGCCAGTAGGCCCGCACTTCAACCAAGTCGCTTGGCCGGGCTCCAACGTACCGCATCCACGCCTGTAGTCCGCCAACCGTCCATGACGACGAGGAGGACGGACATGACGAGGTAGAAGCAGAGCTTCGGAGACTGGGCTGACGCCGCAGCCATCCCATGCCCACGTACTCCTCGCCGCCTCCGCTGCCGACGGCCTCCGCTCCGTCGGCAGCACCAGCACCAGCAGCACCAGCACCAGCACAGCATGCAGACCCTCGCAGTGCCACCGCGCGCACGGCGCCGTCAGTCGTCACGAGGCACCCCAGCATCGTCTGCCAGGTCGCCAAATGTCCGACGCGCAGTGGCAGCACGCCCTGCACCAGCATCCATTTTGCCAGGCATCGACGGGAGCTTGGTGGCTCGCTGCTGCCGCCGCCGCCATAGTCGACCCCTGCAGCGGCGGCCGTGGGCGCGGACACGCCCGGGCCGTTGAGCACTGCCAACCGAAGCCGCTGCTGCTGCCGACTTGCCGGGTGTACGCCAGCCCCATTGGCCGCGCCATTGGCTTTGGCACCGCTGCTGCACGCCAAAGGTAGTGTGAGGGCGATCCCGGCGCCACTCCGTAGCGCCACAGGACCACAGAGGGAGGGCAGACGACGGGAGGCGGCGGCAGGTGCAGCCGGCAGCGGCTTCGGTTGGCAGTCTGCTGGGTTTTGGAGAGTCCCCTCCACGAGTACTCCGCCGTCCACTCTCTCAATCTCCCGGCCCTCCTCCTCCACCTGATGCTGTCCAGGCCCAAGCGATCTGTCACCCTCCCCTCCAATCGATTGGACGCACGTAGCCGCCGCGCCAGCTTGCGCTAGCCCCTGGGCCGCCGCCGCCATTTCCTCCTCCGCGTTTTGCATTGCACCTTCCAGCCCATGTGAAATTCCCTCCGGTTGATCCCGCATTGCCGCCGCCTTGACCTGCTGTTGTAGCTGCTGCGGCTGCTGCGGCACCTGCGCTGAAAGCAGCAGCGCCTCCTGGCTCCCCCCGTGAATATCACGTCCGCAGCCTCGTCCTGCAACATCGTCCTCAGCCACCGCCGGGTCGCCATCCTTCAGCGGCGACGCCCCGTTCCCGTTCTCGCCGCCCGATGACACCTGCACCTCCTCCATCTGTGCTGCGGGTCCCAAGGCCGCACCCGTGGGCAGGTGCGCGCCGTCATCCTCCTCGTGCTTCACCGCGACAACGTACGGCGGCAGCGCCGGCGCAACCGCCGGCCGGGGTTGCAGGGACGGCGGCTCCAGCTGCGTCGACCGCCAATGGGACTGGCACGACCTCAACCACACATGTACCACCGGCTGCTGTGGGGGTTGAGCGCTCTGGGCCGGGACCTGCACGGGCGCTTCCACCTTAACCTCCGGCAGCCGCATCAGCTGCCGTGCACATTCCACCTGTTGCTGCTGCTGCTGTTCCTTCTGCTCATTCTGTTGCTGTTGCTGTTGCTGGGGTAGAACGCTAGACACCACGCCTTGCGGCTGCGGCTGACGGGACCGCAGTCGCGGATGTAACTCTGGCTGTGGCTCTGGGCCGTTGTCCATCCGCGCAGTCGACTGTGGCCCATGCGTCCCCTGCGTCCGGATGGTCTGCTCCCGAGGCAGGTTGGCCTCCTGCTGCAACGGAATCGGCTCCACCAGAATCCCGCCGCGCACCGCATCTCGCACCACCCGTAATCGTGTGCCGTCCGTTACACCTAGGTCCCGCATCAGGGGCGTCAGGCGTGTAATCCGGCAATTCGCGTGAAGCACTCGCAGCTGTGCGTCGCGGCATTCCAGCACACGCGGCTGCTGCCCGTCGCCGGCGACGACGTCGGCGGAGTTTGTCGTGACGACGTCTGTTTTGGTCGTGGTACGGCCGTACACAACCACGCCCACGAGCCGTCTCCGTGCCGTCGCCAGCATGTCCGCACCAAACAATACCTGGACGGAGCGCACGGGAAGCTTCAAGGTGGACCGTCCCCAGGTGGCCATGAAGACAACCGGACAGGGCCCGGGGGTAGCACTTGGGATGCCAGAGCCAGTGTGGGAAGGCCCCGCGCCCGAGGCGGCGGCATCTGACGAGTTGCCAGCTGCTGCGGTTGCACCGGCGGCCGCGGCATCACCGTTGGCCGTGACAAGTGCTTCGGTGTCCATGAATGCGTTGGCGGGCAAATCGCGGCTACTGGCGCGGGGTTCCACAGCGTGAGGTGCACTTGGTGGTGGCGGCGCTTCCTGGGGATACGGTGCGGGCGGCGGTCCAGGTGCATCCGTCTCCAGCTTGATGCTCCTGGAATCTGCAGCCAGGTAGGAGGCTAAGTCCTTGGCAGGAAGGGCTGTTTCCGACCCATTTGGTGGGATATTCCGAGTCTTAAGCTGGGCTGCTGGATGCGTAGCTTGGTCGTCGGTGTCTTGGGCAGCAGTGGGAGGTGCACACTCCTCGGCCGGCGCGGCCTGCGGCTGTCGCTGATACCTGATCGCCTTATGGCAGCTGAGCTCCGACATATTAGCTGTTTGGGGGGCGCATGTTGGGAATGCGGGGAAGGCTGATGGTGGACGTGAAGTCACGTTGAAAGTGAAGGCAGAGAAGAGGGACGCCAGTCCTAAGGGCTTTGGAGGCGTCCCCGACGCCTTGCCAGCATTCCTGGACTGCATGCCAGCCGTCCAATGTTGCAGCTATAATTATTGTGTTGAATGATTTTCCTTACGCGGCTCGGCGGACTGCAAATCAAGCTGGTCTTCTCGGAGGAACCCAACGCTGACCGACCATAGAAAGTCGTCAGTCCAGGAAAATTTCAATTGCAGCAGCTTAAATTTTTCACCATGCAAACAAAGCTGCGTCCAGTATGAGCTCGGCGTCGCGCATACAACCTCTCGCTAGGGTTAGCGTTTCCTAGCTGGTACCATACACCCCATATCGATCAACACCAGTTGTGGCAAATCTTGGTCTCCTGTCCTTGAGGAATACTGCATAACCCTAGGTTGTTATGTAACGCGCCTAACGGGGCACGACAAAAGTGTGAGCCAAGATGAATACTGCACGATATGCCGATCACTGTTGTTGGAAGGTGCTGGCTGTTCCAAGATTTTAAATTTATTGTGCAAAATTTGCTACAGCGAGCATGCATAAGCAACATAAGGTACGGCTTTGCAGAGTTACGAAGGCAGGCCTTTCATGATGACATTCTGCCAGACGTGTGGCAGGTGCTAAGCTTACATTTTCCTAATATTTAATATATAACCTTGACAAGACAAAAACTGCTAAAGTGTGTGCAAATGCATATGCTTGCCGTTTCTTGTGAAACCCAGCTCTGGTGAAACCCACATGCCAGAGCTTCGGTAGAAAAGTAGGTCCCATGGGCATGCTTACTAAGATCCATAACCCCTTAGACTTCTTGCATCCTCGCTTCTTCTCCCATCCCTTTATAAATAATTATAAGTCCCGTGGGCCCCTGCCTTCCTCCCTGGGTCGCTTTGATGCTCACAGGGCAGATCCTGGACCGCAGCGGTAGGGACCAGGAGGAATTCCTGCCATGGACTCTGGTTTGCCCTGAAGCAGCTACATCCGGCCGCAGACCGGCTAGTGGCGTAGGTCCGCCTTGCTGCGTATCGCGATCAGCTTCAAGCTCTGCCCTATCTTTATGTCGTATGAACGAACGGATCATCTGTAGTACCGGAGCACGTGTTGATTTATCTGGAACAGGACTGGTTAGACACCATACCGGGTTTGCTTTTGCTGCGGGTGCTTCCAAGTCTGTTAAGGTTGCTTTGCGTCTGACCCCTAAAACAAAGGAAGATTGCTGTTGCTAAGAGCTTGCAAGGCCTCCTTGTTAAGGTTACGCAACGGTGGTCGGAATATCAGTGCCGGGCGCAAGGATGCCGGGCCACAAGGGCAACACTACAGCGGCCCGTGCCTAGAAGGCACGAGATTCTCCTACCACAATGGTGGAATAACCACCAGAGCACCAGCAGGGAAGCGGAAAGTAAAAGCGACCTGCAGCTTACTGGCAAAATGCTGGCACAGTGGCGCTGAACTGTGCTCAAACCACGCTCCCCACAGCTGCACAACGCATCTGTTTTTCAAGGGGTGCGCCAGCGACCAAACAGCGACCACTATACACACACAAAAAAAACCATTACAGTCTTCGGTCCCTACTTGCACAGTAGGTGGTCCCACCGGCCGACCAATACGTTGCTCAAGGTTTGCACCGGCCTCGATGCAAATTACCCAGGCAAAACTACTCGACGCGCCGGACTCACCCCTAGCTACTGCTTCGTTGCATGCTATCCTGTCAAGCACCACAGCGCTAAACCCCCCAATACCTCAACATTCCGTGTCCCAGAATCTCGCTCTCGCTCCTATAGCGTACAGGGCCAGGATAGGCCCTCGTCATCCCCCAATCACTATAGCTGTTATGTTCTGGCCAGCATGTACATTCTTTCCTCGTGACCACTCTTGGGATCCAGCTTACTACACTTCAAGTGCCATCTACGCCCCGCTCGTCCTCCCTGGCAACCGCAGCTGAGAAGATAGCCTTCACTTGAGCAGGCTCTTCACCACTGATTTGACATTGAGCTTCTTCAGGTCGACGTATGTCTGGCCACAGCCCACGAACATGACCGGCGCGCCGCTGGTGTAGACCATGCTGAGCGCCGCGCCCACCTTGTCGTCAATGGTGTCAAACTTAGTCAACACGATGCCGTCGATGACGCCGCCGTGGCGGCGCGTCAGCGCCGAACCGTCATCGTTGCCGCGGCCGGAAACGCCAGTAGCCCCGGAGGCTGCCGCGGCGGCAGCAGTAGGCGCAAGGTCCGACAGGGCCTTGTTGAACTTGGTCAGTTGGTCCACGGCGTCGTTGCCCACCAGGGCCTCGCCCACGAAAAGCACCAGGTTGGGGTTGTTGACAGCGATCAGATTGGACAGGGCGCGCATCAGCGGCTGGTTGTCCTGCAAGGGTGCAAGGGGGGACCAGGGTCAAAAGTTACATCGTAACTGCCAAGTCAGAACTATTGCAAAAAGTACGGCTGGTACGCATGCGCGTTAAGAAGTTGGGTCATTGGCAGAAGCAAAGGACTGAGTGCCGCTGCACGGTCTAGCGATGCTGGGCGATGAGTTCCAGGCCGAGATCCTGGCGCGGCCCTAGAGCCATCCTCGCATCCAGTTGGACAAAGGACAACATATCCCAGAGATTTTCAGGAGACACGCAACCGCGAGCGCCTTTGCACTGTGCCGGGTTAGCGGAGAACAACCGCAAAAAGGGGCCCCGACGGCCAAATACACAAAACCAATTTTGCTACTGCCAACCCGCATTTTAAAACCCGCCACACGCGCGTGCACCCTCGCCCTTCAATACGCACACTTTCCATCGCCCACCTGCATGCGTCCGGCCGTGTCCACGAGGACCACGTGCTGGCCGTCGCGCTCAGCCTGGCGAATGGCCTCATACGCGACCTTGGCAGGATCCTTCTCATAGCCGCGCTCATACAGTGGCACACGCAGCCGTGCACAGTGAGTTTTAAGCTGCTCCACCGCACCTGTAATGCGCCACCACCCGAGACAGCAACAACAGCGGCAACAGCGATGTTTCGTGCTGGGAAAGGGTAAACGGGAATTCCTTCCCGAAGGGTTGAGCAGAGTGCAGCGGAGGGCCAAGCCAAGCACACAGCCTCAAAGGCCATAACCCGTTCTTTATTTAACATCTTTTACCACCCTGCATATTCGGGCTGCTCTCCGATGTGCGTGCCGATTAAAAAAGAGGGGTCAGCAGAAGTGCGCACGTCCACCCGCCCGCTTGGACAGCTACCGGGGCCATGAACCACAACCAGCCCCGGGCGTCCCAAGCCTCGATTTCCCATGTCACATCAGTGGCACGACTTTGCAGGCTCGTCGTACTTACCAGCGCGGAACGTGTCACAGGCTGCGATCATGACCTTGATGCCGTGGCCGCCCAGCCAGTAAGCAATCTTGGCCAAATTGGTGGACTTGCCCACTCCATTCACACCGCAGAAGACGATGACGTATGGCTTCCCGCGGGCCTGAGCAGCGGTTGAACACGGAGTAGCGCATCGAGTCCTGTTAAGCGCACCGCCCATGTCAAGTCTTGGCAATGGCCGAGGCGAATCGCGCCGGCCTCGTGCAGGCTAGACGTACAGGCTTTCAGTTCGCTTTCTGCCATACCTCGCTTCACCAAACAATCCACTATCCACTATCCAAATAATCCACTATCCTTACACCGCCTTCGCAAATAGAGGCTGCTACCAACTGGTCACCGCACGATCATCGCCACCACCACCACCACCTGGAATCCCTTTGTTCTCTCCAAACACCTCATCTGCCCACCCCATCCCACCTGGCTCTTCTTTATGTCCAGCAGCACATCCACAGCGCGCTTGTTGAGGATGCCGGACAGCGCCTCCTCAAAGGCACTCCTTACAAAGGTCACCACACCCGTGAAGCCCGCAAGGCGCTGGCCTTCCAAACGCCGCCCCACGCTGTCACACACCTAGGAAAAAGAAAAAAATTGCAGGCAAGGATCAGGGGCTCGGAAGGGCACAAGGATGAGTACTTTCCATCAGTCCATCAGTCCACCAGCCAACCCATTTCATGAAATCCGCTTGAAATCACGGAAACACGTGCATAACAAGCTGCTCACCCGACAGACATTTCTCGTGCTGTTAGGGTAGCAAGGTAGCAAGCATAGCCAAACGCGCCCTTGCCCGCCACGCCACCCTTCGTCCACCGCATCTGTCGTAAAAGAAGCCTTTGGTACCTGATAGACCGTGAATCAGTCCCAACGCTGCCTGCCCGGTTGACTTCAACTACCCACCTGTGACGCGATCTCCTCTGCCACGTTGCGCTCCATCAGCTTGCGCTTCATGTCCGCAAGCGCCGGCTCCACATCCGCGCGGCTCAGCGCCGACGTGCCCACCACGTTCATCTTGAGGGAGCTAACGAACGAAGCCAATAGGCCCCTCTTCGCGGGCGCCGCCGCGGTCCCGGCCGCCTTTCCGGGCAGGGCGCTGTTGTTCGCCTCCTCCGACGGCACCTCGTCGTCCTGTCACACACATAGAGAGCAATGACCAGACACCAGCTTGTATATAAACCACTGCTTTACCTGCCCTTTAAATGCACAATTACGAAGCTACGGCAGCCGTCGGGTCCAATCTGCCGCTAGTGTACGCCCACATGTCCTAAAAGCACATACTTGCATACATGCATACTTGCTGCCTTGTGCCCCCTTTCAAATCTGCCCGGGGCCATCACGGCCAGCACCCCCAAACACCGCCCATACGCTCCCCCATAGCTTACGTCCTCATAGTCGTCCTCGTCCACGTCCATGCGCGACACTCCCGCGCGCTGAGCCCCTGCGCCTTCGTCCTCGGTGGCGGACGCCGACGTGCCTGACACCAAGTCCCGGTCGCTTGCCGTGGGCGGACCATCGCCCTCCTCGGTGTAGTCAATACGATCTGGGTTGTCTCCCTTGCCCGACGGGAACAGGGTGTTCCAATTGCGGGCCTAAGGGGACAACAAGAGAAGAAATGGGCAGAGGGCGTGAAATGAATGTCAGATAGTGCTGTCTAGCCGAAGTGAAACGCCCTTGTGCCGAGGGGCAATAGAAAAGGGAAAGGCACATGGTTCGAGTGATTCGGGTTCACTACTGCGGCTAGACGCCGCATAGACGCTTTGCAGTAAGGCGGCAAGGCAAATGCGACAGCGCACACCGCTTGCACCGCTTCATGGAAAAGCTGATAGATGAATTGGGGAAGGCGGCAGCGCGAGCGGTGGCAGGATTGAATGGGAGCCACGATCAAGACATTGCAAACTGCAAGAGCCACGCCTGCAATGGCAAGTGGCCCGGGCGCTGGCGCCGGGGCTGCGCTCGGCGGCCTTACACACCTTCTTCTTCGGCGCCGCGTCTTCCTTCTTCTTGCTGGATGCCTCCGCCTTGCTGGAGGTTGCAGCAGCGCCAGGACGGCCGCGAACACCCCGGCCACGTGATGCGATGCCTTTGGGCAGTTTGCTCACGTCGAAGGCACGCACGCCGTCCTGAACAACGCGGGCGAAAGAGTGTTCAAACCGCGTTAGGGACTTAAGCGGGACTCACGTGAAAAGATTTCATGCAGCAGGTTCTGTGCTAATATTCTGTGCCACCCCGGTCATGCATGCGCCGCGTGTACCCATGCTATCGTCCATATTGTAAACAATGTTCCATCCGCTGTACGTAATTTGCAAGTGCATCTTAGAATGAAGGATTGCACGTCGAGGACGTGCCAGCACTCCGTAAGCCATTGTAACAATACGGACGGGCGGGTAAGGGGCGCCTAAGGCCCCCCTCGGCTTGCAAATCTTACCTCCGCACCGCTTGTGTCGCCGTCCTCCCCATCGGCGGAAACCTCGCTGGATTGACCGCCAGCACCGTTTCCGCGTCGATTACCTTTTGCTGCAGTGTCGTCGTCCGCATCGGCGTCGCCGCCCGTCTTGCTGCCCGATTTCGTGCCCCCCGACTCCTTTTTGCCCTGACCTGACGCTAAGTTTCCATTCTGTACACACACGGCACAGCGTAAGAAAAGGACGAAGTCGTCATCGCAAATCGTCCAATGCGTAGAAAAGGGAGACAAAGCGGCAACCCTGATCTGAAGTAACGGTCACCCACCTGCTTGGCCATGACCACAGCCGCGGTCCTCATGGCGGGCTGGCGCTTTGATACTTCTGCTCTGGTTTCTGCTTCACGTAGCAGCCGATTAAAGACGTCGTCAAAACCTTTATAGTCCCGCTGACCCGGTTTGTATACGCCGACGAACTCGTCCTTGACCGCCGTTAGGAGCTCGTCGACGTAAAGTAAAGAAAGGGTTTTCTGGTAGACAGCTACGAACACCAGGCCCAATCCGTTGTGAAATGTCCACTTCAGTGCTTGGGCTGCGCCTGACTTTGGCACGTATGTGAAAGTATTTTCACCAAGACGTTCCTCCAACAAGCAACCCCTGATCAGGGCGTTGATGGCATCTAGCGGGCTGTGCCGCAGCGTTGTGAACTGCAGCATCCATAGGACTGCCCCACCCCTTTCAAAAGCAGCTACGAAGTCCAGCATTTTTCTTAGCTATAGCTATTAGAATACGCAAATTGAACTAGCAACATACATAAACCAGGGATAAGCCATACAAGTGAGTACGGCAGACGCGTGCGTGTCCTGCCTTCTTGCGTTCTTGGACGGCGACTCAACCGATAGCAAGAATTGAGGGAGTTCATCAGGTGAATAGCTATCATCAATTGTCATGCGTGTCATTTTCTGCATCTTGGTCATCTGGCATCTTCGGGAAGGTTTCTTATGAGAAGGTTCCCACGTTGCACATCTCATGTAATTATAAATTTGTCAGTCCAAGACATGTCATCGAACTCCTTTATCTCAAATGAAATGTAATTGTGCAATGGTGCCTTTGAGCATCACCCTCAGACACGCCGCATGCTTTAATACGATCATACATAAGATTGCCCATATTGGTTGACTGGACGAAGCCAAGCTCTTTGCCATGAGCTTTACAATCCATGTCACATGGAGAGGTCGCACATTGACGATTTCTCTTCCCATTGCCGATCCAACGCTCAACGAACTGGGCGAAGAGATAGAAAAGCAGCACGGCGCTTCCTTTGAGACTCTTAAGCTCTTGGTCCCTGGACAGAAGTGTCAAATTGCTCCTGCACGACAACGCGCGCAGGCTGCCTCGGAAGCAGGTGAACCGTTCACTTGCATTGAGCCTGGCTGCGTCGAACCATGCGTCCCATTCTTTGCGACCATGCGTCCCATTCACACAGTCGTTCCTTCAATTCCCGCAATTTCTCCATTGTACATATCGTCACCCCTCATACGTGATACCTCACTTCGGCCAGATGTCACAGCATCTTTCCCCTCCTTTCCTCCTCCTCCTCCTCCTCCCAAAGCCAGGCCTCAGCAATGGCTGCAGAGTGTTGCTTCTGGCTAGCAGCGCGGAAGAGATCACGCGGGTTCGTGCGGCCCACGACCTGCCGGGCATGCGCTCCTTCGATGATGAACTCAAGCGCGCAGCTCGCAGACGGCGGACAGTCCGCAGCGACTTGAACCCGCAGCCCCCCAGGGGTACGTCATGTCCTTGTGGTGCAATGTCGCCTTCAAAATGAAATGAAAACACAAGCAATTTTTTTGTGTTTCTGCATGCATTTGCCCTCTCCGCCCCGTCTTGATCTACCGCTGCCAATCCCGGCAGCCGAGTACACTTTCAGCTCATACGAGACCTGGCAGCGTCCCGGGCTGCAGCCGCCCCCAGCCGAGGCCCTCAAGCTGCTGTACAGGTGGGCGGACTCCGGGTTCGTAACGCTCTTCTTCCTATGCCAGTGAACGGGTATGTGTGCGTAATGAATGGTGCGAGTGTGTGGATGGGTGTGCCGGGGACGATGATCTTTTCCCTTGACGCAATAAGCTGAGAAACAAGCTGGGAAGCGTCATGATGAGGAGATTGCTTCTGTGTTACTACTTACTGTGTATTATTGTGTTTGGTTTTACTAGGCCCATTGTTTTTACTAGGCCCAGCTTGCGGTATAAATTTTTTAATAAGCCGCGACGGCCAACCTTCTTTTTAACTTTAAACTTTTCCGGCTCAGAAATGGCCGCAATGTCATGGTGCGCCTAGAAGGGGGGAACATACCCCGCCGAAGCATTCACCCCGCCGTTACGAGAGTGCGCGCAGGCTGGCCAGCGACCCGGGCGTGATGGGCGTGATGACGGCACACCAGTACAGAGTGGGACTGCTAAGTGAGATGCCACCGGAGGGCAAGGTGGGGGTGTCGCCGGTGTGCATTCTGGGTGTCAACATCAACGCAGGACAGGAAATTAGCCTGCGGCTGCGTACGGATGATCTCAAGGTAAGTACGGCATGCCAACCTTGCCTAGGAGATGGATAGACAGTAGCAGTAATTGTGATGATGCTGGTGCTAGTGGCCGTACCCTGGTCGGTCATTAGTTCCATGATCTCTGGCTCGATCCTTTTTCGGGTATAAGTGCAATCGCAATCGATGCGGATTGACTTCTGTGGATAGGGTTTAGGGTACAGCAGGTCGGCGGGATTCCTTTAACTCTTGTCGCCGCGTTACGGTACGACAGGGGTTTCGGAAGTACGAGCGCATTCGCGAGACGCTGATTCACGAGTTGGCGCACATGGAATACGGCGAGCACGACAACGACTTCAAACGGCTGAATTCGGAGCTGGGCCGGGAGTGCGCGGCGATTAACGCCAGGTGCGTGGCCGTCAGGCCGGCTGGTGGAACCTGTCTAGTGGATAGGGTGCGGATACGCTCACAACACATCACTCGCATCTCGTTGCCTCGTGCCCCGAAGGTACGCCAGCGGAGGAGGCCACTTATTGCTGTCAACAGCAACAGCAACAGGACGCAGTCAACGCGAGGGCGCCGGCATCCATGAACGTCCTTTCCATGGGAGGGAGCTGGACGATCCTGCGCTGCTGCTGGAAGACGGGACTGCCGCTGCGGTCATGGCGGCTACGGCGCGGCTTAGCGGAAAGACACTGCGGCAGCTTGCAGCTATGGGGAGTAACGGACCAGTCCAGGGTGTGTTGCCGAGTGGCGGCGGTGCTAGTGGTGGTGGGGAGGGTGGTGGACCAGCCGGGGTCTGGGATGGTGGCAGAAGCATCAGCAGAGGCGGTGGAGAGGGGACTGATGGTGGTGGGAGGGGCAGTAGCTCTGAAGGCAGTGGCGGCGGCGGCGGGGGAGATGACGATGCCAGTGCCCATGCCGATGGAGATGGAGACGATCCAGTACGGCAGTTTGAGCATTACGATGCGGCGACGGAGCGTGCCGAGGCGGCGGCGCAGCGGCTGGGCAGCGTGGACGAGCCGCCGCCGCCGCCGCCGCCGCCGACGACGACGACGACGACGACGACGGGGTTGCAGCAGGGCGCTGGCAACGGCGCCGGTGATGGCGGTGACGGTTGCAGCGAAGAAGCGAGGGCAGTGACCGGCAGGTCACGAGTCGTAATCCAGCCGCAGCCGTCGCCGTCACCGCCACCGACGCCGGCGGTCACGCCCTTGGCAGCGTCGACTAGCCTGCCTACACAGTCCAGAGCAGCAACACCACCAACACCATCGACAACAATGCTGATAACGGCAGTAACCTCAGTGGGAGCGCCGTCGGCCATGTCGGCCAGGGAACAGGCTCGTGACGAGGTGGCGGCGCCGCCGCATGATCCCGTCATGATGGACCTCGGCGAAGACGCGGATGGGAGACTAGGCAAGAATTTAGCTCCAAACATGGACCAGGGGCTGGGCTCGCGGGTGGTGGAAAGCGACGTTGCGACGTCGGCAGCAGCGACGGCAGTAGCAACAGGACTGACGGCAGGAGCAACGGCAGCGGAGGTCCCGGTGGTGGAGGACGTGGAGGGTAATAATAGCGATCTGAAGCCTGGTGGTGAAGATGGAGGCGTCCAGCTCTCGCTATCGCTGCCAGCTGCACTGACGGCGGTGGCGCAGCCGCCGCCAACGACGTTCCTGACGCCCTCGCCATCTGTGCGCTTGAGCTTGCGGGCTCCGGAGGAGCTGTCGGTAGGTGGTCGTGGCGGCGGCGGCGGCGGGGGTGATGATGGTGATGGCGGCGGCGGCGGCGGCTCTGACGCCGACAGCGGAGTCGCGGCGGCGGCGCAGGCCAAGCTGCGTCAGGCGTGGAACGCACTGGTGCAGATGGGATCGGCTGCGGGAGGAGGCACACCGTACAGTGTCGTACAAACGACTCCTGATTCATTACCCGTCGCCGCCGTCACCGCCGAGGATGTCGCCAGCGCATTGGATACGTTGGAAACGATGCTTGGTAATGCCGTACACTTTCCAGCCGAAGACCGCTACCGCCGTGTGCGGCTGAGCAACGCGGCGTTTCAGCGACGTGTGGGCCGGTTGCCAGGCGGCGTGGAGTTGCTGCGTGTTGCGGGTTTCGTTGAGGAGGGTTCGGGGCCGGATGCGGTGCTGCGGCTGCGCCGTAACGACCCCGGGTTGCTATGGCTGGTGCTGTCGGCCGTCCGGGAGGCAAGAGAGCAGGTTGCCGTGCAGATGCACACGGCTGGGGGACACCTGGCTTAGGGACATTTGCTCCTTTGCATAAGGAAGATTGCTTGCTACAGTTGCTAACTACAGCTTAACAGTTTTGATGCGTGCATGCATGCATGAATGCATGTATATAATAGTTTTTAGCCCCTGACAAGAATATATGCATACTAGTTTTGAGCCCCTGGTTAATATGCGCCTAATATGCAACTACTGGCTAGCATGGCAAATGCCTTAGGCTTGAATCGCTGCGCTGGGCAATGCACGTGCTACTGCATATTTATTATTACTGCTACTGCGTTGGCCGTTAAACTGGCACTGTGGGGTTCTATTCCCTATAACCCTCTCTTGCCCACCGAGAGCAGGGACACATGGGGACATGGCTACACGGTGTGTGTACTGTATCGAATTGATAGAAAGCACCTCGAGGAGTGTGACGGGGTGGTGGTGCGTTTTCGGTTGCGAATACGGCTAACCACTAGCTGTCAGTCGTATTCAAGCACTGCGTGTCGTTTCCCCTAGAGCAGATGAAGGAATAGAAGGTGGTGGAGGGCACATCGGTCGGAGGGCTTTAGGCTTCCTCAAACCAGGGGGGATTCATCAACAGGAAACCCCCTACGGTGTTTTGCGACGAAACCTTTTTCCTTTCGCACAACTTACGAACACGGGACTGTTGGGCTGTGGGAAAAGATCGCGACTTAACTTATTGTTAAACAGGTGCATTAGTCTTACGGCCGTTCTTGGATATGTGTTGTGTGTCAAAGGCGTATTGTGTGGTAAAAAACCTGCAGGTGTACGTTCCGTTGCGCGATATTGGGCGTTTTGCGTGACAGGATCTCTTTTTGCCATGGGGAAAATAATTTAATGACAGGGTCTGACCTTTCCGGGCTCTGACTGTTAAGAGGCGTTCTCAGTGCATGCAACGGCAGCGGAGCCTCACCTCACAGCGACGAGGGAGAGAAGGGCGTAGAGGACCTTGCACGCCGAAAGGTCTTGCCTCGATTTGTGATTTTTATGAAGTAATAAAAAAATAATATAATTTACTACTTCATCTCTCCATTTTCTCGTCCGGCAATCTGACTGATATATATATCAAGGAAATCACAGGCAGGCAGGCAGGCAGCCAGATCGTCGGGGGTCTCGCATCGCAACCGACCGTCATGCGGATCCCGCTGGATTCCGAAAGGGCATTTGTAATGCGGCGATAAATATATTTTAGCATTTATACCTGTCTTAGCATCCCCATAGACACGATCCCGTACCCCTCCTCCTCTTCTTCAGCAGCAGCCGCAGCCGCAGCAACAACTCGCCAAGCACTTAACTCCCCTCCTGCCACCAAGTTTATACCGACTTAACTGCCACTACCAGCAAACACCCCTGTTTTCCTTCATCCACGTAATGACGAAAGGTATTACAGTCCAAATGCAGTGTCAAATGCATGCTTCTATCCATCAACACATCAAAATCACCTTTTTGCCAACTCCCCTCGCGTCCAACAAAAGTCCATTCCGGGTCTGTCTAAAGTAGCATAGCCGCCTCCGTTGGACGTCATGCATGCGGTGAACGAACCCGCGAGGTTCGCCAACAGCATCTGCATCATCAATAACCACTGTCGCATCATGAGCATAGCAGCAGCAGCTGCTGCTGCTGCAGCAGTAGCTGCAGCAGTAGTAGCAGCTCGACAACAGTCAAGACAGCTAGACAAATATAATTTATTCGGATCGGATTCACCACGGCAACGCCACTAATGGATATGCATTCAGGAACTCGGTCAGCCTTTCAGAAACAACGAATGTGCCAATGAAGCTGTAGGAGGAATAAAAAAACCTAAGTAACCCTAAGATGCACTTCGGCAGCCACCATATGTACAAACCCTATCCATGAACCTGCGGAAAATTCTATTCACGAGGGCCGAGCAGGGGAGCCCCCACAGCAGAATCCCCACCACGTGTGCGAACACATATGATGTGTGAAACAGGGGGGTGTATCTTCGCCCGTGGCAGCTACCCTGCGAAACCCTGCCTTCCCCGGTATTTCGGGGCACCCTCATCCAGTCACCCTAGTCAACTTCTCAGTGGATCGCTCAGGTTCCGCACCCACCACCAGCATCCAACGGAATCTGCCGGGTCGACAGCGGCCCAACTCCGTTCCTGGTCGGCTCGCAGGTTCACTTTATCCCAGGTCACCACCGTCCATCATCTAGGGGCGCAATGCCTTCCACCATCGAAAGGATTTTGACCCTAATGGGTATCGATCCCGGAATCTCCCGGGGGCAATGGTCGCGCCTTACCAGTAGTGCCAAACCCCAACATATGTGGATGCATACATATATACATACGTGTTCTGTTTGTACATATATACATACGTACAAACAGACATATGTGCACACGGGGGTTTCGGAAGTACGAGCGCATTCGCGAGACGCTGATTCACGAGTTGGCGCACATGGAATACGGCGAGCACGACAACGACTTCAAACGGCTGAATTCGGAGCTGGGCCGGGAGTGCGCGGCGATTAACGCCCGGTGCGTGGCCGTCAGGCCGGCTGGTGGAACCAGTCTAGTGGATAGGGTGCGGATACGCTCACAACACATCACTCACATCTCGCTGCCTCGTGACCCGAAGGTACGCCAGCGGAGGAGGCCACTTCTTGCTGTCAACAGCAACAGCAACAGCAACAACAGCAACAGCCGCTCCAGACTTTGAAGCCGTCAACGCCAACTGCTGGGTCGCCTCCTCCGCCTCCGCCTCCTCTTCTGCAGCGGCAACAGCAAAAACGACCCGACGAGCCGCCCAGCGCCTACCGCCCCGGAGGTTTTCTTACACGAAGCACACACCCACAGACATGACATCACTCACCGCCTTTCCAGGTCCCCTCAGCGCCAGCATCCCTAAACCCGAAATCATCCAAACAATCAGAGGTGGTTGACAACCATGGTTGACAAAACCCTAGCACAGCACATCTGCTACAGCCGCCAACGACCAACGGTACACGGGATCCCCCTCAACCCATCTCTGCAACAGCCTCATCACAAAATTCCCGATGCCCCACAGATTCCACCACCTTCGCTGCCATGCGCCTCTCCGTCTGCAGCTTCAGCCCACGTGGTACCTACAGCCCTCCCGGGTATGTAGCGTGCGGCTCGCTGCTACAGCCTCGCTACCGCCTGCGCCGCCAGCACGGCCTGGCTGGCCTCATCGTTGGCGTTCTGGCGGCGACCCATCAGGTACTCCATCGCCTCAACCATCGTGTCCGGTACGACCCGCCGTACAGGACCGCTCGGGCATCGAAACGCAAAGCTGCGCGAGGGAATCCGCGCAGGTAGAGCAACACCCCTCACCAATAAGAGATCGATACAAAAAAAAGATGCCATAAGAGGTTAGGGGAGGCAAGGTATGAAACGTTTTAGGATCATTAAGGCCACACACACACAAGAAAAAAACAGAATTCTAGAACGAGGTGAAAACGTGAAGTGAGGTGAGGAGGTAAGTGGAGACGGCGAACGAAACAACACCTCACGCGGGCATCATTTCCCTTTCCCTTTCCGCATTATCTACCCGCCATGGACCGCAAACCCTGGCCCCACCTGAACACGTTGGTCACGACGCTCTGCTCGGGAGCCCCCGGCTCCACCTTGGTGGCTCGCACATGCACCCGCACCACACACCCCTCCGTGTACACCACCTGACCGGTGAGCCGCAACAATGTGCCGATGGGTACGGGCATCAGGAAGGCCACGTCATCCATAGACAACGGGTCGCAGTACTCGCCTGTGCGACAGTACGGCAACGTGTACGACAGGGAGAATGTCAAAGCAAGGGGGTGCGGTGAGAGAGGGTGTTTATGAAGGAAAAGGAAGGGGGAAGAGAAAGAAGGGGGATGGGTGGGATGCTGTGGACATCAAAGAAGTTGAAGTAGGGCGAAGCCGGTGAGCGGAAGAGGTGCTTCTAGTGGTGCTTCTAGTGGTGCTTCTAGTGGTGCTTCTAGTGGTGCTTCTAGTGGTGGTAGTGCTGGTGGTGGTGCTGGTGGTGCTGGTGGTGGTGCTGGTGGTGGTGCTGGTGGTGGTGCTGGTGGTGGTGCTGGTGGTGGTGATAGCGTAGCGGCGGCAGCGAAGGCCTGCTGTGACGGCTGTTGTCAGGTAAGGACAGTTTGGAGAGAGAGGCGGCTAGGGGACCCCACCCACAACTCAAGCCGGGGCTCAAGTGCTACCGGGGTTATTCCAACGGGGGGGGTGCGTGTGTCGTACCTGCATGTAGGGCGGCTGTTGAGAAGGCATGTTCGTATGCCAGTCGCAATAGGTGGCCGCCAAAGATGACGTCAAACACGTTGCGATCCTGACTGTTGGGCGGTTGGTAGTTGGCAGTTGCGGGGGTGAGCCGAGTGGTGGTGGTGTGTGGGGAAATGAAGACGGGGTAACGTGGGGGCAGAGGGTGGAGAGGGGGAGCGTTTAGAGCATCGGCTTTATTTGTTTGTTTGTTTGTCTGTCTGTCTGTACGTATGTATGTTTGTCATTTCCTTTTTTAACGGCAATGGCGGCTGGGGAGCGATGTGCTCAGCTCCTGCTCGCAAGTGGAGACCGCCCTCAGGTCAACCCTCGCCCAGCTTAAAAACTTGCGTCGTACCGTAGCAAACAGACACGTAAACAGACACACGTACAGACACTCACACACACTGGGTGCCCGCCTGCTCATCCTTCGCTCCTCGTTGACCCTCCGAAACCATGCGCCGCGTGCTCTCCACGCCGCCTCAACATTTAATGAGGTGTTAACTTCCCGACCCCATTTCCCCCGGCATGCCAAACACACCGTACAACATTCCCCCCAACATTTCCCCCCAACTCCCCCCACCCCCGGCACCTGTGCATCAGACAGCAGTTCTGCAGTACGGTACGGCTCATGGGCACCGTCTCGCCATGCTGCTGCGGGTGATGGTGATGGTGGTGGTAATGGTAGTTGCCTATCCGATGCAAGTGGTGTTGCCTGATTAGGTCGTGCACCAGCGCCACTTCCTCCCCGGTGGGGGGTCGACGAGCCCAGTGAGCGTCACGACGCTGCTGCCGCTGCTGCATGTGAACCTGCAAGGAGGTTTGCTTGTTGAAAAAATTGTTGGGTTTTAACTTCGGGTTTTAACTTCGGGGTTTTACTTGGGGTTTTACTTGGGGTTTTACTTGGTGGCCACCACAGAAGAAAAACCACTTTTTTTTCCATTCGGTGGAGGAGCTCGGTGGGACATACAGAGGTGCACTTCCATTCGCACCAAGTTACCAAGTCCGGTCTTGCCCGCAGTCCGGTTGGCCTTCACTTCATTTGACTCCCCTTTTACGTCCACTTCCTAGGGTTTTTTAGGGTTTCTCCCAATGGCCCTGTCCACCCCAGCAAGCCCGTATATCTATTATATATACCCTTTACATCCCTGCTCCGAATCCCCCCGTTCTCCCCTCTCAAACTCCCACCTTGCCCTGCTCGAACAACTCCATCTCTCTGCTTGTCTCCGGTACAAGCAAGGGTACTTCCGCTGCTGCCGTACGATCTGGTGTACGAGCTACCAGTACGAAAAACGCCAGTCCGATGAAATTCCACTGATTGGGGTCTGCCCCTGGAGCTTGATGTGACAGCTCAATCATGACCTCCATGCTGCTGCGACCCGCCCAAACGACCTGAGCGCGGCCCGCAGTGGTGCTGGTGGCTTGGGTTAGGTTAGGCAGAGTGTGCAGGTTTAGGGGGGACATGATTACCCTCCTTCCTCCCCCCTCATCTCCCCCCTCACCTCCTCCCCCCTAACCCACCCTCCCATCACATTCCGTATGTGCCCCAACCCTCCATCGCCCGTACCCCCCCTACTCTTTCACGCGACATCCCGAATGCCGTACGCCGTACACCGCATACCCCGCAATAAGCCCCCTCTCGCACCTGCCCTGCCATCCTGAGGTTGTTCGCCAGGGTCACCTCCCCCGCCACGTGGCGGTCTTGAATCCAGGAGATACGGTCAATGGAAGCAGTCAACAAAACCCTCTCTGACACGCCGGCGTGCCGTGCGGCGATGTCACCTAGCGTGGTGAAGGGAGACGGGGCTATTAGGGTGCTTTGCAGGTTTTACGGTTGCTTTTAAAGGTTGTGTCATAGCTTAGGTTTGAAAGTTCTGTCAGCGCGGGTTTAACGCAGGGGTAACGTGTCAATGTACGACAAGAGCGAGAAGGCACGTATATGTCTGTATGTATGCATGTATGCATGTATGTGCCAATTGAACCCACCTGCCAGTGTGTCGAGATCTTCCAGAAGGAGCCCAAACCGCATGTGGTTGGAGGTGAAGCGCTGGTACTGCTCGCGAAGTGTCGAATTGCTGCTAAACGGAAAGATGAGCTCCAGGTAGCTGTCGCTGGGCGCGCGCTGAGGCAGCGCCAACGGGGATTGTTTGTCAGCGTCTGGCAGCGAAATGCTGGAGGACATGCGTCCGGCATATGAGCTGCTGGGTTGTGGCTCAGGGTCGTCCGCGGCAAGTGGCGCAGCAACGGAGGGTCTGGACGATGCGCTGGCGATGGTCGTCGCTGCGTCTGCTCCAAAGCTTCCAAGCCGGGACTTCATTACCCAGTCCAGAGGCCCAGGGCCCGAGAAGTCCGCTGGATCATCGCGGCGGGGCTGCGTAGGGACATGCCCCGATTAGGGATTGCGCCATATTGTTGGCACGTACGTTGCTATTTGGGGCTTTGAGAGGGTTAGGTTACGTGCCTTGTATTTAATAAGCAATCCGCGGCCTCCTCGCCGGTGCTCTCCTACTTCGTAGGAAAACGGAAGGCACCATCCGGCTTCGTCTAGTGTTGCTTCCTTTAGTATTGGAGGTTCCTCCAGTCGCAGAGTTCCAAGCATCCTGATCAGGCGTCTGCAGAATGAAGCGTTCGCTTTTGTCAACATAGCAAAAAAATTAAGAGGACGCCGTTTACAAGAGCCCAGTGTGCGTGAAACCGCACAGTACCTTTAAGAATACTTTTAATAGAGTATTATCCTGAAGTCGGCGAACTCAATTTGGAGCTGCCGTAAGCGCCGTGCGTCTCGTCAGGAGAAACACAAAATCCCGAAAAGGGTTATGGGTAGCAAAGGCACGCTGTTGAGTTATCAGTCCTATCGCCAAAAAGCTGATGGCATTTTCCAGTGGGCTTTCGGGTAGGGCGACAGATAGATACACAGCGAGCTTTCACCGTTGGAGTTCGTTCAACCGTTAATGCAGTTCTCAAAACTCAGCCTCAAACAACGGCACAGACAAAGGGAGCATCAGGAAAAGGCAAGGTTAATACGGCCTTTAATTGCGTGCTGTTCGTGTTTCTGCGCTCGCTGCGACCTCGACGGGATCAGCGACACGTTAAAGCATATCGTTAGTGTCTTATAGGTTGGTGTCCTACAGCTCCCGTATTCAAAAAGCTGGCTTCTATAATCACAGACAGGATTGCTGCAAGCAAAGGGGGGGCTAGTTAGGGCTTTGCTCTAATCCTCACGTGTATCGTACCGGGAGCTGCGTACCGGAAAGGTCGTTTTTTTATATAATTCAGACCAGTGCACATTTTTATTTGGTGTAGCTCCATTTGCGTTTTGCTACTGTGTGGTAGTTGCATCCGAGTGGCTTACAATCGCAGCAGAGTGTCAAACAGCATCCCATCTCGAAGTCCATGGCACAGGATACCTGCTGAAATTTTCGCAGAGCACACGTATCTGTAAGTACCTGTCATTCTTCAGCCCCCCTGTCAGAACCTGTATGCACTCGCGACCTTTTCCCCGACTCAGACTACGCAGCATTAGCACTACGAGCATTTCTCCTTGCCCCGGAAAGCGCTTCTGCACTACGATGCATCCGTGAGAAAGGATAGACCAGTTAGCTGGCTGCTGCACTTGCCTTTGTTTTTTTCCTTGTCCTTGCTCTTCTCGATAACCGCAAGCGAAAGCCGCTGCAAAGCCGCTGTTCTCTGTAGTCCTAAAGAGAATTAAACCGAAGCAAGAGCTGTCGTTATGAGCAGAACTTCGGAGGGGACGATAGGGATGCAGAAGAGCGCGGATGACTTGGACCAACAGGCTTTCGAGGTCCCTACGGAGCGGAATCCGCCTCTCCCAGGCAATAAAACCCGACAACTCTATCGCCAAGGTGGTTAGCTCCCACATCTTACGGGCACTATTCGGTCGGAATTACGCCCAGTTAGTAATTATGTATCTCTTGAGGCTATGCCTTAAATTTGATTTAGGGCCACGCGGCGACGGGCCGGATCGGGAGCTGCTAACGCTACTCCCCAACAAGGTGTCCTCAACAGGTGTCCTGACCCCAGCTTGGGAAGGTTTCACTCCGCAGCAACACCAGGCAACCGGAAAACAATGTCACCATCATTATTGTCTGTCATTTTGGAGCATTCTGGAGCAAAATAACCTGGTTTCGGTGACAGATATGTTGACATGGGAAATTCCCCGGAAGCGGGTGGCTTGCCTGATGACACGCACAAATCGAGAAATGGTTCCAAATTTTTATTTGGGAGGCCAGGCACGTCGCGCTGAGGCGCTTGGGCCTGAAGCGGACGAGGGAGAATGAAGATGACCTCCCACGTACCCGCATCAATACCAATACAACGTCCATGGCCCCCCGGCTTTTACGGACACACCCGCACTTGTGTGCGGAACTTGTAACTTGTAGCTTGTTGAGGCGATGAAAACACTGTCATCTGTCCCAGGCAATTATGTCATGTTGGTGGATATGATGGATTGACTTGCGACACACTTCAAATGTAAATTTGAAATGACGATCCCCGCAAGGATCTGCAAGGCTCATTCTCACGCTCTATGAGGGTCTTTCCATTGGCCAGCGGCTGGGAAAGTTCCTTAAGTTCTATGGAGAAGTTAAGAAATTTCCTTCATTTCACTTTACATTGGGCCCACTTTACACAACTTTTATCAGACGTACGGATTGTAAGGAATTGCTCACTTTTGAGCTACGTTAGCCCTCGAGCACATTACTACTATTGCCCAGCACGTTTTCGCTCGCATTCCTTGACTCCCCTAGACAATGTCCCCATGGGCACCGTCGGCAAGCGCGCAGAGTTGTGCTGGGACGCGACCTGGTTAAGGCCTCCATACGACATTTGCGAATGATGTATTTGTGGTGATAGTCCGGGAAAGCGGGGTGGTGACCCGACTCGAGATTGACATGGCCACGCTGCAAGCGAAGCTGCCTCAAGCAAGCTTCGTCATCCATATGAGTTCCAATGTAACCAGCAGGACTTCCCTGGAAGGACATTGACGAGGAAATAGCACTCGCCGGTTATGCGTAGCTGGCGTCTGTCGCTTCCGAGGGCCGCGACTGCACTGGTCAACGCACCAAATATTTGGCTATTACCGGGCACCCTAAGTATTTAGGAATCACTCTTAGGGCACTATCGCCATGAGGCTATAAAACGGACAGGACGCAAGGGCAGATCACAGTGTAAAGTGAGTTGTAAATATAAAATTTCCGCGATGGAAGCAAGTGCGCATGCAGAAGTGACAGGGTACTCAAAGTTCTATAAAACAAGCTATATGAAAAGCTCTTTTATTGAAAGAAGGACGCATGCTAGGCTCACATGGCACTCAAGTCATGAGCACGTACGCACAAAGGGCACTTCCGCCGTCACGAAAAGAAACACACAGGGCACAAGGGCAGGATGTTTTGTAAATCGTGCTGTAAATGAAGCTTCGTTATTAACCAACATGGCATGCTGGAGACGAAATGGACCCGCAGATTTCGTGTGTGTGTGTGGTGGTGTTACAGTGGGCTCCAGACTCCAATGTTTCATACGCAGCAGATATGCGGGCGTATTGCCGTGGGCATCCGACATTATGTTAAGCCAGACATATGTCAATATCCATTATATCAGGGGCATCGGAAGATGCCAATGGATGGTGATGGAAAATGGTTAATGAGCTGCGAATCTCTCATCATAATTGGAGATGAGTTTGTAGCTTCGTTATTCTGCCGTGTATGTGTGTGTGTGTGGTTGTTACAGTGGGCTCCAGACTCTCGAAGAGTAGAGCCATCGGGCCATCTGGCCGTGCACTGCAGTAGAGACTAATATACCAAAAGATTATCACCTCAGTGTATATTGGTGATAAATGCTTAACCCGAAATTGTATCCGGCTTCACAGAAATCAGCATAGATGAGAAAGCCGAAATTAATAGGCACTGGCTACGCGTGAAAGTTTGTCCCTCAATTCCATATAATATCCAACGCTGTCATGCGCTTATAAGGCCCACTGAGGCAATATAACCCTAGGAATTCACGTTGAATTGTTATCAACTATAATAACAGAGTAGTAAAAACAGTGAAAAAGCAAGTCGAGCTCAGCACCCGTAAGGTCTTACCCTCATGTCGAGCATATGCCCGTTCAGTATCCCAATTGCCAGCTAGCGAGGTACGGCAACAGAGAAAGGCGCTAACAATTGGGTGAGAACTAATTTCTTCAATAAGATTTACCCACTACTACACGTGCTTTACATAAAGATACCGAAGACGACCGCTATCGAGTAGTGACCTTAACGTTCAGGCGATACTGTTCATTTTGCAAACAATAGCTTTGGAGCATCGGTAATATACAAAAAGCGCTTTCAGCCTTCCATTCGTATGTCGAACGACGACAAACCTAAGGAAATCGCGAGCGATGCTGCGGCGCCTATGCAAAAAGGCCCATCATTCCTGAAAAACTTATACTCTGGATGGACTGAATGGGTAAGCATGGCGCTTCGCATGGTGGTCTGCTTAGAGCAGTGGCCCACGTACCCCCTTGGGACAGGTTTCTAAGCATCGGCTCGCGGCAAGCCTTGTCGTCATCGGCATTATTGTCTGTCTCATCCTCGTGGTGGTGGTACCGCCAGTGTGCATCCTGCACGGCTGCGGGGCAAAGCAAGCTCCCGAGGTAATACGCCAGGTCCATGGATGACTGCTCTCAACCTCTCCCAAACCCCTGATCCCAATCACGTCCTTAAATCACGTGCATCATAACGTTGTGGAGCACTTGTGGAGCACAACTCCCCAATGAGCCCCCAAAGCCACGGTTTCACACAACGACATGCGTGCTCGAGTTGCAAGCATCAATTAAGCCCTACCTGCATGCCAGGGTTGCTCCCGGCAAGCAAGCTCCAAAACCACCATTTGCCAAAGCCATTTGCCCAACTGATCCTGACCAAAATGCAGGAGGTGATCGAAGACCTGCCGCTTAACCGCCTGCTCGTCCACTTTGACGAATTAGGCAAGACAGTCAAGTCTAGGGTGTCACCGCTGCTGTACGACTACTTTGAAGAAATCATTCTATCATTCGGCGTGAACATCGTAACCTTCAAAACAGCCAAAGTACTGTACCAAGTGCTGCGAATTTTAGAGTCCCAGCCAGGTGCGAGGGTTTGGGTAAAGTTGGGCAGGATTAGATGGCTGCGGGGGCAGTGATTCTGATGGTGGTGGTGGTGATGGCGAGGGCCGCAGCTGCTGCTGCTGACTGGGGGTGACAAGGGTGGGAGTAGGCTTTACTACCTAACATAGACACCAAGATACCGGTATCGTACTTCTTACCATTATAACAACCTATCATAAGTGCGATTTGTCTTAATTCGGATTTGTCTTAATTCGGATTTGTCTTAATTCGGAACACATCCTAGGAACGGAACACACAGCTGCAGTCGATCCTGCATCTCAAGATTATGTATGTAGAATACCTAGATTATGTATGTGTAACGGACTGTTGTTATGGAGCGTGCCAGGTTGAGCAAAGTGGAGCTATGCCAGGAATGTGCTTTTGGTGGGACGACAGAACCCTAAACCCACCCTACAACCCTATCTCGGCTTACAGTCGTCGTCGCCACAGGCTCCTCTTCCGACGGAAACCGGTCCTTACAAATTCTTACAAACCCTGACGCTTGCCTTTACTCAACACCTGCCTAGCTGGCACGGGATACGGCACCTGTACAACTACTTCAACCAACCGGGGTGTAACGTCGCAATGTACGAGCAATGCAGCTTTCAACCCCCCCCTCCCTGTCGGCCTGGTCGTCGTAAAAGCCTCGCGAGGCGGTGACAGAAAGCTTTGTCTGGGGTCTATATTGGTGGTGGCGTGTGTGTGTATGTGTGTATTGCAATGTACGACAGCTACTGCTACAACCCAGCAACCCTTCGACGGAGGCGTTGTATGGCAGTACCCTAAAGGATCATCACAGTCACAGCAACGCTACTCTGTGTGCAGCAACTACCACCACCACTAAGGCTTTCCTTTCCCAGGAACTATGCATCCACCTGCCCATCACGCACGCACCCTCCCAAGCACACCCTCCCTGTTCTCCCTCCGCACTCTGCCCCTTGTCCTCTATAACCCCTTTGGGCCTCCCCCCTTTCGGCGCACGTTGGGACAGACGTGTTGATCCTCCTGCGCGATCGCCCGCAGTACAAAGTACCAGATGTGGATCCGTACCTGGGGGTGGGACTGCGCAGCGAAATTGGGAACGTGACGCTGCGGCGGCGGTCGGCGCAGGCGCTGCAAGGCGGTCTGAACAAAAAGTATGACGAGTACGAACAGTGGGCTCTGACCAAGGTTGGAGCGGAAGCAGCTTGGAATGTCACACACGGTGATTGAGTCCACCAGGGCCCAGTTTGGGGCACCACGTCGTGTGCCTTTTCGAGGATAGGGGGGGGTGGTAGTGGTGGTATGTGCCTTCTGGTACCTTCTGGACGCAAATAATGCGGATGAGGTTGGGTATCCCCAGATGGCCTTTCCTCTTAAAGCGCGGTATGGTATATTCAATATATAGCATTCAAGGAGTAAAGCATTTGCTAAGCTGAATGATGTGGATTAGCCGTGTCTCTTTCCTTACTTGCGGACGGCCTTAGGGGCCACGCACGTCTATGATATATGCCCTTTTCCCTCTCCCGCGTTTTGTCCCGATAACCATCCATCCATCTTCGCAGGTGAGCAGGTGGTGGTGGCAGTCATCGACACGGGCTGTGACTTGACGGTAAGCACGGATACATACATACATACATATATATACGGGTGTACCGGGCAGCGTTTCGCAAAGGGGATGATGAGTCCGGGGTGCTCGAATGCACGAGCATGAGGCTTTAGGGGCTCCCATTGGGGCGTGTGTGTATTGCCGTACAAAATCGAAGTCGAAGAACGAAGCCATGTCGTCGTGACGTATATAAAGTGGCCGGGAAGAAGGGAAGACCAGGTCACAGACCGGATTACAAAGTGTAGAGACGGCAGCAGGCCACGCGGGCACGCAAAACAGAGGAAGATCCTGCTCTGAGTGGATGCGGGATATATAAGGTATATAGGACCTACTCCTGCAGCATCCACCACTACCTCGTTCCTTCTGCTCTCGACAAAGTGATGCAAGACAGCAGCAGACGACAGGTTGGAATGCGGGGTCACGTGCTTAACAAGCGTGAGGAAAAGAGGAGCCACAACATGGGCAATGCGGAGAGCCGGATGGGGTGAAAGCCACAAGTCAGGTTCGGAGTCTGGCAGGTTTACTCAAAGCGACGCTGCATTATTGCTGGTGCCCAACATGAAGCGGTTGGGGTCGTTAATGGGGTGACGCGGCGCCAACTAACTAACTAACACGGATCGTTGTGGACAGATTCATCTTCGTACCATGCGTTGCTCGGAGCGTTAAGTACGGCAGGATGGTACGGTCGTCGATGTGACCGTACACACCTAATAACTAAGGTTTGCCGCGAACTAGCGCGGACGGCGACCGTCCACGCGTGTTTGCAGGCTCTAAGTGCATACATACGTGTGTGTGTTTTGCCCACGGTTCGGGTCTAGGTAAGCGGTCTGTAGGAACGAATGCGAAATGCCACTAGACCCTTGGCGCAGAGTTTGATCAGAACCTGGTGGATAAAATAGGGTAATCAATGTGTATAGCAGCTCCTGGCCGGAAGACGTAAACGGATTTCTAAAGTGCTGCTCAGCAGCAGGGCGCTTAAGCACGTACATATGGCGTTGAACGTTTGCTGTACTGTACGACAAGGCGGAGTGGGATGGCTGAAACTACGAACCCTTAACAGATACGGTGTCGTGCATGTCGTGCAAATGAGACGTACTTACACCTGCCTTACCTGGCGGGGCACTCCATCTCGCGCTGATGCATGTGGTATGTACAAACGAAAGGGAGGATTTGGGCTTTATTTCCCCTCTCCTTAAAATATGCTCTAATCACCCTGCTTGATCTTCCTCGTGTCACAGGACTACAACAGGCCTAAATATTAACCATTTGCACGTCGCTTCCCCTTCCCTTGGGCAGCATCCGGACCTCAAGGATAACATCTGGACCAACCCCAAAGAGACATTCAACGACACTACCGACAACGACAAGAATGGTGGGTGCAAATCGGGATTCGCACGAAACGTGGGCTGTGTATACGGTATTCTGAGGACTTCGCTGAGCGAGCTATGTCGTACCAATGCAGTACATGCTGATGGTGTAACACTAGGCAAAGAGTACTCTTGGCAGGTGCCTGAAGTGGGACCCGGACCCTGCTTACACTGGGCATGGTTCGTTATTATGTTAATGTTTAAATTTATAAATTCCGCACGAATTAATGCGGGGGGGTCCGTCAAAGTCAGGGGCCATGGGCCATGTACGATATATATAATATTGAAACTCTACATCGACGGCCATATTTTTCTCGCCAAAGGAAAGAATTTGTGCTTTTTTATCTGGAGCAGATGTGAATCAGTGCTGCTGGTCTGAAGTGGTTTTGCTGACCACGAAAGCAAAGGGCGATGCCTCGTCCTTTGCAAAAGCCCCTAGCTAGGGGCTTTTGCTTGCTGACGTCGGAACAGGCGAGCTTAGGCGTACCCCGAAGGACGTGGGGCCTGACCCGCTTCAATTAAATTTCTTGGCAAAAATAGCGAAAGAAAAAATAAACACAGAATCGCTTTCACCACAGCTTGAACTGCCTAGCCAGTCCTTGCCTTGGAAACCACTACCGTAGTGACAGGAAATGTTCGTCTTTTTATTGTTCGAGACACCCTCAAAATTACACCCGAAGATATTGGCGAAACTTTTGAATTCGTAAGAAGCCAACGCAACCGAAGCAACGGTGCCTGCAATGTTCGTAAATGGGTCCGACTCAGAACGCCGATTGACGCAAAAGCTGGCCAATGCATGCACGGTTATTCTGCTCACCAGCAAACACCAGATTCCAGTGACAAGGCACGCGAACCACGTGAAAAGCATGCAGGTATTGTCTCTTCCGCAGCCTTCCCCCCGGAGTACAACCCCCCCTGGCAAATCTCGTATAACTTGTCATTTACTACCGGAAGCAAACGATCTTTGACGCATAGAATCCAACGGAATAAAGCGGCAAAACCAGCTCTATCCGTAGCTGGGGCGCCGCGAGCAAGTGTGAAGAGTCCGCATTGAAAGAAGCTTTGTTGCTTAGGCCGCTTGGCCCTCGGATCCATGTCCGTTCAATTACTATGGATGTATATATGGCCAGAAAAGTGGAATTCGAAGAATAATTACTGTGTTAAAGGCATTGTACGATTTGGCTTTGGAGCACACATATATTCGTAACGACCATCGCCTGGAACAGCTTGTAATTTATATGTGACATAATTTCGTATTGCCGTTACGAAATTAAAAAGACGAACATTTCCTGTCACTACGGTACCGCTGCAATCGCAAGTGCCGTAACAATCAAAATTCTGCCACACCGCCCGCCCATCCTAAGGCTTCATTGACGACATCAACGGCTTCGACTTTGCCGGCGATTGTGAGAACTACAACTCCACCGAAGCTAATTGTGGCAAACGGCCCTCACCAATGGATAGCGTGGGCCACGGCACCCACTGCAGCGGCATCATTGCGGCCGTCCAGAACAGAGTTGGCATCATCGGTGTAGCACCCAACGTCAAAATCATGTGTCTGAAGGTGCGTGTATCAGCACTACGACTTCCTGCGGCTTATATTTACTCTGTTAGGGCTTCAGATGGATCCAATACCGTCCCGGGCTTGCCGGAATCTGTCACCGGTCTGAATGGATATAAAAATATTGCACGGATCTATCTCTTATATATGGATCTTATTTTGTACATATTTATGTATATGTAGATACCGCCGGTATCAAATTGCCCCTAGAACAGGCTCTATCTATCGATAACCTGCCGCTCTCTCTATATATATATAGTCAAACAGCTGTAGCAGGTGATATGGTGAAACGATCCGCTGTTCTTTATTAGGAAGAAACTATAACTTCCTGCTGAGCGGGGACGCACAAAAATCATTGTGAATTTTGCGCTTGTGTAATAGTTATTTACTAACACCTATACCCACAATCTGCGTCTCTGCGCGTGTATGTTGGTTAAAGAAAAAAGTGTGGTAGGAAGAACTAGCGAGGGATGCATACCGTACACATCATTTTTGGAGTGCCAAGTAACTAACTAACTAACAGTCAAGACGTACAGCTCAGGCACTGCCCTGCTTCTTATGTCTGGCCTGCTGCCTGTGGCCTCTCACCCCCTCCGAAGGTCACACCCAATACCGGTCAATTTTATACCAGCTATAACCTGGAAGCCATCGACTACGCCATCAAGAACGGTGCCCACATCATTAGCTGCAGCTTCGGACCTAAGAAGCCCATACCTAAACCCGACGACTTGAAACTCCAGGAGCTGGTAAACGAGACGGGGTTGTACAACTTATCCATGAACGCGATTGTGAACAAGAGCATGCTGCTGGTAGCTGCGGCGGGTGGGTCTGTTAATACTTTGCCTGCGTGGCTAACTAACTAACTAACCAACCGTGAACGAGCCAAGAGGATGGTGGCTTGCCGTATGAAGCCATGTTTGCGCACATAGCCGATAGTCACTGTCCGATGGTCACGTTGCGCCTAAGTTCCCTTTCGTGGTGTTTCTCCCATGTCATCGCAACAGCTAGCTGTAGCTGTGCACGTATTCTGATACTCTACTCTACTACTACTACTCTACTATACTACTACTATACTACTACTATACTACTACTATACTACTACTATACTACTTCTATACTATACTACTACTACTATACTACTACTACTATACTACTACTACTACTATTACTGCTACTACTACTCTTTGCTACAGGACCATTTCCCCCCCTCGCAACCCCCGTATTAAGTTGACTAGCAATGAACAAGTTCGAACGAGTTTTGTTGTCGCAGGCATACACACACACACACACACACGCGTCTGTTGCCCCTCCCATCAGTGTTGACAGTAGTCTTCCGAAACCGTCCACCCACTGGCACGTGGGTGGATGTTAAACCAGCCAGACCTTAGGCACCTCTCAGGTGCCATCAGAAGCACATCTCGGGTTGTGCAGTTAACCGGGGCCGTGGCACAGGACCATCATCCGGTCGGGGACGGAACCCCGTGGAACCCTACTGAAAAAGCTCGGGGTTATAAAACCCTAAACCCTAAGCTGCACTCTCGAAGCCGTTTTGTATGTGCTCCCACCCCGATTCGAACTTGTCCTTACATTAAGCCAGGCGCAGAGCTACCGTACACCGCCGTTGCAATGGTTGGAGTCTTAGTGCGGCTGGAGAGTATTCGTCTGGCAACACGGGCGCTTGGGCTTGGCTTTGTGCTTGAGCTAGTCCTTTTTTGATGTATATGTCACAGCTGCGAGTGGCATCACAACGGTTGGTAGTTCTTGTTATTCGCCTTTTGATGCCCAGTAAATCCAAAGCAGTTAATTCCGTTACGTCCCTCTAAATTATCAACAAAGTTAGTTACGGTGCATTTCACGGCGTGGGGTCGGGGGGTGGGATTGGGACGGCCAAGGTGAATGTATGTATGTATGTCTCTGTACCCAGACACAATTTTCCTTCAACATTATTATCCCAACTACCTGATCGCTTATTGCTGCGCCTGCTGCCGCTGCCGCTGCTGCTGCTGCTGCTGCTGCTGCTGCTGCAGGCAATGAGGCGACGGATTTAGATAAAATTGGCTTCTACAACCCCTGCACCCTTGCCAGGACCTATCCCAATAACGTCCTGTGCGTCATGGCCACTGACGATGCGGTGAGCGACTGATGGGCGGTTTAATCCGTTGGTGACTATTCCGTACGCGGTAGGCTGTTAAGACCTGGCTTGCTCGTACCCTGCACCATTGTCCACAACACCCGACGGAACCCCAACAGATGCATCATGGCGAAGACCTTTAGAGGCATGCCCCGACAAGACGCCTGGCCGCCTGCCTTAGTAGTCGCATGTAGACATAACACACATGTACATAATTGTCTATGTATGTATGTATGTATGTATGTATGTATGTATGTATGTATGTATGTATGTATGTATGTATGTATGTATGTATGTATGTATGTATGTATGTATGTATGTATGTATGTATGTATGTATGTATGTATACCGGCATGCCTATCTACCTGCGTGCCTACCCGCCTAACCGCTCAAATACCTGTCTGCTTACCTTCCCGCCTACTCGCTCATCACGTACCTGCCTGTCTGCCTGCCTGCTCGGCTCGCCACACGTCTACTGCTGCCTGCCTGCCTGCCCACGTCTTGTGCTTACCTAGCCGGTTTGAAATCTACCTGCCAACCAACCAACCAGCCAACCAATCAACCAACGTGGCTAGCTGCTTGCCCATCCTACCCGCTGGCTGCCTATTTGTTGCAGGACAAACGCGTGGAGGGTGAGCTTCCCAGCTCTGGCAGCAACTACGGGTCCAAAACGGTTTCCATAGCCGCACCCGGCCTACAGATATTGAGTACGATCCCTTCGATATTCAAGTACAATTACAACAGATACACCAATATGTCAGGAACATCCATGGCCACACCTATGGTCGCGGGCGTGGCGGCACTTATAACATCCATCCTGGGGAAGAGAGATAACAACATGTACAAGGTACGCAAATACGGCCGATGTACCGAGCTTGTAAGAAGGGATCAGCTCTCCTGGCATCTCCCTGAGTACTCTTTGCCTGGTGTTACATTGGTGCGGACTGCTAGGAGGTGGGAACTCCCCGGATCGAACCCGGTTGCGAACATATCGCACACCAGGCATGATGCAGCATACTCTTACCCCAAAGATGGATGCCCGGGCGGGCGAGAAGTCTACCAGCTGAGTATAATCAAAGTCCTCCATCTCGGACGGGGACTGACGAAATGTCACAATACCAACAAAACTCACAATCCTACGGGATCTCAAACAACCTAAAGTCCTACGGGATATGCCCGGGGCCGCCCGAGGACGTTCGCTCGAGGGGGGAGGAATGTAAGAAGGGATCAGCTCCCCTGGCATCTCCCTGAGTACTCTTTGCCTGGTGTGACAGAACTGGTGTGCATGTGCACCATTTGTATGCGGTGGACTTAATGTAATTGGGGAACGAGGTAGGAGTAGGCTTATCGAGCTAAGGATACAGCATATGCAATGAAACATGCTGCCGGTGATACGGTAGTGTACGTAAGCTGTACGTGCGGAAGGAAAGATAATTCCGGTGCCTCGTCGCATGCGAAGACGGCTAGCGATGTAATGTAATAAGGGTCGTTGGTGGCCACCAGAAATACGTACACGCCTAGGTATTCACCCAGGTGTGCCCTGCATGCGTTGCTGCTAACCTTGCAGAACGATCCCGGGACACTTGGCGGAACATGTCCCGTCTGACCTCAGCTGGAATGTGCACACCCTGGGGGCAGTGTACATTACCGTGGCACATAGCCGCCACCCGCAGCAGACACTGCTACATATACATAAATGAGCTTTCCATCTTTACCTGATATGGTTTCGAATCGACAACCTGTTAACATATACAGCATCGTGCTATAATCCCCTCAACAGTTTTTTTTTCATTTTTGCCCGTCAATTTTCCAGTCCGAACGGAGGAATAGGTTTTTAGTCGCTGGAATAAAGTATTCCGAATCTGTACAGACACAGGGTTTGGGGAATGTCGCAACTCGCGCACACCACAATCTCTCCATAGAGGTGTCTCTTACACGCCAGGAAGCGGCGCGCACTTGGACGCTTTGACAGGAACCCCGGTTGCATGGGTGACTGCTGTTGCAAAGCCCAAGCAAACACAGACCAGTTAACCCCTACTCAAGCACTGATCAAATAGAGTTCGTCCACCGTCGTTCGTTTTGCATCACGTTGGAAGATAACGCTATACGACTTTCCAGATTGCAAAAGTCATGATGCATAGCAGCAATTAACCAGAACCGCCAAACACAACCTCTGCGGTTGGTTGCAGCCCCTGCTGTTGATGCTGCACGCTAGTTAGCGGTTCATTGTGTACCGGCCCCTGCTGCTGGCGGCCTTCCACTTCTCCAGTGCCGCCTCAAAGGGGAACGTGTGCTGGTCGTAAAGGTCTTGCGTGAACATGCGCACGCGCAGTGCCAGGTGCTCGTCCAGCTGTCCGGTTGCGGGCTGGGTCCTGCAAGTATGCCATTGCTGAGAACCGCCGCTCGTCCTCCACCGACCATGGAGGCACCGTCACGAACACCATCTTAGCCAAAGCTGAAAACTCCGTCAAGGAGCCTGCAAGACCCGGCGCGTTGCTGATCCGCTGCCATAGTCGTGAGGTCGGTATGTCGTCCCGTGAGGGGCCCTCAAGTATACTTTCATTTCGCATCACGTTCCGGACATTGTTGAGGTTGCAATCTTTACAAGTTGAGTGCATGTGGTGATGATGTACCTGACGCATAAAGAGACCGGCGTCCCAGCTGATAAGATCGTGTGTGGTGATTGCGCCTCTGGCTTGCTGGCCTGCTGCAGGGTCCCCAGGCCCGGCAGATTCTGGTGGGCTCGAGCGACAGAATCGATCTTCAAAATGACCAGACGGCGGATAGTTACCGCAGGATCAACGCCGATGCAGCAGTGCAATCCGCTATGCGGCGGCTCGATGGCATAATCTGTGAGTGCGTGTTCAACTTATCAAGGTGAAACACACACGCGCGCGCACACACACACACACACACACATTCTGCTCAGTTCGCGCGTGCTGGGCCCCTACCTTAATACACGAACATATTGTACAATTGTCACCTTCTACCGCCTACACGATGGGTCCCCACACTGGGAGCACGACCAACACTGACCCGCAATGGGCTTGTTTTTAAAAGCCGTTTCACCACCCCCAAGTTGCCACTTCGGCGACAATGGCTGTCGACTCCCTTAAGAAAGTGGTATCGTAGCCGTTACGACGCCTGTTCCAATGCGTGTGTTGCACCCCACATCCTAATGACAAACGCCAGGGATGAAAAAGGCGGTCTTTTCGTTGCCGGACCAAGTCGCGATGATGGAAGGCTTCCTTATGATCTACTACAACAGCACTAACAACACCCCGGAAATTGTAGCTGAGGCTACCCAGGTGAGTTCGTGGGGGGAGAGTGAGGGGCAGAGTGAGGGGGAGAGTGAGGGGCAGAGTGAGGGGCAGAGTGAGGGGGAGAGTGAGGGGTGGAGGAAGAGATGATAGGGGAGAGAGAGAGAGAGAGAGAGAGAGAGAGAGAGAGAGAGAGAGAAAGCCCGATTGGGGTCTTAGGGGCTGGTCCAACCGGCGATGCTCAACAAGGCGGATGGCGAGCCAGAATCTCATCGTGCGATCCTGTGGTTTGTTTTATCCGCAAATGTTCCTCCAACATCAGGCCTTGCTTCTTTGCACCCAACCTTACCTCTTCCCGTACCCCTCCGCACTCTGCTCCTCTACCGGTACTCAAACTAATTTCCATTTCATAGTTCTGATTTCCTATGCCGCAATTCCTTGCTCCCATCACTTCTCAGGCAAGTGATGTGGCGCAGTTCTCGAACTACATCACCAATCTTGGGACATTGAAAATCAGTGCATATATGTACCTGTCGAAGACAGGACTGTACCGTCTTTCTGTAAGTTAGGGTCTCTCTACCTTCGGGGGTGGCGGAGCGAGGAGGACGTGAACGGGTGGAAAGGAATACGGCCTGCTATGGCGATAGCTGCGTCGATACACCTGCGCCTACGGCCGCCGTGGCCGTCGTGGCAGCAGCTTGCATGTGCACTCTGGACAGCAACGCACCTGCACAGCTATCCGCCACGCCTCACCCTTCCTCGCCCCTTACAAGGGACCTCGTTTTTGCTTGCGCGCCAGGTCAACACCAGCGCGAGCCCATCGGATTTGGCGGTGTTCGTCGGTGATCAGCAGCTCAGTGACTGCAGCCAAACGTATCTGCTGTATTCCACGGGAGGTGAGAACGGTGCTAGTCGTACTAGTCGTCCGCTGACGTGATGATGATGATGGTGATGATGATGATGGTGATGATGATGATGATGATGGTGATGATGATGATGATGATGGTGGTGGTGATGATGATGATGATGATGGTGATGCGACAGAGTAGTAAGAATTCATAAGTGTAGAGGGCGGGCAGGTTTAGTAAGGTTGATGTTTGCAGCAGTATGGATTGAGCAAAGCTATATGCACTCACGAACGAGTCATGTTGAAGGCACTGGGTGCTCGTCGAGTTGCTGCTGCACCCCACCCTCCCGTCGTGCACCCCTCTTGGCCTCGTCGGACCTGTTGCTAGCTGTTCAACTTATCCTTATCAGCTGCTTCCTACTGTGCTTCGCCGTCCTGTTGTGGTCTGGAAGGATCTTTCGCGCTGGTGTTGATGTTGATGATGATGTTGATGATGTTGATGATGATCTGCGCTGTTTGCTGCTTGCTGATTTGATTTGCTGCGCCGCGTGCTGGTCCTGCATGAATATAAAATATGCATTCCGACGTTCAGACTGGTATAACCTGAATATTACCTACATCAACCCGAAGGAGCCGATTAACATCTACATGTCGGAGCCAGACAGCTCAGATCTGCCGGTCAAGAACTTGGGCGGCACCTTCTTTATCGCCACGTCCACACCGCCCCGCGATTTCTACTATGCACCCAACATCTCATTGTCATCAGCGTGGCAGGTTCGTGGCCTGCACATACTTGGGTCCTGTGAATTCCTGTGTGCGATAATATCGGCGCAGGCGCTGGCTTGCTGCGGTCGCTAGCAGTGGCATTGTTTTTTTCCTGTTCATGTTTTTTTTCCTGGCATGGGTTAAAAGCCACTACTTTTACCAAAACTCCCCCTGCCAGGCAAGAGCGAGCTGCTGTTTGACTGAGCTCTGCTCTTAGCTCCGTATCGCCTACCTGGAGCTGCCAGGCAGGCTGGCTTAATTGCTTCCTACCACATACAAGTACTGGAAACCTTCTAGGCACCTGTTCTCGACCTCCCTCCGTTATCGTTCATCACTGTCCCCAGTCGTACATCCCCCAGTCGTACCTCACCATTACGTCATCGTTTCAATATCCGCAGCCCAGGGCCCCCGCCCGGGCTTGGACGGACACCCCCCCCGCAGTCGTGCGGTACTTGTAACTTGTACTCGTACTACTCCTTCGCCTTCATGAGGACTTCTCCTACTTGGCTACTTACCTTCTGTTATCACCACTCACCACCTGCCTAACCATTCCCAAATTGTCCCCAGGTTCTCGCTCGGGACCCTGGCGTACCGCTCGCCCTGTCCAGCATCCTTAGCTCCAAACTACAACTGGACCAGCCGTACAGCTTCAGCGCTGTCCTGCCCGACCTGACCAATTTCAACTCAGCCTCGTCGACAACGGCCAACGTCAATCAGCTTCAAGCTGCGCTAGGTCTCTCCGCCGGCTCGGGTCGGCTTGTGGGTATCGCTCACACACGTCTCAGGGCGCCGGAGTTGGGCACGTCCGGGGTCTGCAACCAATCCATACCATGTACCATGCGTTTCCAGGTTGGTTAGGTGTGGGAGGGAAAGGTAGGTTAGACCAAGTAGGGTTAAGGGCTTAAGGGAGGTAGGGCGGCTGTCAGCTTAGCTTCCTCGTAGGACCCCCGTAGGACCCCCGGTATTTACTAAAGGCCATGTGGGGTGGCTGTGTTGACCCTGGGGGCTAGTTGAAAGGTTTCTCTCTCTAGCCAGAAATACCTTTAGCGGTAGCCAAGAAGCCGACACCCTTATAGTACTCCTGACGGATGAGACATGGATCACGGAAAACCATCCAAATCTGCCGCGTGGGACACGAACGAACTACTCTGTTTGGCGTGAGCGGTTGGGCGGTGGCCCACAGTGCCCTACGGCGCACGTACAACCAAACTTGAGGAATGATGCATGTGTGTTTTTAGCCGATGAAATGAACATGCCGGGGCCGGTCCATGCCGCATGTCTATCCTGGCACATGCGCCTCCCGCAACACTTCTCGCGCACCCCGAGCTGCACGTATTGCACAGCCAGCAGCGCATCAGCGCTCTCCTATGGCTCCTGCTAGTGTGTGCTCGGGGCCTACAACAACACATCGTTTTTGCGTACAGTACGAAGTCTGTGTGTATTTATGTGTGTGTGTGTGTGTTATGCAGGTCTCATGCGAGCTGTGTGGCCTGTATGTCAACGGGCTTCAAGTTGTGAGCGGCTACGACTCCAGGAACTTGCTCCAGCCGGTGACCCGCGTCTCCCGATGCGTCGCGCTGGGGCGCGGCCAATCAAATCAGACAGTCCTCCATGACTTGGTGCTGCGCTTTGCCATCGGGAACACAAGCGCCGGGACGACGCTGTCTGTTGGCTGGCTTCCATGCAACCAGAACGAGCCAGCCCCACGATCTCTAAAGCCGTACATTATGAATAACCTGTTCTGGCAACCGTCTAGCGGTGTCGCAGGTGAGTGACGTCGGACTGCAGCACCGTTTCGGCCGGGGGGATGGGGGAGGTTGGGGAAGGGGGGTTATTATCATTAGGGCGCCTAGGTGGTGGGGGAGGGGAGCTTAGGTGCGTGGGACAAAATCAATTGGTTACAGTTGCTTGGGGTTACTCGAGCAGGTGTCACCATTGCTTTCCTTTCCGCCGTGAATTGATCTGAATAGCCGGGAAAGGTAGCTTATTTAGGCGGGGCTGCCGTGTGGTAGGTACATAGGGCCTAGGCAGTACGACCATCGCATCAGCATCAGCATGTCCATGCAACGCACATCACACCGCACCAGCCTGGAACGACATACATACAGAGATGGGCGCCTCGCAGGGGGTTTGTGTGATGTTGCGGCGGCCTGATGACCTGGCTGTCTCCCCCATAATCAACACCTGCGTTTTTTTGGCTTTTGCTGCTCTTGTCCTGGAGTGAGGGGTTTGTTCCTGTTCGCGATGTTTAGCACCTGATGCAATCGCAGCTTTCTCACCCAGGTCAAAATTGTTTGCCGAGGCAGACGGGTAGCATTATTGCCCTCTTTGGCCCGAACATCACCATCATCGTCACCGTCACGGTCACCATCACCATCACCATCATCACCACCACCACCACCACAATCACCGCCACCACCACAATCACCATCACCATCACCATCACTATCCTTCATGGCAGGTTACGTGTCGGGTATGCAATGCGACGTGTGGCGCGACAGTAACGGCGGAGGGTCGAAGCCCTGGCTTCCTCTCATCAAGTTCCGGCTGCCGACGGCGCTCGCACATCTGAACCAGGTGCGTGTGTAGGTGTCCATGTGGGTTGCATGCCCCACTGCCCCACTGCCCACACCAGGTCACTCACAGCCACGTGAAGATCTTTTCCTGCACTGCCAGTGCGCTGCTGCAGTGCTGCCGCGCGCCGACAACCAGGCCAACCGGCAAGCCAGGAGTGCCTGTATGAAGCACCTAAGCTGCAGTATTGCCGCCTCGCTTGCGCATCACCGGACACTACTTACTTGATTCCACTATTTGATTTCACTACTTGTTTCCACTTCTGCCAATGTCTCTGATTTCCAACGCCCATGCACACTAGATCTCGCTCGCTCAGAAGTGGAATGCATGCAAGCCACACGTTCATTCACATGCAGAGGCACACATGCGCATACAGACGAACACGCACTTATGCGGGAAGGCGTGTGAGCTGTGCGGCGCGCTTCTAATAGAGATCCAGACGCCTCCCTTCGGCGACACTCTTCCCGGGACCTTGCGTCCTAGGGGCTCCTGCCCTACGGGCGGACGTCACATGCGCGCTTTCCGCACGTGGATACAACCCAAATGACTCCCCCCGCTGCTGCTCTTCCCCCCCCCCAGGGTGACGATAACCAGCTCACAAACCCCTCGTCGGAAGAACCGGTGTACAGCGCATTTAAAAACAGCGGGTGCTCGGCCAATGAGTCCATGTCGAAAAGCACCTGCGCCGCATCTGCGGGCTTCCAGCTGCATGTGAGTGGGGAAGGCATGGGAGCAGAAGTGGTGCTGGGCGGTGCTGGGGTGATAATGAGCTGACGATGGGGGTCGGTGGTGTCTCAATCTTTCTCTCAATCTCACCTCACCTTAGCTTCTCGCCTCGTGTGCCTCTCCCCCGTGCCTGCACCGTAATGTGCTACAGACAATACTGAACAAGGGGGAAGTACTTAACGGCAAGTATGTCGACGCGTCCGCCACGTTACGGTGCTGGACTTTTGTGAACGCCGGATTCAGGTGGTGTACAGCAGCAGCGCGTGCAGTGCCGTTGAAATGTTTCGATGTGTGCGAACACGTGGACAGGAAGCGTGTGTGTGTATTTATGTATACATGCGAGTGCATTTTCAATTATATTGAGTGATGGAATAATTGAATAATATGGTCCGCAAAAATCCAGGTAGGGAAACCGATTGCGATGGTGAAGCGAGGACGGCAGAGGCCGCAGACGACCCGAATGCGCATGCCCAGGGCGAACGAAGAGCGTCAACCGCGACGACGAAATGCCCCGAACAGTAAAGGTCTTCCTGTTAGTGGTTCGTCGCCGCGGGGGATGGTCGTCAGAAACAGCCACATGGCGACGTGCGGCGTGGAGTCGTTTTGGCTTTGCTAACGCTCGAGGTCTTGCGAGCGTTACAGCTTCGCTCGTTGCCCGTCCCCAACGTCTGCGCATTGGACTGCTACCCACCCACAGGAACGGATTGGTACAGAGCCTGAAGTCTATGGGAGTTAGGATTTACTTGGGGGCCCAAAAGGTACGACGGCTGAAATGATGTAGGGCTCCGCGTTTACTGTCTTCATTTCTGTGCATGAAATGGCATATTTATTTGTGTAAACCAGGTGTTTTGTGTTTTGTATTTGATATTATAATATGCTGGTTTGCGATCCCTCTGTCTGGCCTGCCTGACGCCTTACTGCGCGCCTCGCTACTAACGCCGTCTCCTTTCCCTTCAGGTGTTGGAGCGTGGCGGCAATCCCACACCTCCGATGGCGCCCACCACCACCACACTGGGTGACTACTATCAACTTTTGGCAATCGAATTCCCTAGCATCCTGTACGGCGCCGTTTGGGCGGTGGTTAACGGCACTGGAAAGGACGACCTAGTCCGTATCGACATGTCTCGCACACTCTTGCCCATTCCGCTATTGGGCGGCAGCGCCGCCGCTATTTCCAATGCCGCCAGTAGCGGCCGACACCTTCTCCACCATCGGCGAGGGCTGCTCGTCACCCCTTTACTCGACTCCGCCGCAATCAACCTGGCGCACCAGCAACACGACCCAGCATACGAGGCAGACGACAACACGATAAACGAGGTGGATGGCCATCATCAACTCAACCACAACCCTAGCATCACGCGCCGTGCTCTGCAACAGCAGCTCAATTCCAATCAAGGCTTATACGCACCCACATACTTGGGCGCCAGTTCCTACTCGAACAATTGGTCCCTGCCGAATACCTCTGGTCTTTGCGGTATCACCTTCTCTCCTGATGGAGCCTTCAACGATGCAACCTATTATTTGAGCACAACGTTTTATAACGTCTCTGTAAAGCCCGGGGAACTCACTGCCCCGAGGTGTGATAACCAGAGTGCGGGGCTGTCAGACCCGGTTTGCCCGAGGGTCAACCCTCAAGCGCGTGTCGCCTGGTTTTCGGGCTTCATGAAGGTGCCCATCACTGCAGCAACCTCCTGCAATAGTTCGATGTCAGGCGTCGTCATGTGCAAGTGGTTCCTACGGGTCGTGGATGATGTCAACATGACCTCGGCCATCAACATCGGTGATGTGACGATCCGCAACGGGGTCGAGTACACTCCGAGCGTAACTTCCAGCGAGACGGTCATATGGCTGCCGTACAACAATACCAGCGGTGCCGTACAGGCGGACTTATACCTGCCGGCAGTGGTGACGGCACGCAGCAAGGGCGTGGGCGGGTTTTATTTGGCATTCAATGTTTCGCTGGTGACTCCAGGTTTTAGGGTGTTTCGGGTGAACAGCTCCTTTTGGTTTTGCAACAAGGATGGCTGGCCTGTACTGCGTTGAGTTGCACTTGTTCGAGGTGGTTGTCCCGCGGTTGGGTTTGGTTCCCAGATGCCAACTCAAGAGTGTAGCCCATGGAAAAGGTGTTGATGTAGTCCCCGTGAGTGGTTACATTCCGTTCGTTAAGCGGAAAAGACCTGGTTGGGAGCGCCTGGCCTTCAAGGCTGTGGTCTGCTCACGCGCTGTCACGTGAAGCGTCTAAGTCAGCAGGTATCTTCAGAGCATCGAGGATAATACACGGCTGTTTTTGCAGTTGGTGCAACATAAGTGCGGGCGAGGAATACGGGTTGGGGGAGAGGAGGTTGGGAAATGTACTGCGCATGGCCGTCAGCGGCGTCAAGTATGGAAGCAGGCTTCAGGCAGGTGGCGGAGACAACCTGATAACGTTGCCGTCATCACCGCCATGGCACCTGTGGCGATGGCTGAAGCGGGGCTGTATAAATCTGCTGGGTGTGTATGTGAAGTTGCGACACGTGCACGATTTGCCGGCTATACCTTAGGGGTTTAGGGTTTTAGTGCATTTTATAGTATCAAGTACTATGCTCATTGTAGCATAGGTTTCGTTTACGTGATGAGCTATCCCGGGCGACACGATCTTGTGTGATATCGGATGAGAGACTCTCGGCTGGGGTTTGGAAGCTGTCCATGGTTACACTCGAGTCCTGAGAGCGTTAGAAGGCACCCCAGACAGACAGACGGCCTCATTCCCATCATCGCAGGAGGATGAGCAGCTCACGCGGTCGCCTACTTTTCTCCATACGTTACAGATCCATCCAGACATAGACATGTGGGCATCGGAATGCTATGTACATCCTGCAGGGTAGGCGCATCGACGTCGTTTCGTATGCAACAGCGGCCCTAGGCCGATATGTTTTTTTTTGGGTGGGTGGGTGTGTGCAAATCTGCTTGGGAGCGTTTCCCAAGGAAAGCGGCACAAGTGCTGGAGGATTGCGCGCGCACATGCGTGTTGCCTGTTTGTCTGTTTGTTTGCGTCGCTCAGATTGAGCAGTATAACGGGCTCGAGGACTTCCGACCTAAAGAGGATTATGTTGGGCGCTGTGGGGGTGCTTTCGGGGAAAGCTGAGTGGTGTGGTGCGGTTACACAGCCATGTTATACGCTATGGCGGTTTACAGTGGTTTGGCTGCTCGCTTGCCAGTCCTGGAAGGTGCAGGGCCGGAAGCTCCGGAAGAAGCTCGAACCGCCTCCACGCTGCTTACGCATGTGCACGCACATGACGCATACACTCTGAAGTCGGATGTGGTGAATGAATTAGGGTGCCCCTCTAGCAGGGGAGAGCAGGGAACTGCCTCGGGAAAGGGGGCCGCTGGTGAAGCTATACCACCATGTAACAACATACATGACGTTTCAATATCAGCTGAAGCAGCACCCCCCCCATCCCTACCCCCACCAGAAAGCTGCAGAGCCAACATCAACTTCAAAGGCATTCTTCTTTGCAAAATATTGTACAAGGTAGTTTGGTATATGCAGGCATAGACGTCTAGTGCCTTTTGCAATCTGTGCTCGTCGAGTTGGTTCATGTTCATGAACTTCTGAGTTTTATTATACAGCATGTGCATACGCATGCTTGCTATTATCCCAGTCCCGCCTGTATTTGATGGTTGGAATCAGGTGGGCTCAGGCCCATCATGTTGCCAGCCGCGTATGTAGCAGGTGGGCTGCGGGTCCTGTCCTGGTTCTGTTCAATCATAAAGAGGTTAGAAGAGGGGCCAGGGAAGGTTCCGCAGGCCCTTCCGTTACGCGTATTTAATGTGGCACGCTATTGTAAAGCACTCTTTGGCACGTTAAGGAGGCCTTGACCATGGGGATGTGTCCGGACTTTTAAACTGTACCAGCTTCCAGGCAATGCCCAAGCATTCCAATTAACGTGTTCATTATTATTACAGCAATCTGGTTTGACGTCTGATTTCACCATGATGAATACAATCACACTCAGCACTCAGCCGGTGGGATCCCCCTAACCGGGTTTTCGCAACTCGTCGTACGTGTGCAGCTAGCGGTTCAAATCATGCCGCCGCGGGGAACACAGATAGGCCACCACAACACCCAGAGGAAAGCCGACTCGGGAATTGTTAGACCGGTCCCATGCCTGTCCTTTTTCCGAACACGGTCTGCCTTGCTTTGCAGCAAACTGCATTTGTTGTCAGAAGCACCTTTTTTGTTACGCTGGTAAACAAAGGTGCCACAGGAAGCAGGCGGGGCCCCTGTCTGCTGTGGGTTAGGTCGCCGTCTCGGCAGGCCGCCTCATGGTCAGGACACGCACAGGACGCACAGCAGGTGCGCCACAAGCCGCACCGCCACAAACCCTCACATGCGCTAGAGGACAGAAGACAGATCATTAAGATCCACGACGGCCCAGCCAAGGGCGGGCCCACAATGCTCCATACTTCCCCAAGACCCATACTTCAAAAGCCCAACCCAGCCCAGCCCAGCCCAGCCCAGCCCAAGCAGCACATGAGCATTCGCAGCCGAGAGGTCATACCCGGCCCTAGTCCGCACACATGCGTCTACCCTTATATATCGCCGTCACTACTGCTACTACTACTACTACTACTACTGCTTTTAGCCTTCACGTCCCGCGAAACATCTCCACACAACCATCACAAAGTCTTTGCTGACAGACAGACAGACAAACAAGTCCTTTCTGACGCAGGAAAAGAAACGCACATACATACATGAACATACGCACACGGGCTTTCCCCCCAATGCCCTGCAGCCCCCATGCATCCGCATTGGTTCACGTCGGCATTGCTCCAAAAATCTACAAAGTCTGCCTGTCTACCGCATCCTAAGCTACTGCCTGAGCGCATGCTAAGCTATAGGTTGGACGCTTTGCATGCTCACCGGCCGGGATTGCTTGTACCGAGGGTGCTTACCGAGGGTGAAAGTTAACCCCATAACAGGCAAGTTCTCATACGCACGCCATGTCCACAAGGCTCCTCCCAAGCACCTGTCAAGGCTACACCGCAGAGCCCATCGGTGCCCGGATACCTCCCACCCTTCCCCCCATCCCCACCACAAACACTACATGTAACCTTTTACGGCGGAGAACTCCCTGTGCGCTATCATGTGTACAGCCCCCTCACCCGCCCGGATAGGACAGCCTCGGCAGGGCACATTTCTATGTCTTTCTGTGCAGTTTTTTGTCACCAAACTCCCACCCGCGGTAAAAACGTAAAGAACCGCCGTCATATCAAGACCAACATCTTATCATCCACTTCACTATCCTACGCCGCTCACAACCCCGCACGCCGGCCTTCGCACCCCCAACCCCCAACCAGCCACACAAACCTTTCCCCAGTCCCAGGCCCACAGCCACCGCGTCCCGCTTTCCGGCCCTCTCACTCAACCGCACCCAGCCGCCTATTAATCCGAAAGCTGTGTGAGCAAGGCCACGCCGCGCATGATCCAGTGGCTTGCAGGCATATCGGTGGGCAGCTTGACAAACATGACAAAGTTTGTGGAGTGGCCCGTCGTGGCTAGCACGCCGCGCCGGTCTGCAGTGCGATACAACGGGCAGTCATAGTGCAGGTAGTCGTGGCGCTGATCCGCTGGACGAGGTCGTAGCCACATCACCGGCGCCGGCACAAACAGCACCTTGGGCTGGCTCTCACACAGACGCTGGACTTGCGGGCTCCAGCCACAACCTTCTAGGAACATGCCGTGCACGTAAACGCCCTCCGAAGGTGGTTGCCGGTAGGCCGCAGGATCCATGCCCAGCGTCTCAAAGCCAAAGCCGACAGTGTCGATAGGCACGCGGCGTTTGCGTGCGTAATTCTGGAGCGAGGCTGTGAGGAAGGACTGCACGAAGAAGAAGCCCGGCAGCCAGAAACTCGAGGGCGGGCCCTTGGACGCCCAGGAGGTGAACATGTCCAGCCGCGCGTACAGGTCATCCAAGTAGGAGCCCAGCGGCTTGAGGGAGGGATAGGAACGCCTCTTCCACAACTCCGGTACCTGAGACAAGTGGCGGCAGAGGGGAAGTTGAAGGTGCAGAAGGCGACGGTGAGCTCAGTGGGGCCCGGTGATATGGTGGGCTGGGCTGCATATGGTAGGAAGCTTGGTGCGCCAAGTCGGCCATGCCTGCCGCCAGGACGCAAAAGGTCATAGGACGGCCGTCTGGAAGTGTCTTGTGTCACTCAGCCTGAGTCCCTGCCCGCCCCTCTAAACCTACACAGTAGCCCCCTTACACAGTGCCTCCCATCTCTTCTTCTTCAGCCACACGCACCCCCAGTCGAAACGACAGCCGCGGCCGGCCGCGGCTTTGCAGCCCGCACCTGGTTGATAGCAATCGAGCTGAACGCCGCCTCCAATTCCGCGGACATGACCAACAAGCCCTGAATCGCCAACCGGATGTTGACCAGAGACTCATGCAGCACCGCCAACAATTTGTTGAAACGGCTGCACTCCTGCACCAATACCGTGTTCATGCTCTCCTCATACTTGACCGGCCAGCGCCGCTGAATAGACTCCACGTCAAACTGCGGCGGAAGCCGTGCCAGGCACTCCGCCACCACCGCCGCCACGCGATCCTCCGCCGAGCCGCTTCCACCGCCGCCACCGCCGGCGGCAGCGCCAGTCATGGCCAGCAGCGACGCGAACATGGCGGCGGTGTCGTTCTGGTCCTTGGCGATGTCCGCATTTTCATGGAGACCGAAAGCCTCCGGTAGTGGGATGATAGGCAGTGTGTCAATGTAGGCCAGGTAGGAGGCGCGGTCGCCTTCCGGCGGCGCGTAGTAGAGTCCGGAGGCGGAGAGCTTGTAGTCCTCATAGGTAATGATGTCCGGACAGTAGCACCGCTCCAGGACCGTGTTAAGCAACAGGCGGTCCTTGTCGTCAGTGACGCGGCCGCCGTAGTTGCACTCGCCGGTCACGTAGCGCAACGCGGCGAAGGGCGGTAGTGCGCCTGCGGGTGACTCATCCAGGAACATCTTGAGCTGCCGCACGCTGATACGTTGGTCGCCGTCGTCAAAGCCTGACAAGAAGTGAGGGCGGGAACAAGGATGGCGAGATCAGGTGAGGGGAGCAGGGCAGGGCAGGGCAGGGCAGGGCAGGGCAGGGCAGGGCAGGGCAGGGCAGGGCAGGGCAGGGCAGGGCAGGGCAGGGCAGGGCAGGGCAGGGCAGCGTACAGAAGCAGAAACGTGGTCATAAAACTCGAGCGCGGAACCACCGAGGCAGGAAGGCGTCGCCACCGATGCCCTCTTCTTACCGTAGGGAATGTTCCAGCCTAGCGGCCCGAACTTTCGCCGCTCCTGCACCAGTGCATGGAAGAACACCAGCCCAAACAGCAGCTTTTTGAAAGGCCCCGGCTTGGCGCATGCTTCGAAAAACTCCTTGTCTTGGCAAACGGGTTCGATCATGTAAGACCGGCGCATGTTGGCCTTGATGCCCTTGGGCGGCTCGTTGGTCATCTTGACGCCGTTCTGCAAGATGTTGACTGGGAACTTGGGGCTGGGGTAGGACGTCATCCACAGTCGGAACTCCGAGTGCGTGTTCTCGGGCTGCAGCTCCTCGCAGATCTTGTCCAGTGTGGGCATCCAAGACGGAGCCAGGTGGCAGTTCTGCAGCACCACCCAGCAACCCGACTTGGCGCCCTCCGCAATCATGGCCGAAGCCTTGGGTCCCTGGCCCTGCCCCAGCGAGATCGCCATCAGCCGGCTGGCCATGTTCCGCTCCCCGGCGAACTGCAGCAGCGCCGCGGTAGGGTCGGAACCGGGCGACAATACAAAGATGAGAGGTGTCGTGGGCGCCGAATCCGCGTAGCAGGCCGCCAAGTCAAACGGTGGCGGCTCCACGTACTTCTGGCCCAGGTTAGCCTCCACGAAGTCCTGCACCGCCGGTACCACTTTGTCGGGCCGCACGCAGCGCAGGATGAGCAGCTTACGGAACGTGTCCAGGGAGTTGTAGATGCCCGGCAGTGTGGTACGGTGCGGCTCGGAGGAGTCGTACAGCGGCCGCCAGGCGGCGGGGTCGGCGGAGAAGGTGTCAATGAGGCCCATGAAAGTGGGCAGCCGGTCCAGGCGGCACAACTCCCGCCAGCCGCGGTCAACGAGCCAGTCAGGCGCGGGGTTAGCGCGTGGGTCGCCGCCGCCGCCCAGACCGCCGGTGAGCAGGAACATGTACTCCTCCGGATCGACGCGGCCCTTGGTCTCCAGGATGCGCGTGCACAGCAGGAAGGCGAAGAGCAGCTTGTCCTTCTCGAACAGGGACCTGCGGGGAGGGGACGGCGCGTGGCGAGTGATGTTAAGGAGGGCGCAGGAGGGAGACGGCGTAGGGTAAAAAATTGCAAAGGCGGGCGGGAAGCAGGATGCTTTTGCCCGGCAGTTTGGTGTGAACGGCGGCATCCGTTATTAATTAGGAAGCTGTTTACGATTTTTGCGTTATTCAAGTGGGCTGTGTTTTGGATGGGGTTGGTGTGGGTGATGGTGCAGTTGCCATGCGCGGCTGGGGCACAGGGATTGTTGTTTGCACGCAAGGCTTTTGTACCTTTGCAGCCTTCGGCACAAAGAGGATCATACGGTCACTACCTGCGTATAAAATTCAAGCCTAGTGACTAAAAAGCCGCTGTAATCCCTGGACGCACCTACAGACGTTGCGGTAGAGGGAGTAGGTGAAATGATCGTAGATGTTCTCCAGCCGTTGACTCAGCACCGGACTCGGCTGCGCAAGGGAACGACGGAAGGGGGTTGGAAAGCGCGCAGCAGAGCGGTGTACATTGGGGGAACATAAGGGAGGCATTCGACACAGTAATCACACAGCAGCCTCAAAAGGGTGTGTGGGGTTGCGCACGTTTCCGAAGCACTTGCGACATCTCCAGGTCTCCCAAGGACTTCCTGGCGTCATAGCGCCGTAAGGGCGCCACACCCCACGCACCTCCGCCGCGTGCATGGACGCCACGAACAAGTTGACGAACCAGGGCAGCGAGTACTGGTACATGGGGTCAATGGCCGCTAGGTCGGAGATGCAGAAGAACAGGATGGAGGTGTAGTCGCCGCAGGGCTTGTAGCCGGTGCGCGCCATGTCAATTTCACGTTCCGTCACCTCAGCGGCACGCTGCTTTTCCTGGATGTCATTGCCCAGCGTCTTGGCCTGCACGGATCCGTGGACAATAGGTGCACACTATGGTAAGGAGCCGGTGCCGGCGCCAAGCTGAGGGGCCCAGGGTGAGGGGCCCAGGGTGGGTCCACGTGGAGAAGTTAGATAGGGGGTTAATAAGGAAGTAATAAACGAAGAAGAACAGAAACCGAAACCAGAACTAAAACGCGAGCCGTTAGGTTTGGAGGGAACGAATGGCAGTGGCCGCGGCGGCTTTCCCGACGGCATAGCCTATTCCTCCTCCTCTAATTCATCTCCTCCTGCTCATCATTAACATCATCATCATCATCAACATCCGCCAAAGCCGCGCACACCTGCGTGATGATGGAGATGGCTGTCTCATCCTCCAGAATGTTACCAGTGCTGTTGGACAGCACCTCCAGGATGCGATCCTCAATCTCCGCCAGCCGCCGGGTGTTCTCCGCGCCCTGCAGCACCAACTGCGCCTTCTGCTCCTCCAGATCGGGGCGCTCCGTGGCCACCGCCACACCCAGCAGCTGATCCGCCAGACCCGCCGGCGTGATCATGAAGTTGAGCAGCGTCACCTTGACCGACACCTCGGGCAGGTAGTGCGGGTTACGCAACTTGGTGGTGATGTAGAACCTGGGCGGGTGGGCGCGTGGGGGGTTGGGTGGGATGCAGGCAGAAGGCCAAGAAAGGGCGGTGAAGGGCGGGAGGGTTGTTTCGGGAAGCAGAACAATGGGAGGACGCGAGGGAGGCGCAGGTGGGACCTGGTATCTATCTGTGTTACCAATAGTAACAAAATTTGTGATAGCGTTCTGATGTAGGCAACTGAGCGGCAAAGGTTTTCATCTTCTTACCAGCAGGTTTTGGTTGCCGCAACCATGGCGACGCGGACGCAGAAAGGCCATTCCGGCTACCGACGCGATACACTATTAGGTGCCCGATGCGACAAAGCCCGGAGCTAGACGGCCCATGCAGCAAAATCCCGCCCCACCCCACCCCACTCCAGTCTCGCAACCTTAGTTCTGCAACCCGAGCCGTTCCTCGCACCTGAAATCGGCGCTGTACTCGATAGTGGCGTCACCCAGCCGGATGCACGTGACGCCCATAGACTTGAACGTCTGTTTGAGCAGAAGTGGCTCCAGGGAGGGATCCAGCTCCTCACCCACGTTCTCCAGCAGCACCGGCAGCCCGAACTGGATGGCGTTCTCCAGCACGCGAAGGTACTCGCCACCCTCGGACAGCTTGATCACCTGCGGCGCAGCAGCCGCACCCAGCCCCAGCCCCAATCAACCACTCATATCATCACGGTGGTACAGCTCTATGGCTACAAACAGCCTTGCACTCAGCACTCAGCACAAAAACTCAAGCCGCCGCCCATCCGTCCCAGTGCCATAACAGTACACTAGCACCTTGCTACCCCTCTCCATGCATGTGTGTACCCTCAGCATCACCGGGGCTCAACTCGTGGGTTGGCTGGGAACACTGACTGCTTTGAAAGCCCACCTGTAGCTTGCGCTCCTTCTCCAGGTTCTTGACCCACTTGTTAGCCTGGCCCTGAGGATCGATCATGAGCGGCCAGCGCCGCGCGTGCGCCACAATGATACCGTTCTCGATGGAGAAGGAATCGTTGGGCAGCCCGGCGATGAGCCACTCGCGGGTGCGCACCGGGTCGCCCAGCGCGGCGGCCAGACTGAAGCGTGGCGTGTACGGAATGCCCGCGGACCTGCAGCAGCAGGGAAGGGCGGGGGTGGCGACACAAGCACGTGAAGTCAAGCAGTATATGGGATGATATGCCGCGGAGGTGTTCTCAAAGGCAGGCCCCTAAACCACCTATCGCGCGCGCGGCCCTGACCTACCGGACCATATCCAGGAAGCTCTCGATGATGGTCTGCCGGAAGGACGCCGTGAAGGCGCCGCAGTAGGCGATGATGCCCGCAGCCACCAGCATGTCGCCCGTAAGTGCTACCGCTGCGTCCTTGAGTGCCTGCGCGGATTCTGTCCACCGGACTTTCTCGCCACCCAGGCCGCCAATCAGCTTCTCGGCGCGCTCCAGCTTGACGCTGTGGAGCGCACGCAAGGAGAGGAGCAGAGTGGTTGCGGAGTGCGGAGTAGTGAGGTCAGTGGAGGGAGCCAACAGCAGACCATGCTGCCGACCCGGGGTGCAGACCCTGCCGTCGGCCGTAATCACGTTTCCCTTCCTTGGCCGAATGCAATCCCTATTACCATGCAGCATGTTGAATTAGCACACACGGAGGTGAACAGCAGGTTACACGCAGAGCATGTAGCCATGCAGCCAGGCTGTGCCGGCGGAGCATCTCTTCTTCGTCTCACCTGCAAAGCGTCACCTCCTGCTCCAGCCGCTCCTTCTTCTTGGTGTTAGTGCGCAGGTCGCTCTCCATGGCCGCCAGCTTTGCACGCAGGTCCGCCAGCTCCTGCTGCTTAGCGCGAAGTCCCACCTGCGGAGAGCGCGTTGTGATGGAACATGGGACGAAACGGGTTTGGCAGAGCTAGAAGCAACTGTGCGGGAACCGGGAAAGAAACCTGAGCGCCCAAGGTCTGATGCGTGTCTCGTGGCGGAAAAGCAGGTGGGTAAAAGGCCAACCAGCACTGCAGAAAGCTAGCAGCAGCACTTTCCTATCGAACCATCCACAGGGATGGCACCACATCAGCGCTATCATTAAAGCCCTGCAGCCACACATGCCAGCAATGCCACCCACCATGACCTCCTCGTACTGCGCCTCCGCTTCGGCCAGCTTGGCCTTCTTGGGCGCCACCACCTTGGCTACCTTGTCATAGCTGCTCATGGCGTGCACCCACTTGCACATGCCCTCGGCCGCAGGCGAGGCATTGCGCGCGGCGGCGGGCGTGAAGGCGTCGTTCTTGATAAAGCGCTCGCGGATTTCAGAGATGATGCGTGGCGGGATGTTGTCCTTGTCGTAGAGCTTGAGTCGCTGCAAAAAGTCCTTATCGTTCATGAGTCCCACTGAAGGCTTCCAGTAGTCGAGCACCATCTTGCCGCTCTCGTCCTTGACTTTGGCGGGCTTGACGTCCAGGATGACGCATACGGCCTGAGGGAAGGCACGCGGGAGAAACGCATATGGGTAAGAGAGAAGGTGGATCAGTAGCATGTGGAGGCGTCCATGTACGTTGGCGTGCAAGCGTGCATTGAGCACGTGTGTGTGACCATGTGCATATGAGCATGCGCACGTGCGAGCGCGCTTTAACGATATGCCTTCGTGTGCGTGTGCCAGACCCCGAGCCAAACCGATGGGACGGGAGGAGGACAGGAACAGAGTGGACCGGACTGTAACTCATGGCCGCGTTAGCACCTAAGCCTATGCAGCATGACACACCTCCAGCACAAGCTTGATGATGTTGGGCGGGTTGCCCAGCTTCTTGATATAGTTGATGTCCTTCTCATCGATTGTATCCAGGGCCGCAAGGGCTTCGTTCAAGATAGGAAGGGCCTGGGCGACGCAGGAAGGGGGAGTTGCGGGCCGGCGGGGTTGCACCACAGTGACGGCATTGGCAGCTACACAGCTCAGCACCTTAGCAAGTTGTATGCCTTGCACCGGCATTGTCCTGGGTCTCTAAAGCCCGTGCGGGAAGGTGGATCGTCTGCAATTACCACTCCACAATACTAAAAATTACCACTCCCTGCTTACAGCCACCCGCATCCTCTGGCGGCGGCCCAACATTCCTACCTCAGCCAGATCTGCCTCGCACTCGTCTTTGATAGCCTTGGCTGCGTCGGCCTTCTCCTGCGCCTTGGCCTCCTCGCCCTTTACGATGAGCGCCTGCGGAGAAGGCGCGGTGGAGACAGCAAAAAGATAGGTCAGGAAAGAAAGCCAAGGGGCCGCAAAGGAAGCATAGGAGGATGCTGAATTGAAGACTAACATAGAAAGGCAACCGAGCAGACGCCCCGCAGCAGCAGAGCAGCTTGCTGGGCCTGCAGGTCATGAACCACCGACTCGACTCGCACATCATGCCAGCCCAAATCAGTAAGCCCAAACCAGCACGAACCCAACCGCGACTCCGACCACCGCCTCCGACGACTCCATGGATGGATGGATTATTGCGCCCGCACCCACCTTGGGCTCCACCACTTCTGCCTTCTCCCTGGCAATGACGCCCATGAGGCTCTCCACCTCCTCCACCGTTCGCACCAGCTGCGGCTGCAGCGCCTGCAGCTCCGCCTGCATGCCCGCCACCTGCTCTGCACTGCTCTCCAGCTTCTGTAGACCCACGCTGTAGCGCGAGTGTGCCTTGCGGTTGGCGGCGCGCTTCTGGTCCAGCAACGTTCTGAAAAGCAGGGACAGGATAGGAAAGCAGATAAGAGAATGTTCGTGCTGCGTAACCTGAGATATGGAGAGTTTCAGAAAGGTACAAGTTGGAAAGGAAGACAGAATTAAGCAAGGAAAAAAGATGCGGACACGGCTGCAAGGCGGGCACCTCGGCTGCCAGTCCGTCCCAGTCCTCGTCTTCTGGACTGGAAAAAACCTCCTGTGCCCTGGAGCCCTAAACACCCCCGAGCAACCAACCAGCAGGTAACGGTATACCGTACCTAAAGGTATTGATGAGCTCGAGGTACGAGGTGGGCGTTACGTAGTTGTGCCGGCCTAGCTGGGTTCTGCAAGCGGGCCGTGGATGGGCGCAAGACAGCCAGAAAGACGTTAATAAGCTATCATACCGTGGTAAACAGGCAGCGAGGCAGGGGGCTAGGCAGGGAGGCACGCAAGCAGGCAAACAGGCCAAAGTGAGCAGCACGGGCGCTGCGTCTGTCTCAAGCCGCTGGCCCTTCAGAGGGCTGGAGGCCCTTACTTGAAGTCCTCGCTGGCGGTGCGGATCTTGGAATGGAAGGCCTGGCAGAGCTGCACCAGCTGCGTGCGGGTTCCCTCGTCCAGCTCCATCTCCCGTAGAAACTTGAAGGCCACGGCCTCCAGTGCATCGCGGGGCCACGTGCGAAACCTGCAAGCAGGGATGGCGGTGTTGTAAGAGAGGGTGTGTATGTGTATGTATGTCCAAGGTGGGTTGGGTGCAAAGCGGGACTGGGGAGCTCCGGCTGTGCATGTGTGGTGATGAGGGCGGCAGCAAATGTAGCGCTGCATCGGCAGTAAATGGATCGCTGCAGGACGTGCTACGGAGTGGACAAAAGACACAGAGAAAATAAGGGCTAAGGCTGCCGCATAATGCGGAACACCCGGCGGCAGGCCCCTACTGCCCCTATAGCTTTCAACCCCCGTGTGGTGTCCTCCGTTGTCCACGGCCGCCACGCCACCCCACCCCGCGCTACGGATTACCCACCAGTCAATGGTGCAGCAGTTGACGATGGAGGGGTTGGCACGTAGGCGCTCGCGGAATGCGTCGCCGATGGGGCTGAAGCACAGCACTACGTGCAGGTTGCGGCGGCAGGTCTCCACAAAGTAGCCCCACAGCTCCAGGGGTGTCTCCAGCCCCCGCTTGGCGGCACGAGGCCGCACCGCCTCCATGATCTGGCAGTAGTGGAGTGAGTATAGGCGGGTCGGTGGGTCGGGGATGCGGGCGGTGTGGTGGCGCAAGGGGCTGCTCCCTTAGCATTCGGCATATAACGGACTTGTGACATGGAGGGAGGAGAGGACAGAGAACTAGCAGAACTGACAGAAAAGCATTTCACCAAAAGAATACACTTTCCTAAAGCAAGCATTCTTGCGGTGTCAAGAATCACTGCTTCGTTCACTTTCTCACCTGCATTCGCTCGTCCTGCGCGAACATGTTGGGCACCTCGCCGCTGTTGAGGATGTTGTTGATATCCTCCAGGAAAGATTCGTCCTTGATCTGCGTGTCGCTGAACAGGAACACCACCGACTTCATCTCCGCGCCGGCGCGGCGCAACACCTTCTTGAGGTCCTCCCGCCACTCGGTGCGACCGTAGCTTTTGGCGATCTCCACCTGAAGAACCTCCATGCCGCAGATGAAGCCTGCTAGCCGCGTCAGGCTCTGCCGCCCGCTGCCGCCGACGCCCACCAGCAACATGTTGCCGCCTGTGCTCCCGCGGAGTAAAACACAGCGGATTAGAGCAAGGCGAAAAAGCTGACATCCGTGCAAATATGCAGGGCTAATCCCGTGATCAGTCGGATATCTTCTCGATGAGCGGGGCCTTTTTTAATGAAAGTGTTGAAATATCTGTTGCAGCTGCGAGCGACAAGGAAAATCGCTAGGACGCGTGAGCAAGTGCCAACCCTAAACACAGGAACGCCCACGCATGGCCCTGCCACGCCCCATCTAAACTGTTGCTAGGCGGAAGGACAACAGCGGGAAAGACGTGTGCCCTCCACAACCCTCAGTATGCGCCTCCGGCCCCCTTCCACCCAGCCCCCACCAACCTGGCTGCTTGAGCAGGCGGCAGATGCGGCTGACGTGCTCCACAGCGAAGAGGAACATGGCCAGGTTCATGGGGCGCTTGGAGGTCCCGTTGTGGTCCATCAGGTACTCCTCCATCGTCGTGACCAGGCCGGCCTGGTGATATCACGATAACAATGGAAAGGATAAGGTCAACATACGGCTGCCGTCAACACAACAACTCGCAACAACAGTGAAGCAGTGCGAGAGCCGGAGAGCGCCAATAGCAAACTGAGTGGGAAAAAAGGAATAGGGTACTCACGCCCTCCGATCGGCAAAAACCGTTACGCCTGGCAGGGCGTTTCAGGCTTTCAAATCCTAAAGCTATGTTCTTGGTCATGTTCACGGCCCTGACCCCACACTCACCACGTCCGGCACCTCGGCGTACTTGCGCAAGGACGGCTCGGCCTCATTAGTGTCCGCATAGTCTCCGAAGAAGCAGCGCCGCATGTCCTGCAGCACGCGATTGTCTCTATATTGTTTATGTGGACTATAATATACAGTCGTCGTTGACCACCATATTGGTCAGCGAGTTCGCTTGTTCAGCAGCGAGTTCGATAGCAAAAGAAAGGAAACTTTGGGTCGCCATATTGGTTGCCAAGCCGCCAGTCGGACTTGCTGCGACCCGATCTCCGCCAACCCGATTTTCTACGCACTTGCTTAACACGACGCACCTCATGTGTGATGGGCCGGCCGCTACGCCTATCCTCCTCCGACAGCAGCCCTTCCATCAGGCTGTCAAAGCCCACGTCCAGGTGGCAGGCCACCGTGGTCTTGACCTGGCCAATCAGCCACTCCCGGTCCGCGTCGTCCACCAGGCGGTCGTAAAACACTCGGAACACCTCATGCACCCACAGCCGGCGATACAACGAAGCAGCTTGCTGCGAATTCAGCAGCTCGTTCAGCGGGTCGGTGGGCTGCGACAGACTTTCCCGAGGCAGCATCATCACGCCCTAAACGAAGGAGGAAAGGAGGAGGGAGGAAAAGAAAGGTGGAGGGAGGGAAGCAGATCGGGAGGGAGGACAGCCTAGGGGGCAGATGCATTGCGGCATGTGAGCTGGAACTGAGCGGCGGCTCTGACGTGTACTCTGGCATGTTCCACATAGCAAGGCCACTGGCTCCAGCTGCAGCAGTCCTGGCTACTACATGATGACATGCATGTACCCGCCGGGCAAAATAGTGTTTTTCACGATGCCAGCAAACCACACATCATGTGATCTGTCTGCGCATCCAATACTCCAATCCATCGGCGCATATGAATCTGTTTCTGTTGGCCTGGGTGTTGGGCAGAGAGTGTCTCGCTCCTATAGCTTGCCGCACTGTGCCGTCACCACGCACGCGTACCTGCACCACGCGCGCAAAGTCGCGCAGGTTGAAGACGTAGTGGCTCTTGGTGGGTGTGGGCAGCAGCTTGGACATGGACTGGCTGTACACCTCCAGCGTAGCGTTGATAAGCCCGGTGGACAGCAATGCCACTTGGTGTGGGAAGCCCTTGGTGGTAAGGTGCCAGTCCAGAATGGTGCGGAAGATGTGCACCAGGGAGTCCTCAGCAACCTGCGGTTCGGCAGGAGGAATGGCAGGAGGCATGGCACCCAAAGGACCGTAAGGAAGAAGAATGGGAGGACTGTTAACAGAGACTGGCGCCAAGGATGCGGTGGGTGCATCAGAGGCCATAGATGTTGCTTATTATGTGCGCGTATCCGCGTACCCGATATTGCGTCAGAGTTACAAGTGGACGACAGAAGGCGACAATATCCCAACAGGACCTTTCCCAAATCCCACCACCAACAGCACCGGCAGGAGCACCAACGTCATTGTCGCGCACCTGCGACAGCGCCAGCACGTTGAAGTGGCGCAGGAAGCGGTTGGTGACGAAGGTGCGACCGCCGCCAGGCGGGCCCATGGCCGCCACCAACTGCACGTCGATGAGTGTACGGAATTGGTTGTCGCGGCCGTACCATCCGCCCTGGTCGGTGGCCTGGCGCAGCAGTTCGATGGGCGGCTGGGCGCCGTAGGTCTCTTTCGCGGGCATGTTCAAGTCGTCCACAAACAGCACGGCCCTGCGGGGCGTGGGCGGAAGGACGGAAGACGAGCTGAGACTGGGCGGTGCATTCGCGGGGATTCCGTAAGGCGGCCCCAGTTACACGTCCTTGCAGCACTGGGCCTCAATGTTGCTAACTTCAGCAGGTAAGCGCCCTGTGACTACAGACGACTGATAGTGTGAAGTCCGCAGCAGTGTGGCTCCAACAACGCCCTCCTTTACCCTTCAGCCTTAAGCCCCCCTAACCCTCTCTTGGCCCTCACTCCAATGGCATTCCGATACTCCAGCCGACCCTTCCCTTTACCCAGCCCTACCTGCGCCCCATGGGCGGTCCATACACGCCCTTCCGCCGCTTGTCCAGCCTGCCATCCACCTGATCCTGCGCCATGTTGGCGGTTGTGCGCGCGGAAAAGGTGACAAAGATGGGCGTCCACTTGTCCTTGGGCAGGCCCCACACCAGGTGTCTGTTGATGTAGGTGGACTTGCCGGTGCCGGTAGGCCCCACCATCAGCAGCGGCTGGTTGTTTTGAAGCGCCATGTCCAGCAGGAAGGTGTACCTGCGGGTAGGTGCATGCATGCATGGATGCATGGATGGATGGATGGATGGATGGGTGGTTGATAATTAGGGATGGATGGACTGGTTGGCTGGCGAGCTGACCAGTGGATCGGGAAACCTGGAAGCTCAGCCCAGCCTCGGACAGAACGGTATGTCCAGAATCAACGGAGCTACATGTCGATACAAAACTCATGTCGGGTTTTCGAGTTCTGAGCTGGTTACGCTTCTGTGGTAGGTGTACAGCTCACGCGCATGAGGCGTACAGGCACCCATTCAGACCAATGTAAGCCCGAAATCAAGTTCAAATGTGGTGTAACCGCCTATCTCTAGACTACAACTGCTACACAAACCCTAGGCCCAGCGCCGACCAATGGCCCAGCCCCGAGCACAATGAGGTGTCCCTACACGACAGCCGTGACCGCGGCGCCACCAGCCCCACCTCGCGGAGTCTTTGGTGGGAATGATAATATCCGCAAACTGCGCATCCGGCGGGATAGAAAGGTCGGGGATGGTGTCCGTCCAAAGCTGCCAGCTGCCGGGCACCAGGCCGCGGCCACTGCTGCGCTTCTGTAGCGCGTAGTCGAACACGGTGGCGCCGCCGTCGGGCGGCGGCGGTGGGATGGACATGTGGACTTTGTGTGTCGTATTGACGTAATCCTGAGGGGACAGAAGATGGAATGGGAAACGAAGGGTGCAGAAGGGTGCAACGGGCGGTCGTGTAAACGTGCTTAGGGGCTGTGGCTAGAGGGGCAGGACGTCATGGAGCGGGAATAATGAAATAAGATTGCACAGGAAGCGCACAAAGATTATTGAAAATCCGAGGCGGCAATCAAGCGGCACCCTCCGATGGTCGGAGGCAGGGGATGAGAGCCCAGGGCACCGGCAATCGCACAAGCTTTTGAATCATTCGGGCTGACCCGCATAGCTTAGCGGCCCTATCCTGCATCCCCACCATGGCGGGGCGACCATCTTTGGGGCACGCATAGCCAAAAACGCAACAAGCCGGACAACCGCATGAATCCACAATCATCAAGGACCAAGCACACAGGCCGATGTCCTGTGGCGTGACGTGCTGGAGGGCGAAGCGCCACATGCTCTCACCAGGTAGCCATCGGGCACCATGCCGGACAACATGCTGCGCAGGAAGCTGTCGAACTTGCGGCGGCTCTCGCCATCGCCAGTGCAGCCCACCGACCATACCAACGCAAACAGGAACGCCGCCTCCACCAGAATGATCTTGGTGTTGTCATCATACGAGTAGCCCGGCGGCACGTCCTCCTCGTTGCTCGACTGCCGTGCCGAAGGCTTGCTCTCTATCCCCTCCTCACCCTCGCCTTCGGCTGCACCGCTGGCGGTCCCACGACCGCCCTCCGGCGACGAACCATCACCAGTGGCGGAAGCCGCCGCCGGCTTCTCCGCCTCCGCCGCGGCGCCGGCCTTATCAGCGACGGGCGCGTTGGGGTTGACGGTGGGTCCAAAGTCCTCAGCGAGGAGCGCGGCCATGAGGCGCATGGTGGTGCGTGCAAGGCCAATGTCCTCCGTGGGGCTGATCTCCTTGGCGTCACGGCGCACGAACCTGCAGGCCAGGCGACATTCACACATTCACTACATAACCCCCTTCCTTGGGACCCTCACTTAGCTTGCCACGTCTGGGCCTCTTGGACCATCGTGGCAATGTCCGGCAATGTACATCATATAATATACATGAACAATATGAATGACGTCCGCTTCTCCCCGTACAACACGGCTGGCGCGCAGCAGGAGGAGCAAGCAACGGCGCGACCGCTGGCTGGATAACCCGCCGCACATGTTCATGCCCATGCATTAGCGAACAAGCTACTTAGGCTGGCCACCAAGCACCTTACGACGGGCTGGCACACAGGAAACGCAGCCCGAGCCGCTTCCCCTGCCATCCCTATCCCTAGCAAATGACGGCGTGAGGCCATTACGACGTGGCGGCCCAGCCATTGCGCCAGCGGCGCACCACACCCACAGTAATGGTGGAGGCGCTGGAGCAAGTATAGAGCGGCCGGCGGGCCCACGGGCGCCTTCGACCGCACGCAGCTTTTACTTCGCAGCAGCAATCGCGATAGCAGCAGTAGCAGCCGCAGCAGCAGGTCACGATCCTAGTTGTCTGCGGCGCACCTTAGGCACGGTGGCATGAGCCAGTCGAAGAGCAGCTCCAAGTGGCGGCGGACCTTGGGCCCTAGGCAGCGCGGCAAGGTGGCCAGCCAGCTGGTGAGCAGCGGGTTCCATCCCAGCTGGTGCGGCTCCAGGTACACCATGCCGCAGCGAGACACGGTGGCGGGGGAGGCGACGGCCAGGTCGCCCACCTGGATCACAGACAAGAAGAAGGGCATAGCCACGGAGCCATCGGGTTAGGGTGAGGTGCACGTGGGGAGAAAAGGCACGCGGAATTAAAGAAAATCTCGGTTCTGCAATTCCAGTCCCCAGGTGACCAGGTGCTATACAGTACAGGTTCCTGCAGTTCGGTTGGATCGTTCGTTCTTCCGTTAATGCTTTTCAGGTCAATCTTTGCGTTTGCGGCCCTTCCGCTGGCCGGCAGGCACCTCACCTCGAAAATCATGGACATGGTGCTGCTCATCTGGATGATCTCGCTGTTTGGCAGGCACAGCTTCTTGTTGTCGTCCAGCACCGTGTTCATGTTCTCGATCCAAATGGCGTCCACGGGGCCGTCCAGCACCAGCCACTTGCGGTCTTCGGATGGGTCGGCAGCCAGGGACCTGATGGGCCAACCGTCGAGGCGGTTAAGGACGGGGAAGAAGGAAAACCTCCGCCGACGCAGCAGCTAAGAAAGCGAAGGAAAGCCCGCATAGGCACACAGCGTCGCGCCGCGCGGCGCAGCCCGCCCTGCCAGTAAACGCACATAACCGTTGACTTTCAGCTTCTTCCTTCTAACCCAGAACGCCCACACACACAAACCTTCTGCCTGTGGACAACAACCTCAGCAATCTTTTCGGCTTCATTCTTGACTCCAAACATATATCACAGCTGCTGGCAGCATCACATCGCTATGTTATTGTTTTTCTCTCCATATAGGTCAGTTACTACTTCACGTGTTCTAGCCACTATGTGCTCTTTGGAGTAAGCACTACCCCCTTCCCTAAGTCCCAACACGCGCATCGCACCTGAATGCCACAGCCAGCACGCCGTCCTTCCACTCCTGGGTCGCTCTGTCCGTCTCGCCGTATAGCTGCCCCATGGTGACGCTCTTGGGGTTGATGGTGCGCAGCTGCACCCGGTTGTACAGCGCGCCGGTGATTCCGCGCTCATGAAGGTCGGTCAGCGCGCCAGCCAGCACCTTGAGTGAGGCGGTCTTGCCGCTGAAGGGCTGACCCACAGTCATGAGGCCGTGACGTACGACAACCATCTCGTACAGCTGGATGGTCTTCATCAGGAAGTACTGCGTTGGCTGCAGGTTGTGGAGTGCGCACTGGCGCTTCATGGCGTCCATGAGGTGGCCGTAGTCGGGCTCGGGCAGTACCACGCCTGCGGAAATATAGGGATTGGAGAGGGGTGAGGATAAAGGGAGTAAGGGAGCCGAGAGAAGGAGGCAGGACGGAAGATCTGGGTTAGGCGGGATGGAGGACAGATGCTTGGGGAGCAAGAATGCAGGAAAAAGAGCGGAATGCAAAGAGTGCAATCCATGGCTGTAGTCCAATTCAACCATTGCCCATTGCCCAGGCAGCTCCGGCCACGCGCAGCGCATTTACCTGGGAAGAGATCCGACACAATGCCGTTGAACAACGGCACGTCGTGGCTGAGGAACTTGCACAGGTTGACGTCAATGATGGAGCGAAGCATCAGCACGTACTCGTCCGAGTCGGGAAAGCGCCGCTTCAAATTGCCAGCGGCACGCAGCACTGCCATCACAGCGCGCATGCCTGCAGGGATGTCGGTGCCCAAGGAAATAAAGGCGGAGAATTCGGATGAAACAATCTCTCACACATATGCAAAGCGCGCACATCGCGGAATCCTCCACGCACTCTGAAAGGCACGCCTCCACTCGCTAAAAACGCCCACACGCCCGAGCCGCCTAATCCGAACCGCCCAAGTCCCCAACTAAGCCTCCCAACCCAAGCAGAAGCATCCCACGGTCGTCACGTACCGTAATCGTAGTGATCCTGGCTAGACAGCTGTTCGGAGCAGAGCTTGTATGTGGCTACAATCTTGCGGGCGCACTCGCGAGCCTGCAGGTAGCCGTTGCTGTAGAGCATGATCTCCGAGATGAGCGCGTAGTCTGGAACCATCATAGCCACCGTGCGGAACAGCGCCTATTGGGACGAGGGGGAAGAAGGTGCGAAGGTGCGGAAAAGGCCGGGCTTGAGGCTGGCGGAGAGGAGGAAAACCGGCTGGGCGAGGGCCAGTAGCATGGCAGGACGGAATGCCGGCTGCCGTGAGGGAGCAGTAAGACAACAGGCAGGTAACGACGTGGGTACAGCATGGTTTTCGCTGCGTGTGTCATGTGAACTTGCGTGCACATGCGTGTGTGTAAAGGCACAACGATGCTTCCTGGTGCTGAATGGTGTGATAAATCGTAGAAATGACAATGTTCAAATGGCCCAGAAGCCTCCCACTCTGTATCAATATCTGCTATCTACAACGATGCTTCCTGTTTGAAAACTTGATGCGTTAAAGCAACTTAAGCGTTCCTCTTTTCGCACCTTGAGGTTGTCCGGCAGCTCAGATCGGCCTGCATATCCGGGATTCATGGTGATGAACACGTTGCAGGTGGGCCGCAGCGGCAGCTCACTGCCCTCGAAAAAGAACGACTTGACGCGCTGCTTCACCGCCAGCTGGATTTCCAACACCTGAATGCGATCATTAGGGCACCACAGCACAGCACACACACCACGCTCACTGGCGTCGAATGTACAGGTATGAAGAGAATTAGCATTTGTTCCGGCGCCGCTGTACCGCTGCCCCGGAATTCATTCCACTTCCACAACTCCCGGATCATCAAAGCTGCGTAAGAATCTGATGTACTTCTACTCCACGGCCGAGCACCTCGTCTAGCATCTGGCCCTTTCCATCGTCTGTCCTGTTCTCTTCCATCGGCTTTTCCCCAGTCATCTTTCCCTTCTCCCCACCTGCTGAGCCACCACGGACAGCACCTCCAGGTCGATGCGGTTAAACTCATCGAAGCAAGCCCAGGCACCGCTGCTGGCCAGACCCTTAAAGAACTTGGCCATGGTCTGCAAGCGCGTGGTGTATACAAGGCATTGGAAAGTAGGCATTCTGGCGGGTCGACGCTCAGGTAGACAGGCGAGGGTGCAATGCGCAGGACTTGCGTGACGGCAAGGCGGGGCTGCTGCCATGACCGCTGTCCACGGACTTGCAGTCATGCGTGGGTTTTAAGATCCCCGTGGGTACATAGAACGTTTAAATATACAGGGGTGGTTACGTGTGTATTTGTAACATACCTGATAGTCCAGGGTATCGGAGCAGTTGAACACGACGCACTGGCGCGCCAACGCCTTGGCCAGATCCTTCGTCGTCTCAGTCTTGCCCGTGCCGGCGGGCCTGCGAGTGTTTGACGTGAACATTACTTCGAAGACCATCGGGCATGTGTTTTGTGGATGTGCGTTACCTTATCCGCCGTGACATTAATGACATCAGAGAAAACGCGCGTGATGAACGCACGTGGATCCAAATTTGCCGCTATCCTGGGCCCTCTGCCATCCTTATCCCCCAAATCTCTATCCTACTCTTTCCTATCGGTATTCTGTGCCCGACGACCCTCAGCCGCAATCCTGACCGCTCTGCAACCCTCCTTCCTAAACGACCGCTGCGTTCCACAGCAGCAAACCCACCGTACGTCCCCTTTCTCTTACCCCTCCGGAGCACCGCCCAGGTTCAAGTGGATGGCGCTGATGAGCGTGCGATAGCAGCGGTCCGTCAGCGGTGTCACCACCAGGCGCATGCTGTTACCCAGGTACTCATAGCCATACTCCACCTCGGCATTCATCATGCGCACCATGATGGTCCCCTCATCCTCCTCGGTAGCCTGGGAGGGCTTCTTGATCTGCATGGAAACACCAGATTACCGCAGCAGCAAATATTACTGCTTTTCGACATGTCTATCATTAAGAGAACGGGGACGAGAAGGAGCAGTAGCAGCAGCAGGAGGAGGGAAGGAGGGAAGAGACTGGGAAGGGACTAAACGCCGAGAAGAAAGGAAAAGATGAAACTGAGTGAAAGAGGAGATGGCACTTACCTCCCAGTACATCCTCAGTTGGCTGAGCCAGCTGAAGTGGTTGGGGTCGCCCGCCACGCCCTTCTCTGCAGCCAGCGCTACCACCACGTCGCGCGCGTGCACGTCCATGACCACCAGCGCGCTCAGCGTGGCGCGGTTGAGCTTGGACAGCTCGCCGCGCACCAGCGACACGATGTTGCCCAGCTGCGCGGTGTTGCGCTCCGCACACGCGTGGAGTGCGCCGGGCGAGGGACTAGTGATGGCCTCCACAACCTCCTGCTCGGCCGGGGTGAAAGCGGGGTAAGGGCTGTTGAAGCACCCGGCCCCGTGACCAGTTACAGCAGCAACAGCGGCCATCAAGACCGTGTCGTAAGAGAAAGGGACCCATTTAGTGCTGGTACCTTGGTTAGCCACCTGACTTCTTGCCCAACTAGGGAGCAGTTAACCCAGTTTTCCCTGCACCAAACAAGGAAACCGCCTCTGGGTTCCTGGCTTCTGGGACCCTGGGCCCCCAGCCCACACCCGTGAACCAGCTCACCCTGGTCCAGTAAATGGCAGTGACCACAAGCACCACCTGCCCTGGCCACTCCAGTACCCAGCGCTCGCGCGGCACCGTGGGATAACTTCGCACACCGCGGCGGGACACCTCCTGCACGGACTCCACCATGCCTGCCTCCACCTGCGCCAACGTGGACAGCACAGGCGGAGGTGACAAACGTCGCAGGGATAGGCGTACGCAGCGGGATGCGTGATGATGCCGACGTCCAACACATCACGTACACAACACCCGCGTGCACGGGTGGGGGACACGGCGGCTGCGGCCTAAGGAGCAGCAATAGTAGACAGCCGAGGACTTGGTTGGCCCAACTGTCAGCATTCCAGAGGCTTTCCGGGATTCATAGCAGTCCCCAGCTCTCTCAAGTCGCACCTGCACAAGCCACTTCTCGACGCTGCCGTTGGCGTCACCCGGCTTGATCTTGGTCTTGAGCGGCACCACCTCACCCTCACAGCTGATCATGCCCGTGATGTCCACTGCGCCGTTCTCGAAGCGCAGCTTGTCGATACCTTCGAAACACTTTTTGAGGTGGGGCTGCACGCGAGTGGGATCCTTGGTCTCCGACAAAATCTGCAACAGCGCATCGCCGCAACGACACGTGGGATGTTGGGCCACGATCCATGACATAGGTTTGGCGGACAGGACGTGCTATCCTAGCTCAGGTATGGCTCGGCTGGTGCTTAAGGCGTGGCGAGAAAAGCGCTTGCCCCTGCACTATCCTGCCTTTCCGACCCCTGGCCAGCTCTGTCCGGCAGGGCATATCCGCGCTGTGCCAGGCGGGTTGGACTACGGCCTATCTGCGCTGGCCTGGGCCCCTTGCACGTTCCGTGCCTGCCTACCTCCAGCATCTCGTCGTTGGAAAGGAAGAAGAAGCGTGGGAAGGCCAGGCGCTTAAGCTCAAGGTACGCCGCCAGGCCCTTCTGGATCTCCTCCAGCAAACGGTTGGCTTCCTGCGGTTGGCCAGGACGGGAGAGGTTGAAGGTGGAGTATGGGAGGAAGGGTATAGAAGGATGGAGAAGAGACCAGCCGTGCAAGAGGCGTAACGGTAACGACGAAGAGATGATGAGGGGACGCCGTGGTGCACTAACAAAGCAAGCGAGCTGAACTTTATCGAGACATGAACCCACACACTTCACATCTTGTGAGCCCACCCACATGTGCTCATTCCCCAACCATTGACACCAGGCACCCATCTTCTCCCGCAGCGTGGCTGGCTGTCCGGCTCTGTAGTAGCAGGCCGCTAAAAAGGCCTCTCGAGATGCTGGTGAAGCGCTTTGCGCATATTTGTAGTTGTTCAAGGTGCCGTATTGTGTACCAGCTACTACAGGCTCCCACCTGCAGCGACAGCAACTTGTCGCGCTCCTCCGCCACGGTTGTGCACGCAGGCGACTGGGACGTTGACTCCATCAACTCGCGCCACGACTGCGGAGCAGGTCAAGGTAAGGAGGCAACCAATGTAGCAACCGCAATTTCCAGAGCCCCTGCTCAAAATGCCATGCCTGGCAGAGCTGACAAGTGCGTGTGTGGTCCACCATAAGCACACGATCCCTGCCATCAGGGCGCGCTCTCACCCGGGGCCCCAACCCCGCCCACGCCTCCTGTCCACCGGTGCTCAGTCCTGGCCCACCGGTGCCCACCGGTAGGCAGCGCTTACCTGATCGACGATCTGGAACTTCTCGCCCTCCTCAGGCATCTGCTTGAGGATGTCTGGCGAGCTGAAAATGGGCTCCAGGTACTGCCAGGTGGCTTGGCAGGTCAACCAATTGTCCAGCATGTCCTAAACAGGGACGAAAGAAAACCACGTTCACGCGGCGCCGAATGCACGTGCAATGACTGGCATGCAGCGCGGCACGCAGCGGGAGATGGAGAAAGATGTGGGTTCCTTAAGCACTGTCGGCGCAGACCTTCGGTGATGAGGTGGATCTCGTTCCACAACGATCCAATTACGAAGGGAAATTGACTTTTCTTACCTAGGTTTTTCTATCTGGAAATTTCCTTCGGGGGCTTATACAGGGGCGCGATGACCCAGGGACAACCAAAAGGGCCAGCAAGCCCGCACACCCCGCGCACCTGCAGCGTCGTGAGCATAGACTCCCATTTGTTGGCCTGCGCCTCAAGCGGCTTGATGTACGGAGAAGCGCGCATGGCCTGTGTTTTGACGATCTGGTCGTCCAACAGGGCTTGGATCTCGTCTGTACCGCCCAAAATGAAGGTGCCTCTGTGGAATTGGACACGGAAAAGAGAGATCTGATCAGGCGAAGCGTTTCCTGCAACAATCCTGCGGGATGACTCATGGCTTAGCAGAGGATCACAAATTCCCTACGTGCGAAAACCCCGCCACTGTGCATCGTCCAGAGCGAGCCCCGTCTGAGACACTTGAACGAATGACACGGGGGAATGACACGCAGTGGGGTGCGGTTGGCCGTACACTCGACTTATCCGCTCGCACAAAGCTCCGGGTGAAAGAAACCACACTCACGTGTCCTTGTACTCGATGCAGCGGAACTCCACGCCCTTCCAGTCCTTCTCCATCTTCTCCAGAACCTTCTCCAGACTGTACTCCTTGGAAGCCACGCCGCTGATCGACTGTGGAGGGCGTGGCAGGTTCGAGTGAACGGCAGCAGCGACAATAGCAGTGTGAGCGATGCAGCAGCGGGCGTTAGGGTGCAGTAACAGCAACAGCACCGGAGATGCAGCAGCAAACCAGAGGCACAGCAAGTAGTAAGATCTACCGATGTCCGTTGAGCGGGTCAACAGCATTTTGCTTCCATGACGGGACAGGATGGTATGAAATCCTCCACGGCATACGAGCCAGCCAGCCCATGGAGTGCTGCAACAGCGACCCAAAGAGTAGAGCAGTGCACTGTGGTGCACCCCGCGTAGAGACCCCAAGGAAACCCGAACCGACCTGGCCACCCATCCAACCCAACCATATCCACCTACGCACCGAGATGGCCTCGTACTTGTCCAGAGCGTTGTACTGCAGCATCATGCGCACAGAGAAGGGCGCGTAGCCGATGCCGTTGTCGTTCGGCGGCACGTCCGCATCGATGAGTTTGAAGATCTGTTCCCAGTGTCGTGTCTTGAGAGCCGGGTTGGCCAGCTCCTCCACCAGCGGCAGGATCTGTTTGAAGTCGTCGATGAGCTCCTTGAGCCGGACTACAACCTGCATGCCCACACCGGATTCCGCACCCGGGAGCACACATGATGCACTTTGAAGGGAACATCACTATACAGGCCGCATCGCTACACAAGGGCCATCGCTATTAGTAACTAAGGGCGCCACAGGAGCATGACAGATGGCGGCCTGTATGGCAGAGGCACAGGATGCCGAATCCATGAAAGCCAGGTGCGTCCAGGTGCGTGTGCACGGATGCGTGTTTATGCACGGATTGAGGGCTGAAAGCTCAGGGAACACAGGCCAAGCAAAAGCAACTAGTGACTGAAAGTTAGTCTGCCGCGACAGGCTTACATAACAGGACCGCAACCTTTTCCCCCACACCAGCCAGTGCCACACACGCACACAGTCCATGGCCTCCCGGCTTTGACGGACAACCCCGCGTTCGTGCGGAACTTGTAACCCACACACCCAGCCGCCCGACCGACCGCACCTGGTCCTCCTTGGCCGCTTTGCCCATCTTGTAGGCGCGTTGCGCGTACTCCTCCACCTCGGACCGAATCACCTCGATGGACATCTGCGACACGCCGTTCTCGTCCAGGATGGGATCCTCCGTCCAGTTGTGGCTCTTCTCCATGAAGTCGTACAGACTCTTCCACAGCTGGTACTTGGCATTGGCCTCCTTCTCCACGGCGGCCAGGTCAGGGAAGCCGTCGGGCTCTAGCTCGAACAGCATCTGCGTTTCCAGCCGCCAAAAGGGGAGTTTCCAATAATGAGGAGAATATACCCGGGTGGCCCGGGAGTGGAGCGAAGGGTTTAAACTGGCGAAGTCAAGAGAGGGGGGAGGTGGTATCGACTGCGGCGGCACTCGTCAGAAGCCTCAAGGAAAGGAGCTTGTGGGTCCTAGAGGGACCCCTTCGGATTCCTACGGACGACTTGCGTGTCGCGTACGCCTCCGACTCGTCGCCGTGCTATATACTTGCTGAAAAGAAGCTCCCCCTCCAATCAGCACACTGACCTGGTACTCCTTGTATGTGTCGCATGCGGTGGACAAGTCGCGCAGCTGCGATAGCACGGACTCCAGGTCCACCAGCACGGATTCCGCGTCGGCGTCGGGGTTGATGTAGTCGCCTGGTGGTGTTAATGTAGGATTTAACGGTCGCGGCGTTGGTTAGGAATCAGGCATCGAGCACAGAGAGGTAGAGAACGCAGATCAGCAGGGATGGCGGCTTGGCCGCAGTGATGGTGGTCGTCTCGGTCATAGCAGCCGTGACATTTGTAAGAATGGAACATGACAATACACCAGAAGTCATGACAGCAAACAGCACGTGTGTTGGGGGACTCCTTGCCACGGTGGCTGCGACTGTGGGTGCGAGAAATGCGCGATGTGGAAAGTGCGTCCCACAATGCACATGCATGGCGTTGGCGCCAGTGGCGTTGGTGCCTGTGTGCAGCGCAAGGAGCAGAGGATACAGACGCATGACAACTAGAAGCCCAACCCCCAAGCAGGAGCCTTGGCCGCAGCTATTCCTCACCCTTGTTGAGTGAGGCCATGATGTTGGCCAGATCCTCGTGGGTTCGGGCGATATTGGAGGCCAGTGAATCCATCTGGTTTGACTTATGGTCCGCCATGAACTCCTTGCCGGCGGTCAGCTCTGACACAAACGTGTTGGCCGCATCGCGCAGGTCGTCGTGCTTCACGGCGTCGGTCGTGGAGATCTACGTGTGCGACCCGGATCGCGGATCACGGCACGGTGCAGCGTTGAGGAAGGAGGGTGGAGGTTGGAAATAAGCACCAAGCAGCACCTCAGGATAACAGCATGATGCACGGTGCAAATACACGGCGCGCCAAAGACATTACGGGAAAGTTGAGCAGCGCACGGCAAAGTTTGGAACCTAGTGCGGTGTCCGGCATTTGGAGGCCTGGACTGGTGCAAGGGGGGCCCGCAGTGTAGGCGGCTTGAGACTCCTTGCCAGACGGCCAGAAGCCGCGTATGGGAGCTGTCACCTTTGTGAGGGGGCGCCCCCACACCTGCTGAGGGTTTCTCAACCGCTTACCTTTTGCTCGTACGCAGCTAGCATGTCGTACATGTCGTCCACTTGCGCGGCCTGTGCCAACACCTGCTTTTTGCTTTCCACCTGCTTGGCGTGCATAACCTGATAGGCCATGAACTCGTCCAGCGCGGTGGGTCGGGCCTGGGGTGCAAGGAAAATAGCGTTTTTAAGGAGCTCAGCAGGGCAGCTGTACGGATGAGAACTTAACGTGTTGGGAGACGTAAATTATAAGCAAGAGTCAGGCAAGGCTGGAGCACGGCGAGAAAGGAATACGGAAGACGCAGCGCCCAGTTCCACCTCACCTGCAGCAGCGCAATCCGCGTGTTGACGTCCTCCAATACTGTCAGGCAGAACTCGCGGGCCATTGTGAGCAACAGGCCCTTGATGCGCTCCAGTGTGGTGAGCGTGATGGGCATCAGGTCGTTGCGCAGGCTCTTGCTGTCCACATACAGGCAGCCCACCACCTGTAACACGTGCCAACAGGTAGAGCCGGTGGGTGTGTGGGGCTTCCAAACAACAACGCACCGCGGATCCGGATTATACACATAGAAACATGGGTGATACGAGGAAGAAAAGATCAGACCCTGACGGAGCAGGTGGGCGAGCTCAATGACTGCTGGGGTCTGTTTCTCCTCTTGACTTGTCTACTAGGTGGGACTGATGTCCCCTGGTTCTTAGGGTGCCTAAAAAAAGGCACGGGCTAGGTCACACCTGCTGCCCAGCACGTTACGGTAGGTGTTTAGGTGTCCCTTTGGTTTGCTCCATCGTGGAAATGCTGCTATGAGATTCCGCAGCCAGGGTTTCGGTTTGAAGGATTTTTCACACTTACGTTGAAAATCTTCATTCGGTCCAGTTCGTTACGCCACTCGCGCTGGCGATGCATGTCGCGACGGATTTCGCGCAGGCTCTTAGGCTTGCTGGAATACGCCTCGAAGCTCCATGTACGGCCAAAGTCATACACCATGCGATACGCCTCGAAGAGCTGCATGCAGAGTGCGAAACACCCCGAAATGTCAAATAGTCAGTGACGTGTGGAATCACCGATCTTCGTGCGAAGTCGCTAATCATTTGGCATGGCGCAATACTTACCCACATTATAGCGTTGGTTGGCCGAGGCTCGGCACCAGCCCCCCGATCCCGTTGCGAGGCTGCCGCTGCATTGCATGGTCAACCTACGCCACACCCCACCCCACACACAACCCCACCAGCCGCCCACCCACCTTGACGTAATCCCGCGCCGCAGCAAAGTCCTCCTGGATGCTCGCCGTGATGGAGTTCCGGAGCTCGTCAAAGTATGGCGACGAGCGAATGACAGAGGAGGGATTGAGACCCGATGGCTTTCCGTCAAAATACTGCGCAAAGGCGCGCATAAAGATGAGGCGCGGCGCCTGTTGGGCCAGACCGATGATGCCCTCGATCACGTTGTTCAGCTCCTCCATCACCTGTTCAGCATTTTCGAGTGTTAGGTTAGTCGTTAGGTTTCGCAGTCGGACGAAACACGCAAGCGGCGCATTAAGGCGCGTTCGCTTTTAACCCAACGAGCGGAAAAGGGAAAAGGTTGCGGGGGAGGGGAGCGCTGTTGCGATCGAAGGAGGAGAGGAAGGTCTTGGAGCTTAGGATGAAGGAGGGACCTACATCCAAAAGACTCCACCCTCAACCCCTACGAGCCAGCCAGCTAGCCAGCTAGCCAGGCAACCAGGAAGGGTCAAACAGTCAGACAATCTTCCAGCCGGAGGCATCCCTCCCCTCACGCATGCCCCTTACCGCGCCGTCGTCGGGAGTGAAGGTGATACCCTCGGGGATGAAGCCAATGGTAGTCATGAACACGCCCTTGCTCTGCTTGTCCGCCGACGTTTTCGGCGCAGTCAGCAACGCCAGTACCTCCTCCGTCGTGGTAAGCGCGCGGTCGATGACGCCTGACGGGACAGAGGAGGCGGCAGGGTGGAACCGGCAAGAATGTTGCCCAAGGGGTTAGTGTGCGGGGGGGAAAGGGTAACCAGGACAGCCAAAACTCCCCGTCTCTCTTCCTTCTGCCGACACCGCCCCAGCCATATTCCAGCCCCCTCCAACTTGTACGCGCACACGCAGACGGCGGTCCGGTGCAACATCTAAGTCTTGAGGCCAGAGCGTTTCCTTTCCTTATCCATATCCCGCAGACACGCGACCGCTCCAACTCACTTTCCACAAACAGGTAGTCTGCCAGCCGAATGAAGGAGCCCAGCATTGTCACCTCCTTCATGACCCGCGCAAAGTTCTGTGCGCGCTCGATCTTCTCGCGCTTGATGGTGATCATGGGGCGCGCGCAGCCGGCGTTGCGTCCCTGCAGCAGCTCGACACCCGTGGTGTCCTCCAGCTCCGCCTGGTCTCGCACGCTCTGTTGGTACAGCCGCGCCTGCTTTTGCACCTCACGGCACACGCGCTCCAGGACCTTTTGGATCTTCTCCACGATCGCCTCCAACGCGGGCTTGGCCTTGTGCTCACGCGCATTCACCTGTTTTCGTGTCCGTGCGTGGGTGAATGTATCGTGCAGGTGAGTGAAGGATCCAGACGCGCGAAGCGGGCGTGCAGGATGCTATATCGTTCTACTGCAAGACATTCGGGAATGCCCTGCTGGGGCTACGCGTATCGCCCGAGCCAGCGTTCGCCTGAAGCACTGAGCACTGCGGCCCCTTCCTTTGGCATAGGACAATAGATTATCCCCTATGCACGTACCCCCTGCGTCATTCAGCTGCGTGGTTTCCAGCACACCCTGTGGTGTGATCGCTAATATATAATAACACTGACGCCATTCTGGACAGGGAAACGCTCAACAGGACACATCCCGATGCCCCCAGCCTGGAGCCCCCTATTAATCCCTTTCAACTTCTCGCGGGAAAAGCCTAATCGCCCCATTCCTGCCCATCGGCCGAGTGTGTCCCCAACATCATCCACTGCCTCCCGCAGGCTTCTATTTCCAAGCTTCTGTTTCCGGAGCCCTTTCCTTTCGCTTTTATTATCAGGAGGCAAGGATACTTAGCGGACAGTGCTGCCTGTCAGCTCTGTTACTAGAGTTATCTCAGGTCGCTGCTGCTCCCCACCCCACCTGCATCTCCGCGTACTCCTGCAGCGCGTACAGATGCGTCGAGTTCGAGTTCGCAAAGGGCGTGGAGCGGACCTCATCCACCGCGGCGAAAATCTCCACCAAATGCGGACAGAAGGTGCCTTTCGCCAGAAATAGGCTGCCCTCGATCTGCGCCTTCACCTTATTAAAGTTCTTTTGTCGGACGGCCTGTTATCCAGGGAGGGATGGCACGACGATGAAGCGGGAAGAAGGTAGGACCGTGGAGCAGGAGGTGGAATAGGAAGAAGGCAAGAACGAGATTGGAAGGGGGAGTAGGAGGATGAGGGCCAAGCGACGCGGCTTCGGGTAAAGATAAATACACGCGCGCCCCACGCCTTACCTTGAGCCAGCGGCGGAAGCATCTGCCGGTAAGGTAGTTCCGAAAGAACCCAATGGCGCTGATCAGGTCGAACAGCGTCTTCTCACGCACCCACTCGGCCAGCGGAGTAAACTCAGCCTGCGGGAAGGAGCGGCATCGGCAGCGGTTGGGCCGGATGCAACGGGTGCGGTGGCGGCAGGTATATAAGTGTGGAAATTGTGAAGCGCATGGAAATGGAAATGGGCGTCCCGTGGGTCATGGTGCCAATCGCTTCCGACCCCAAGACAGCGCCTTCTCCACCCTAAACGAGTCTGCGGCAAACCTCTCCCGGCCGCACACGTCTCTGATCTTATTGGATGTTCCACAACTACCCTCTTGCCGTCAATGCTGTGCGGCCGCATCGTAAGGACCACGCAAGCCAAATGGTGTTCCCTTCCAAACCGTTTCAAAACTGCAGCGCCAGTCCAGCTCCCGAAGGTTACACCGTTCCCTCTTTTCGCTATCCCCGTGCCCTCCGCCTACTGTTCCCTTAGCGCCTGGTTCCCACCTGCACTCCCCGCTTGATCCGCATCACGCCCGTCGCGCTGACGGTGAAGTATTCCGGCCCGATTTTCTGCCGCTGCACGACCAACAGATCGTACGGCCTGAACCGCACGCCCTCGGGTGCCCTACGAAGGGGCAACCATAAAGCGAAGCACGCGGGAAATGGAAGGTCAGCCAGCGGTGGACTGCCTGCATGTGCCATCGGGGTTCCGCTGTCGACGCCCCAGCCTTGCACCTAGGCAGTCCCAGCTCCGCAGCTAAACTTTAAAAAGTATGAACACACGACGTTGCTGCTGCTGCTGCTACTGCTGCCGCTGCGATTGCGGGTGCTGCTTGCTTCACGCAACCATTCGCCAGGCGCAGGCCTCCTCCCGACCAAAGGCTACGAACCGGCTTTCCGACGGTGGTTTCGGACCCCTCTTCCCAACCGGCGTTTCATTGCCGTTCCGTTTTCCGAAGTACTGGATTTGCTGTAGAGACCGTTGCCAAAATCGCGACCAGCCGTGCCGGCCTTACACACACCCGCGGTAGGCGGCACATCCTCTTCCCATAGCAGCTGGCGATGCCCTCTTAATCCCTCGCCACCCCCTATACTATCCCGTCTGTACAGCTGTCATGCCCCATCCCAACCCATGCATCCAGACAAAGCACACAAAACCCTTCTCACGCATACCTGTTGCAGTAGAAGAACTTCACGGCCGAGTCCTGTCCGTACTTGCCGTAGAACTCCACCACGTCGTCGCCCGTGTTGATCCCGGGGATGAGGTCGGGATCGTACGCTGCGTCCCGCTCGTCCACGCGGATGCCCTCCGGCTCCTCCTCCTCCTCCTCATGCGCCTCGGCCTCCTCGTCATCCCCAAGTGATTCTGCACGCGAATACCGTGGGCGAGGGGACACAGCGCACGCAACACGAGATCAGTGGGGATTAGGCCCAGCGTTGGGGCAATACAAACCTGCGCCGAGAACCACACGTCGTCGCTTTCAGTGCAGATTTTCCCCTGCATTGAAGTCAATCCGCTGCATCACCAGCGCGAAGCCATCTACACTTACTTGCATGGCTTACTTCTGCCGCCTCTCTATCGCCGTTGGCACCCGCTGCTGTTACACTGCTAGCGGCAAAACCGCCCGCACCACCAAGCCCCGCAAGCCCTTCCCAGTTGCGAGCCGCGCAAGCCCCGTGTAATCCTTTCCCATATCATGCACCCTCACGACTGCAATCCGCGATGCCCTGCAACCCGCCCTGCGGTCCTCCAGAGCCCCTGGATGCCCTGCCCTGGCGCTGCTGCTCCCGCCCTAGTCTATGACCCGACCCGGCATAAACCACAGGTAGCCTGAGCAACCACCCGCGAGCCGCTGTGGCCTAATGCGAACTGGATGGTACCCTAGCGGCTTCCCATAAAGCCGCTCAGTCTCGCCAGCGGCTCAGCAGGAAAGCACTGGAATATGGGCTGCTTGCGAGTCGCATGAGGCCGCTGTGGCTCGTGGAAAGTCCGTCTCGGTCGGATAACGCGTCCTGATGAGACGCCTGACGTGGTGTACTGGCATGTACAGTGACTGGGGCACTTGGCCTTACGCCATACGCATACCCTTAACCCGAGGGCCCAAGTAAATTTGTCAGCCTCTTCTTTTAGCCGAGCCCAAAGAAGCTTTTTGCACCTGGGCATGGACGGCACTTTCATCGGGCCCTATGTTTTGCTGTTTGCAGCCGGCTGTCTTGCCGCACCCGACGGCCCCTGTTCACACCATGACCCGTCTGTCCGCATCTCACGGATTGCGGGGCTGCTCACCGGTCGAGGGCTCCGACAGCGGCTGCCTCCTGGACGACTGCTGCAGTTGCTGCTGGGAGTTATAGTAGTGGTGGAGGTCGTTTTGCGAGGAGCGTTCCGAAGGGGGGGTCCGCTTCTCGATGGAAGGTAGCTTGGGAACAGCGGACTGCAGGTCGGAGCAGCAAAAGGGAGCGCTTTTCATAGGCATTTAATTGTAGCTGCTTTGGACAGGGTTGTTCATACAGTTGCGGGGCTGCTGGGGCGAGACTTGGGGGAATCCTTGCGGTGTTGGAGTCGGGGGTGGGGATGGCAGGTAAAGGAAGGCACAAGGTGCGAGCTGGCACCGGCTGTCACGTGTGCGCAACGTTTAGTGTCGCGCAATGGTGCCGAACTGCTGATTGCAGCTCCTAGCGCAGTAGAGAGAAGGGATCCCAACACGCGGGGCCTGCACAGCTCAAAAAGGAGTGGACCCAACCCGAGTGTGCCAGACCCGTCCACAATATCCCTGCTCAGCGGTCCTATGCTTCCGTGGCAGTCAGACAAAAAGAAATGGCAATCTTATGTGGCAGAGGTGGAAAAAAATGCGGATGAATGGATAATTTAGGAGTACCAGGGTGCCACAGCTCATGCGCCAAGACGGTCAGCGTTGTAAGGGGATTACGCAACGTAGATTTAATGAGCAGTTCAAGAACCAAATTGTCCCAGAAGGAATGAATTATCTCCGGTGTTGCGTTATGCTTGTGCCTGTCCTCCGCGACCGAACAAAACCCGCCCATACCCGCCAGCACCCGTATTGCCAAATCCCTGACTGGGACATATTTCCGCGCACACACCTTCCTTTTTGCCGTCCCTATTTCGAGCTGAGGCATATTCGGTAAAGTTCCGATGCTGAACAGGTCCGCAGTGCTTTTGAGCGTGCTGGGAACGGGGATGGTGCGCGTCTTCGGAAGCGTGAAGCCGCCTGCGCTGCTGCCATTCCGGGAGGGTGTCCTCCCTTGCGCAATGGAGGGCAGCCATACGGGCGACTCCGGGACGGGGAGCTCTATGGTCCCCCGGCCCTTATCGCCGCTCGGCATTTTCCGCTTGCTGTCTCTACTGCTGCCGCGTCATGCTCAGCTGACCCCTGGAGACAACTCCACCTCCAGACGTTATATAACACCGACTATCTGCGCGCAAAGAACCTCCCTGCCTCTTCACTGCAAATGTCTAGCCTAGAACCTCACGTTATTGGTACGTTGACCGAGTTACGAATATATAGACGGAACTAAAGTATACTACACAATAAAGGCGTTTTTTGTGTCAACAGCAAGAAAAGTTAAGCTTCCAATTTCATGCGCAAGGCTACTAGAAACACGTTACCACGTTGATAAGATGATGTTAAGTCGCCTAACAAGCAAGCAAGGTAAGACTTGGCTCTGGGCTAGACTTCGGGTTGCTTCTAAGTGACGTGTACGGTAGACGGGTCCCCGGGTAACGAACTGAAATTTTTGGGACGACCTACCTTTCGCAGATCAAGGTTCAAAAAGGGCTTGGCCTTTCTATTTGGGCTCCTCTTTTTCGCTGGAACAACTTTTGCCGGTGGGGCCTCGCCCTGCTTACGACACTGCCCCTCGGCAAATTATCAGTTATAACGCATACTATTTGATCTTGGTCTTACAAGTAATCACCTTTTGCTTCTGGTAGCCATGGGGGGACAGTGGCGATTGGTGAAGGTAGGCAGCACCATGACTCGATGAAAGGGAACTCTCCTTTCCAAACCTAAGCTCCTGTACCTTTGACTATTGCAGCCCGCGGGTCTGGCGCCAGCTCCACGAGGTGCACACGCGAGCGTCGCCCTCGGCACGAAGGTGTTGGTCTTTGGCGGTGCGGACCGTGCGCCGGTTCCTTTCAACGACTTGTGGGTCCTCGAGACGGGTGAGCTACAAAGCCTTCTCTGGAGCAGAATCCTCGAGCATTGCAGACCGAAAACCAACACCAACCCTGCAACACTTCCCTAGGACAAAACCCTGACTTTGAACCCATTCTGACCGGCAACCCAAATCTCGTTGCATCAACGCCTCAGCCGGAGAAGCCCGCCTGCCTGTATTTCCACGTTCCCCACGTTACAGTAGCCTCAATCATCAAACTACTGCCCTCCTCGAATTCCGTTTCTTCCGCAGCGGGCGGCAAGTACGAATGGACGCGGATATCCCCCTTGATGGCGCCAGGGTGAGCGTACCTCCTTCCGCATTTTGGATGTGGATATGGGCGGGAAGGACACAAGTTTGTTGAGCAGAAGTCGGTACAGAGATCTGATATGGCCAAATAGAGACCGGATCAGGAAGTGAAACCGGAGATCACCACCTACAACCGAAGCACTCCAGGGAGAGAAGTCCATGTTGTCACCGCCGCCGCTGCTGGTAGATGCTGCTGCTGCTGCTGCCCCTGCCAGCAAACCGCTGATGTACGGTTCTGCCCACCTAAAATGATAAACCTCAGCAAAAAGCGCAAAAAATCTTTAACCCTTCGGAAACCCCGCAAACGTAATGTCCCGCTTAACCTGCGACGGAACGGGAAACCCTCCATGTCGTTATCGTACACGTACCACCCGTACAGCCACGTCAGTCAGGGCATAGCTTTCCTAACAGCATTTCCCTCCAAGACCATATACACACAATTCCCCTCAAGCTGCCACGTTTCCCATCCGGTGCTGACTTGAGTGTTATAATTAATACCAGCCACAAGCCGTCCTCCACTTCCCACTCCTCAATGACCCACGTGCTACTTAACTTCTCATCGTGCACCGGCTTCACTCGGCTGCATCCGCCATTATCTGTCTTCATATTCGCCTCTTTTCGAGATGTCTTCATTCGCAATCATTTTCCTCCTCGGCGGCGGCTCTTTCCTTTCTGACACCCGCGGCGGCGCGGCCATCACAGGTGCAAGCTCCTGCCGCGTTCCGGCGCCACTCTGACCGCCCTGGGCGACCGGGTCTTCCTGTTCGGCGGCACTGTAGGTGGCGGCTGTAGCTGCGGTGGTGGCGGTAGTTGCGGTGGCTGTAGTTGGTGTGTGTGGGATAGTATGAGACTGGATGGGAATGTGGGGGATTGGATTAATGGTATTTGAACGGCTGGTGTGGAACGTGTGCGCGACGGTGGCGTCAATGGCACACATGCTGGTGGCTGCACTTAGTCCCTTAGCGCAGCCGGACTGCTCATCCGCCCTGTCTCCCTGTATATAGCCATGTCTCCCTGTATATAGCCATGTCTCCCTGTATATAGCCCTGTCTCGCTGTATATAGCCCTGTCTTTAGGCACTGTTATTCTCCTCGGGCACGTGGGCGCGTCTCTTGGGGTAACCGTTGTTCGTCGCGCATGGGTATAGTCGTTGGTTCTGGTTCCGGTCTCAACGCGCGTCTCTCCCATTTCCCTTCCCTTCTTCCCTCCTTCCCTCCTCTCCTTCCCTTCCCAACAGGAGCCTGTAAGTGGGGTGTGCTTCAACGAGCTCAAGGTGCTGGACGCCGCCACCTGGACGTGGTCGGATGTGCAGGTACAGGTTGCGCAGATGGGGGGGGACCGGAGGGGGGGAGCTGGCGGGGGGGAAATAGAGCAGCGGGGGAATAGAGGGTTAGGGGGGGGCGACATACGCATAGGGAGATAGGAGACATACGCGCGTACACAAGTCAAACGTATTTAAATCACACGCAATGCACGCTTCACAATGTCCTGACGCCGGTTTTTTCTCTCTCTGGTATAGGTAGGTACGTGTCCCTACCTGGCGCCACGCCGCCGTTGCTAACCCCCGTGTTACTTCCCTGTCCATATGCCACCACACCCACACACCCACGCCCAGGCGCAGGGAACGCTTCCTCCCGCTCGCCACTCCCACTGCAGCGGCTGCCTGGCGGATACGTGTCTGGTGAGGGCGTGGGGGAGGGGGCGACGGACGGGGAGAGGGGAGGGGGGCACTGGTCAAGGATGAGGGCTGGTCAAGGATGTGGACTAGGCGTTCTCCCATTCCGGCTCCCTCTCTTATCTGCAGCTGACGCTCTTCTGACGCTCTTCTGACGCTCTTCTGTACATTGGCCGTTAATGTAAAGCCAATTTGCATCCATCGTCGTTTGTAAATCTGCCCCTCCTGTAATTTCCTCAATAGTTCACTTCCTTTTGCCCCCAACAGATTGTGTACGGCGGTGCTGGCTACCAGGGCCCTATGCAAGATCTGTGGATCTACAACACGCTTCAGAACAGCTGGAGCCGGCCGACCGTGGCGGGCGCTCAGCCGCAGTCTCGGGAGATGCACACGGGCTGCATGGTGGACGACACGACGATGCTGGTGTACGGGGGCCGGGGGCCTAACTTCAAGTGAGTCTCACAGCACCCGACGTGTGTAGAACTTGTGTGCACCTTGGGACCTAACGAACATCCTCACACCTTGCCACACCTTACCCCTGCCTGAGATTTGCTGCCCCACGTCCCCCCACCTTGCGTACATCCCCCCCCCACCATCACCCCCTGCGCTTGCTCGCTCCATCCTCCGCTGGATATCGAGGGTGTGCTGCGACGCTGCGTTATTTGACGCGCGACAGATGAAGTGGACCGTCATAGAGCCCACGCCGTTCTCTCGCTGTGCGCATAGCTGTGTGGTGCTGCCGGGGGCCTCCGCGGGTGCGGCTACGGGGTCCACGACGGCGGCGACGGCAAGCCAGAAGGCTTCGGCGACGGCGACTGAGGGGAAAGCGGGTAAGGACCTGAAGGAAGTGCTGTGGTGCCTGAGGGGGCTGGGTAAGCTGGCTATGTGATAGTACGGGTGAGTGCAGCGGTGGAATGGGTACATCATGGGGAAGGGAAGGGGAGGGGAGGAAAGGGAGCTGGCTTCTTTAGCGACTTGTGCTTTTCTCGTCAATTTTAACAGCAGGTGGATCGGAAGATGGGGCGGATGTTGAAGCCGGGGAGGTTTCGGAGCCTGGTACGAGCGGCGGCGGCGGCGACGGCGGGCAGGCTCAGCACCAGCAGCAGCAACAGGACGGGCACGGCGCCTCTACCGCCCTGACGGAAGAAGGGCTGGCAGGGTCAGCAGCCGCAGCAGCAGCAGCAGCGCTGACGACGGCGGCGGCGGCCAGTAGCGGCGGCGGCGGCGGCGGTGACGGAGCTAGCTGTATGAATCATAATAGCAACGGCAGCAGTAGTGGCAGCCGAGTGCTTATCTACGGCGGCTACAGCGGCGAGGCAGTCGAGGGCGATCTATTGCAGATCGACAGTCGTACATTGGAGATCGAGCTGGTACGGCGCGGACCCCGCGAGTCGGACAAGGGCGGCACGGTGCCGTCGGTGCGTTTCGCACACAGCGCGGTGGTGGTGCCGACGGCGCCATCCAGTGATGGCGGCGTCAGCGTCAGCGGCGTGTCTTACACGATGGTGGTGTTTGGCGGCGTCAACCCCAAGGAGGACCTGAATGATGTGGCTGTGTGGGTTTTTGGGTAACAGCGCGCCTGACGTAGCGGTGCTGGTGCTGGTGTGACGGTGGGGGCAGTAGCTATAATGATAACAAAGCTAAGGGATGGAGGTGGCGATGAAGCGGTACTGAAGGCGCAGAGTGAAGCACCGTGCAGTTTTGCATATATAGGAGGCATGCTGCCAAGGCAGTCCTCCACAAACGGTCAACACAGGCAAGCAGGCGGGCGGGGGTTCAGTTGGGACTCCCCATAACCTAGGGATTATGTTGCGGGAGGAGGTGCGAAGGGGAGGCGTATTTCAACTACCATCTGCATCAAGGCGAGGAGAGCTATGAAGGACGGATGCATCTACATGCAGAGACTGGCTCGGTTAGGCTAGCTACATACATACATGCGCACGACTGCGGTGTTTGGCCCGGTACGGGGTTGCCCAGGGGTTGGGGAGAGGCGCGGGTGCTCCTGTGTTTTGGAATGGAATGGAATCTAGCTCGACGGGACGGCGTGCGTGTGTATGTGTTTTGAGTCACGTCCATGCACGTCTGCATGCGTGCATTGTTGTGTACGGAAGCGTGTGTGTCCGTGTGTGTTGCTGAGTGTATGCACACGCCTGCTGGGGGGGGGTGTATGGCTTTCCGTAGGTCAGGGATGAAAAGATCTTGATCGCGTGTGTGGCCTCTTCTACATGTATGCTGTACTTTGCTCGATGCATGTGCAAAATACGTTGTGCAGTAGCATGTGGTAAAGCACGGGTGCGGCACATGCATGGTAAGGGTGTCGCTGCGGGACGTGCATTATCGCATGCCCCAGCGTGTACGTGGAATAGAGTTATCGACACCGCCTTTGTAGTGGTGGGATGGGGGGAAGTTTGTGACTTTGGCAAGTGGGGGCTGGCCTGGCCTGGAGGGTCGTGTCTACGGGGAAGGCAGTAATGGCTACGCAAACCCCCAGCCAGCCACTCGAGGATTCAAGGCATTCAATTTCATCCAATCCCAAAGAAAGCCGTTTGGCCTGTGGTGAATGGCACCTGAAAAGGCCTCTTGAAGCGCGTCCCCGTCCGGGTCACCGGAGAGGCGAATGAGCGAGTGAATGAATGGTCCCATGCTTCCCCTAACAGCTATACTCACAGCTATAGAACGCGCACCTCAAACTGGAGTATGCTTCCTGTCTGATTCTACTGCTGCTGCGGTCGCCGATCTGCTTCTCCAATCTGCCTGCTTCTACAACATCACTTGCTGTTGCAGCAAGCCACGGCGTCCTGTTAAACCAAGACATACAACAAGCAATGAAGCCCTGTGGGCTCCCGCTTCAATTCACCCGGCTGGGGTTTCCCTTCCCCCTTATTAGGCAGCAGCTGGGGCAGCTCGTCTCGAAGTATCGTCCATGGCTTATCTTCCCATGGTCCTAAGTTTTATAACTGAAACTCAAAAATGGCATGAGGGTTTTATGGGTTTTACGTTTTTTCCAACTATGTAAGGTAAAAACATGTGTTTCCCCCTTCACTAGTGATCAAAGATTCGAGTCGTTTCATGCGAAAAGCATGATAAACATCCTTTTGAAATACGTTATCCACGGATACTCGTTATGGGCGGTGCCTCAACGATTTGCTGTACCTTTCGAGAGCGCTGTGAATGGGCAGCTAGGGTGTCTGGCTGCCCGCTGCCGAAGGGATGCAGCTGCACAGCAGCCGCTGCTGGGAAGTAGCACTACACTGCTCGTGAGATTGGACCCCGCTGGTGCTGGGTTAGTATACGGCTGGTGGCGGTGGCAAATCCTCGCGCTGTTTGCAGTGCACCGGCGGGAGCGGCAGCGCGAGGGGATCACCTATGCCGACTCCTCTGCAACGGAAAAAAAACATCCGGTAAGGGGAGGGGCTCTGCACCAAGGCTGGTACCACCCTCCAGCACCTCGCGCGGCCGGGGGCTGCTGCGGACCCCCCCATTGAAACTCGGGGCCCCTCCGTGACTGTTATTACCCCGCGGGGCGCACACGCGTCGTCCCAACAGCCAACAGCCAACAGCCAACACAGGGACCGAACACGAGGCGAGCTGCTCCCCTCCCCTCCCAGGTGCGCGACGTCGTCCTCCTTTCAATGCCGCGCCGCCTTCCCCCCGACCGTCCTTGCATGTTGCCCCAAGGCGCACCATACATAGCTGGCCATGGAACTCATTGACCCATAATGCCAAGACGCACAAGCCCCCAAACCCCATGTACAACAGCCCACGCAGGGCCACGCCCTCCGACTTCCTTCACACACACACACACACACAGCAAATAAGGAAATAAACCACAACATAACCCAAGTGAAGTTCACCCGGATTTGCATAGTGCTTGATTTGCGATTTAAGAGAAGGGAGAGGTACCCCCTCCAATAACCCGACCACAGAAACACCCAGCCAGCCAAACACCTCGCTTACCATCCTTACCATATCACTACAAGCGCTTACAGCTGCAATCGCATGCTACAGCCATAGTAGAGCCACCTTACAGGTATTGTTACAGCAGCCTGGCTACAGCCCGTGTATCCTACGGCCATGTGCTACAGCTCTAGCTTCGGCATGCCAGTGACGGTGACGGAGGCAGTAGTCAGGTCCATCACCGTCGCATTGAATGCTACGGCCGGTAGCGGCGCCAGTGGGCTCGCGCGCGGCTGTACGGCTGCGAAGTACGCGCCCCAGAACCAGTACTTGGCGGGTAGCTGGAGCGTGAGGGACGCGACAGGGATGCAGAGCCAGGTGGGCGGGTGGATGCGTGCGCGGGTGAGCGCCTTGACCAGCCGTTGCTCCGCAGCCATGAGAGGTGCCTGCGGGTGTGAGGGGTACAAGCAGAGTTACCATGAGGAGAGCTCTGGAGGAGTGGAGAGTATTGAGGTAGGACGCGTGCACGTACGTGCGTACGTATGTGTATGCGTATGTATATATACGTATGTATGTATGTATGTATGTATGTATGTATGTATGTATGTATGTATGTATGTATGTATGTATGTATGTATGTATGTATGTATGTATGTATGTATGTATGTATGTATGTATGTATGTATGTATGACGTTGATTACACTGTGGGCTGAAAAGCCGGGGGCCCAGGGCCGAAGCACAGCGCGGGGGGCGGGTGCATACGGCTGGTTAGTCTCATGCACTCCGCCCCCGGGTCAGGCCGCACGGGAAACGACGGCCGGCACGCAACAGCGCTTGTTTGGCGCTCCAACTAGACGGGATCTATGCCCGTTGGTCTCCTAACATAAACGAAGTCGCAACTGGGGGGCTCTTCCTGCCGACCGAACGAACCGAGCATCTCAGAGAGCTCGCTACCAGGACTTGGGCGACCGGGAGCCCGACGAGTCTTCCCGGGCTGGGGAGGTCACCAAGCTCAAAAATCCTCACGCAAAAAAGAGCGCAAAGAGCTCACACCACAAGACGCCAAACAGCCTCCTGAGACTACTACCCTCCTCCGCCTCTCCCTCCCTGGGCTAGTCCAGGGGAGATAGCCCCCGTCGAGGGGGTAACACCGCACAAGTCCGCGCCCTTCCACAGCACTGGGTCTAAATTGAAAAGTACTCAAACG